AAGGAGGCTCTTCCTCAAGCCAGAGAAGTGTAAGTTTGAGCGAACCCGGATCGAGTACCTGGGCCTCGTTATCTCGGAGGGTAACGTCGCGATGGACCCGGTGAAGATCCAGGGTGCCCTCGACTGGCCCCCCCAACCAAGGTGAAAGAAGTACAATCCTTCCTAGGATTCGTAAACTTCTATCGCCAGTTCATCAGAGACTTCTCTGAGAAGGCCCGCCCCCTTCACAGGCTGACCCAGAAGACCCAAACCTGGAACTGGGGCCCGGATGAAGACGATGCCTTCCGTGCCCTCAAGGAAGCCGTCACCACAGCCCCTGTCCTCTCTTTCCCTACCGACCACGGCCGCTTCAGGCTCGAGTGCGACGCATCCAACTTTGCAACCAGCGCGGTCCTCTCCCAGCTCCAACCGGATGGAGAGTTCCACCCGGTAGCGTTCATGTCCAAAAGTTTCACGGATGTAGAGCGCAACTACGAAGTGTACGATAAAGAGATGCTTGCAATCGTCCGAGCCCTCGAGGAATGGTGACACTTCGTGGAAGGTGCTGAGGAGAAAGTCGAGATCTACACCGACCACCGTAACCTGGGCTACTTCCGGACGGCCCAGAGGTTAAATCGACGTCAGGCCAGATGGTCCCTTTTCCTCTCCCGCTTCCATTTCACCCTCGTCCACCGCCCAGGGAAGCTCATGGGGAAACCAGACGCACTCTCCCGCCGCGCTGACCACCCGAAGGGAAGGGACGACAATGAGGGGCTGACCCTCCTCCAACCGGCCTGGTTCGAGGCCCGTGCGACGGAAGCAGTCTCAGTGGAGGGTGAGGAGGCAGATATCCTAGAGAGGGTACGAGGAGCGAGAGATCATGACGAACAGGTGGTAAAGGCCATGAGGGAACTGGGAGAAGGAACGTTGAGGTCGGACGAGTGGGAGAGACAGGGAGAGTTGGTCCTCTACCGGGGCAGGGTGTACGTTCCAAAAGACCCACAACTCCGCCACGATCTGGTACGGCTACACCACGACGCGCGGGCGATGGGACATCCAGGGCGATGGAAAACCCTAGAGCTCGTCTCCCATGACTACTGGTGGCCTCGGATGGCAGAATATGTCGGGCGATACGTACGTGGATGCGACACCTGTAACCGCGTCAAACCCTTCCCCGCACGGAAGGTTGGGAAGCTCACCCCAAATAAAGTTCCCACCCACCGTTGGCAGGTGATCTCGGTAGACATGGTGGGAGAGCTCCCAGAGTCGAAAGGTTATAACGCCATCCTAGTTGTAGTGGACCGTCTGTCCAAACGCATCCACGCGATCCCCACCGTGACATCCGTGGACTCGGCTGGTATCGCCCGGCTCTTCCTAGAGCACGTCTGGAAGCACCACGGGCTCCCGGAAGAGATTCTTAGCGACAGAGGGAGCGCCTTCGTCTCGCGCTTCTCGAAAGAACTTGCAGATCTCCTGGGGGTCAAGCTAACCCCCTCAACGCCCTACCACCCCCAGACTGACGGACAGACAGAGCGGGTTAACCAGGAAATCGAGGCCTACCTTCGGGTGTTCGTCAACCACCGCCAGGATGACTGGGCGGACTGGCTCCCACTGGCAGAATTTGCCTACAACAACCGCGTCCACTCGTCCACCCGTTGAACCCCCTTCGAGCTTGACACCGGGCAGCATCCCAGGATGGGGACGGAGCCCACACGTACGTCCGAGGTAGAAGCCGCCGACGCCTTCTCGTCCAGGATGATGAAGATGCAGGAAGAGGCGAAGGCGGCCCTGGAACACACAGCGGACGAGATGGCCCGCTACTACGACCGAGGTCGAGAGACAGCCCCCAAGTACCAGGAGGGTGACCGAGTCTGGCTCAGCGCCCAAAACTATACGACTGACCACCCGACCAAGAAGCTAGACCATAAGTGGCTAGGCCCCTTCAAAGTCGTCAAGGTCGTCTCCCCGGCTGCCGTCAAGCTCCAACTCACCGCATGGCAAAAGGGAATTCACCCAGTCGTATCTGTGACAAACGTAAGACCCTACCGCCCGGACGAGATTGCAGAACGACCCCCTGACCCCCGCCCGGGCCCAGAACTCGTAGATGGAGAGGAGGAATATGAAGTGGAAAAAATACTGGACTCTAAGTGGTTACGCCGGAAGCTCTGGTATTTAGTAAAGTTCGCGGGTTGGCCGAACTCAGAGAATGAATGGCTCCCCCAAGACCAACTAATCCATGCCCCTGACTGGATCGAGGAGTTCCACCAAACACACCCCCACGCCCCAGGAAGGGAGAGAACGAACCCCCTGGCCGCTTCAAGGCGAAGCGGCTTAAGGAGGGGGTGATGTCAGGGCACACCCGCCTGACCCAGGCCCACCCGGGCCCACCCGGCCACACCACACCCGCTCCCCGCTGTCTATCCCCCTCCCCCCTCCTTCCTCCCTCTCCTCCCCTTTCTTTTCCCTTTTCTTTCCCCTTTCTTTATTTCATTCTTCTCATCTTCCTCTCCCTGTTTATTTCTTTCTATCTACACGGACCACCTTCCTTTGTATCGATGTACTATTGACCCGTCCGGCCCACACACCCCGGACGGCTTCCCGCTGTGCCCAGCACGCGCGCATGTAGCGGACGCTCTCGGGATCCCCCACGGGGACACCTGGATGCCTGCGGCTGCCTCCGAGGATGACGTGGCACCTGTCATGTGACTCAAGCCGCATGTACATAAATGTACCTGAAGTGGGAACCGAAGAAGTAACCTTCTTCTCACATTCTCCACTTCAGTCTGAGTGGCCAGGGACCACTGTCCCGGATCGGGCCCACCAGTACGCACGCCCGCTCCACACCCCGCGACGGCCTCAGTGCCGGGTATTACCCCCGGGCCCTCTCGACCCCGGACGCGTCCCTGACAGCGCAGCACCGATACAAGTCCACAAATCAGGATGCGGGGTCGGTGCGATGCTGACACAAGTCCGCAAAGGGATGCAGGAATCAGCATGGTGCTGATGAGTCCGCAACAGAGGGTGGTCTGTCAGTGCTGTCACAAAAGGACAGCATGATGGCCAGCAAGATACGGAGGGGAGTGTTGACCTGACCAGAGGTGTCAAGGACAACCAGAAATGGACAGAGGTTGCGGAAGGTGCGGAAGCGGTGCATGGTTGATAGAACAGACATTGGGTTGGGGCTGGTAAGGATGGGTTCGGGTTGGCGGAATCGCCTGTCGGCATTGATTCGCCGCTGACAGAGCCCTGGGATTTGTCAGTCGTGACACATATCCAGTAAATACAATTTAAATGCTTCAAAGTGTATAGGGGTGAGAAGCTTCTGGGAGCTCCTGGAGCATTTGAAAATGAAAAGGAAAAAAAGAGGGAAGATCCCCCATGAGTACCTCCTACCACAAGACTAACACAACAAGACACTGCTTAACATTTAGATCAAACACTATACTATATATCAAGGACACTGAGACTCACCAATACACAATCAAAATTTATGGCCTGATATATGATTAATCTGGCAACTTAATCACTTTCGGGCTGGCAGAATATGGGGGAGGGGGAAATGGGGGAGAATGAGGGGGGAATGAGGAAAATTTGAAAAATAGGGACTTCTAAAAAGTTGAAAAAAATAATTAGGGAAAAATCAAAAAAATTCAGAAAATGGAAAATACTTTTGGAGACCCAAGAAATAATGAGAACTGAATTGATGGGAAAGTCTGAAAATTGAATAGGGAAGTGAGGGGAAGCCTTGTAGCATTGCTGTTCTAATTTTTCCTGATTGTTCTTGGTCTCACTCCCAGCTGCTACTGGATACTCCTGGATACTCCTGGAAGCTCCTGGGAGGGTCCAGGAGCAGCTAATGGAAAATACTTTTGGAGACCCAAGAACTGAATTGATGGGAAAGTCTGAAAATTGAATAGGAAAGTGAGGGGAAGCCTTGTAGCATTGTTATTTTCTGCTGTTCTGATTTTTCCCAATTCTTCTTGGTCTCATTCCCAGCTGCTCCTCAATACTCCTGGAAGCTCCTGAAAGCTCCTGGGAGGGTCCAGGAGCAGCTGGGAGTGAGACTAAGAACAATCAGGAAAAATTGGAACAGCAGAAAATAACAATGCTTACAAGGCTTCCCCTCACTTTCCTATTCAATTTTCAGACTTTCCCATCAATTCAGTTCTCATTATTTCTCGGGTCTCCGAAAGTATTTTCCATTTTTCTCCATCATTTCTTCCTCAATTTTGCAAATAATTATATGTCCTGAAAGCACTTTAAAGGCACTATAGTTCCTGAATTTTTTTTCGATTTTTCCCTAAATTTTTTTTTCAACTTTTTAGAGACCAAAATTTTCCTCCCACTGCTCCTGGCACATTACATACTCCTCACCACTCCCAGCTGCTCCTGAACCCCCTCCCAGGAGAACACTATTGGCTCCAGGAGTGCCCAATCTGCTGTTTTGTCTCCCACATGCTCCAGCCACTCTTGATGCTCCGGAGCATAACAGACTTTTGCTGATGTACCTGAAACAGTCTAATGTCCCATACATCCAAGTCAAAAATCAAGTCGGACCAAGTCATCTCATCACTTCCTTAGGATATGTAGTTATATTACATATATAAAGAGCAAAGTATATTATCGTGACTTCCACCTCTACGGGCAGCAAGCGGAGTGTGCGGGGAGTGTTCGGGCATGGGAGAAGGTCAGGGAGGAGGTCGTCTGGCCCCGGGGAACACCGGGTCGTGACATGCAGGCCTTGTAGGGTATTAAACTTAGCCCGCTCGAGTCATCCTCGTGAGGCTTACAGTTACCTTGCTTGTGAGCCTAGCAGTACTCATGTAATCCGCAAGCAAGGTCATTCGCAACCTTTCTAGTTAGTCAAATGGTCGGGTATATAGACCTAAGATTGCATAATGAATACCTAATTTTTAACTGACGAGGTGCTTGAGTAAATCCCAAATTGTTTTCGGAGTTCCGTTGCCACCAGCCGTCAAATGCGCCAAATGTAGCACACAAGTTTAGAATTAACATTGATCATGCAACAAATGACAAGGGTTGCTACCACTGTGTCTCGCCATTCGCATTTACAAGTGCTTCAAGCTTGTGAACGCCTTGATAAGGAAAATACAGATCACAACCAGATTACTCGTTTTAATATTCAGAATCGAGGCCTCCCCAAGGCTCGTCAACATCAAATCCCTGCACGGTTGTCACCATGCATACAGTGCCATACTCCGTCTCGAACAAGGCCTCATTACCGTATGCGACAAAATCCACCTTAACGAACTTTTTAGGATCCCCATTCACTTCGATGATCCCTAGCCTCCCGGGGCTCCGGCCTTTGTGTGTACGGATCAATGTATTTACGCCGCCTTCCATCTCATCCCATGTTTGGAGCTTGGCAGATCGAGGGAGTATTGCACGAGTTTGATGCTTGGAGCGGTGCTGGGCGAAGAGAACGTGGTGAAAGGTGACACTGACGCCCGTTTGAATTAACATGTGATAAAGAACGACATCACGACCTTTGAGCTGAAAGAAAGATGGAGTATGAATGCAGGTACTGCACCGTGGAGGCTGCATTGTCCCTACCTTGTGACTGACTGAATCCGCCGTCTTCAATGCCCCGTCCATGGGCTAGATGGGTATACTCATGAGCCATCGAGAATGTTGAGACGATCGCGTAGATAATGACTCACATATTGATGTTCCAGATAGAAGCACAGACGAGGATGTTCGATGTTGGTGAAAACACCAGGAGCAGTGAGTGCGTGATATAGCAGACTGAGATTGTGATTGGAACCCGATTGAGCCAAGATCTCGGTGCCAAATGATGTATTGTCGCTACCAGTGCTGTCAAACGACAGCGTGTACGAGAGTGTCACTCTGTCAAATATTAGAATGGATTGCGAAAACGGTTATTGGATACGCTCACCGATGGCCGCTTGTGACTGGCAAAACTTCATGCTCACAATCAGAAAAGAAGGCTATCCACTCGAGATTTGCACCGCTTCCCCATTGTGTAGTGTACTCCTCGCGGCCCAGGCTGTTGTTGCTACTTTCCGTTCCTGGCGCTCTGACCACAAGCTGACCTCCCTCGTGTCGGGCAGGCAAATTAATTAGCAGTGTCCCGAACATGTCTGAGGAGCGAGGGGTGTCGATATGTCCCTTAAAGAAGTCACCAGTAGAATAAACGTTAAGTTTGTCCAAACAAGTAATGATCTGGACCCTTCCCGTGTCTGCTTCCAGCGCATGCCACAATCTCCGCAAGATCTGGCGACTTATTCCCTATTCAGTTCCCTGGCGCTTATATACAGCTTGTAACTAATGCTTGTACAGTAGTTCGAAATCAACTAGAATTCACCCCTAAGCTTACCTCTGTCCCCCGTAAGACCTCTGACCTTCTGAAGTATCGGGACCGCGTCGAGAACGAGGCGCAACACTCCTCCTCGAGTCATTGAAGCCGAAATCCCGGCTCACTCGCCTAAGTAGCCTCGGCCTCGAGATCGGTGGGGTTTATCCCTCGCTAAAGCTCGGTCGTGTGTAGGATGCCTTTACCACTAGCGGGCAACGTTCGGTTGCCTACAGCTACCATCGGCGAAGATTCGCACAGTTCTGACACTGCACTCCTTCGGCCCTGAAAGGTTGCTTACATCATCGCTCATCTGTCCGGCGGGCGAGTGCGGATTCGAAGGAAGCAGGAACTTGGATATGGAAGTAATAATACCTATACCGTAGGGGTCCAGGCCCCCTGCAGGAAAAACCCCAAAGTTCTCCTTTTGCAGCACGAGGGCGCGACGGTACGAAGGATCAAACACGTCTTCCTTTCCCCTCCCAAACGAGGCCTGACTAGATGCATTAATGAGTGGCACGATTTCGCTTTCATTCTTCAGCGGGAAGGAGACGGGAGTAAATTTGGGTGATGTTCCCCCAGAAGTTTCGGAAAGCAATATAGTGATGGGCACGTTCTCATCCAATGGGATGTTACCAGTGCAGAAGAAAGGGCGCTTGGTCGCCTCGAGGGCGGATTTAATGGCCTTAAGTTGCTTTGGGATGTTGGTACTTTTAAATTTGCTCGACATTGCAAAAAAGTGGTGAGAGAGAGGTGGTTTGAGTCAGCAAGTAACGACCAAAACTCAGGTTGAGCTAACACACCCGATCTGAAATCCAATTCAATTTCGGTACCGAGATGCTAGCAGCCGTTCGAAGAAAAGATGATTTCCAAACATTCAGACCACGGCTCTCATTTGCTGATACCACTGCACCTAAATCCTTCCTTTCTCTGCAGCGAATTGATGTGTTTGTGGTGCCAAAGCGGATGCAAAAACTATTTTCGAGCTTTGTTTCCAAAGGTTGCCCACCGGCTCCGTCGCGCTAATTGTTGGAGAACCTTTGAAATGATATGGGGTTAAGTATTGTGCTAGGAAGATCTTCGGCTGCGATGAAAGTCACTTTACACGCTGAACGTGTATGCATGCCGCATCAACCGAATTATTCCGATAACTTGAATGCATATGGTAACTTTGTTGTAGAAACTAGGGACAGATCGTACGGACAAGATGCAGCTTCGAGCAACAATGACTAACCTCTTTCGGTGTGTATCTCTTGATCCAACATCGATCACCTCCCAATCTCAGGGAAAACAGCCATGAAGCAAGCGCCAGAATATTGGTCTATTGTCTTGCCGCTTGATTTTGATTTCTCTTTATGTTCTGATTTCAGCGCCGAAGCGTATAGTGACATTTGCTTTGGAGTCCCTTCGTGAGATTAGTGATCCACGGTCTCTTCCCCTACGCACTTGCTCTTGGGACGTCAGGAACTTGTGTTCAACCCGCTTAGCCCGATACATTTTGGTCATCAACGTTGTATATATTGCCTCTGCCGCCTATTACCCCCCGGCCTCAGGTGAACATAAAGCACGAACTTTTTCAGTTGGTTAGCCACGACAAGCTTCCCTCTTTCTAATTTGGTCTCATTGTTAGCAGTGAATGTCACAATTGCTTCTTCGCGAGTCAACGGGATCAGTCCCATATATAGCCACTTGTCTCGATATCCCCACTCAATCAGAACTCAAATGCATACACCCCCACTCTCCCAGTTGAGCTCCAGAGGCTCATCTGCGAAACTGTGCTCGACCGGCCAACTCTCAAAGTGTTGAACGTCACCAATCGGCGTCTCTGCAATGTAACGGATGCATATGATGATGCCACTATCGCTGCATGGTGGCTGCGTGCACCGATATTACAACGTTTATAAGCTTCTCCTAACACCCCCGGCCGCATCGCTCAGTTGGAGGATATGTCCGATCAATTTGTATTACAGCTGGACATCGGGAGGAACCCTAAACAGGGAGGAGCATCAACATCTTAACATCATCCAAGCAACTGATCGAGGGCATCAGATCGAGGGCATCAGATCGTGCCCCAAGCTTCAGAGACTTGAGTTCTTTCCTGGAGGGGTTCAATATCAAAGCACCCCCTACGATCCATAGAAATGATTGCGCAGGATCACCCCGATGTCCTTCTCGAACCTTACATGACCCTCCTGGAGTGACCTCCGATCAACTCGCATGCCATTTCTCCGGCTAAACCTCCTTAAGGATGGTGCAGTTGGCGATTACCATGTCTAACATGGCAAGGTCCCACCATTTTTCGGGATTTTCGAGAAAAGCTAGAGTGGCGATGACACAAGATCAGAAGGGAGGAGAAGGGGTCAAGGCATTCAAGATGCTTTCTTTGAACTCAAGATCTATCAGAATTTCGAAGTTGACGGATGTAGTCTCGGGACTGAACGGCCTGTTCTCTAAATTTCGGCGGGGAGGGATTCTGAACCAGTGTGGGGCTTGCTGATTTTGTTAGCGTTCCTTCGACGTGGGAGGAAAGCGAGAAAGGCGAGCAGAGCACAAAGTTGACGGAGATTCAACCATCCTCTTTCCGCTTATACGGGGGGAAATTCTCGGGAGACGATCGTCATCATCATGGAGATCGGAACGGAACGAATGTCCCTGGTTTGTTTCGACCGATCCTCACCATCATGAAAACGAACGAGTGGGGGAATGGAAAAAGATTGGCAACTGAAAAAATTGGCGGAGTTGCAGTCCAAGTTGGAGGAGACGACTAGGCATGAGATGGAAGATTCGAATGGAGGTGATTGAGACGGAGCCTGCAGCTTTTATAGGCAAAGGACGTGAGTGCTTCAACGTTCAGTTTGTCTTCACGGACTGACTTTGTGTCCGATGGCCTCTTACAGCTCTTAACGTCAAAGAAGTTGATCACTGGCGGCCTTAATCGTCGAAAAAGGGGAGCCTTGGTGCATGATAGTTTGCGTGCAGTGAAGTCATGCGCAGGCACTTAGCGGCAAGGACGAGGCATCTATGGCGAGGGGATACGCATACAACAAAGAGGCACATAGGAAACGCACTACTCCGAACGGTGTAACGGTGTCCGATCACCGGGGTTTAGATGCCTCCACGGTCGATTACCTTCCTGAACCACGAAACTGACCGCCAGAGATGCTAAGGCCATGGCACCCATAAAAATCCAGATAAGCCAAGTCCCTCCGAGAACGTGTCGGTTCATAGAAAGCGCAAATATCGAACTATGTTGGAAGAAGGGGCCCTTTGAGCATGTGCGCCAAAAAAAAAAAAACAGGGAACTTATAATTGCACGTACGCATACATTGGCGGACCTATTGTTCGGGCTGCGCTTGCGGTCATCAGAGCAAGACTGTTAACTTTGCCCAAACAGTGTGCAGAGGGCGCTGCAGCGGTTACGAGAATTGCATTGGATCTGTGGTCAAGGGATATCAATGGCATGCGCGGCGTGCCGCTTGCAAGAAGTCACTCGCCCCCAGGTAAGACTAGCAATTGCTTTCACAATAAGCATTACGGCCACTCCAAATTTTAGCCAGAAAGGAACATCATGCCATGACTCCCCTGACTCCCCTCCGAAGCCTGCATCGTGTGCAGGGTCCGGAAAGTGGCGAAATGACCCGGTATGTTCATGGTGTCTCGTTTCGACTGTAGCGGCGGCGATGGCGTGAACGGCAGGATACAAAAGAATGAAGATAAAATCGAACACCATGGCGACACGATATATCTTCAATGTGCCCACTTTTTTATGAAGAGGTGGGAACACAAAAGCGAGCATGAGCGTGCCCATGATTGAGCCTATGCTAAGAGCGGTTGCAATTTGAGCAGGCTAAACAGCGGTACTGTTTTTAGCACACAACATAAACTCCGGAAGAACAAGTACACTCTCACCGTAAGACTTATTCCCCCGTGATCGACTGCGATATACATCCAGAGTGCGAATATGTAATCGTTCGAAGTGGAGATCATCGCCAATAAACCATAGGATAATACCACGCCGCGCACGATAGGATCTTTGAGAATCTGCCTAACGGACGTATGGTCCTCAGGTTGGGAAGGAGGTGTAGTAGATGCCGCGGCTCTTTGTTCCTCGGACTGGGATAGAGGCCGTATCGATAGCCTGGTCACTCCGGTGCTTCCATAATTCACCCCAGCCATAGATAAGGCTTGGGGTGAAAGCAGACGGCTCTCCTCCTCATGTTTAAGGGTATTCGTTAAAGGATGGCTCGGAAGCGTCTATTGAAGTCAGTCCACTTTCATCATATCACGAGAAGCTTATTGCACTCACTTCTCGAAAGAACAATGTGATGAAAATGAAGGAAATTGCGGGAACAATAGCGGCCACGAAACATGGGAGCGCATAAGGATGGTCAAGGAAATATTGCGAATTTTTGAAACGATCTGGGAAACGCCTTTCCGGATGGCTCAGGAAGCCCCCTATCAAAGGGCTATGGCTCCATTGTGCCGGTAACTAACTTCATGATTTTGCGACTCACGCAATGGTAGAGCCAATCGTCCAACACAAAGGGATGAATGAAAAGGCCCTTGCTTGATTAGTAGAATCGGTGACGTCGCCCATGGCACTGGCGAAGTCAAAGGGTTCAGCATGCGTGCACTTGAATCACACAAATTCTATCACCTTCGGATGACTCTGGGAGGTCGTTTTATCAGCAGCAGAATTGAGGAGAAACGAGAAGACTCACGGGACGTCGCCATAACTTATACCAGATATCGTCCTTGAGAGCAACATTTGCCAATACTTCTCGACAACCCCGAACACGACAGTTGAAACAGTACATATCGTGAGGCATGCCATAATAATAGGCCTGCGACCAACCCTATCGGACAATGCTCCCCATACATACACTATCCCTCGCCATGAATAATTCATAGTTAGAACCATGAGGTCGACATACCGAAAAGGAACTGTGCCAAAGCATAGCATCCAAAGATGAGACCAGACCAACGAGCTAGTTGTTCAGGAGAATTTGATATATCACCGATTCTCTATGTGAAATGCAATCCAGTATCAAGACCCCAAACCATGGCGGATATGGAAGATCTCAACTTCATTGATAAAAGGATACACAAAAGTGACGATTACAGGATCAGACAGCGACGCAAAGGCCAGAAGGAATACCTGGACCTTTGGCAAAGGAGTGACGCTTTGAGACGTAAGTTTGTTTGCTGCAGCCTTCCTCGAGTACGAGCAGTAACGCACAACCAAACGTCTCCACGTGACAGAGCTGGCCCGCTCGCCTCTGCTTGGATCTCAGGTGCTAATAAGGGTATGGGGGCATCTATTCCATCCTGAGGGGCGACCTGGACGACGGGAGCAGCCATATTGTCGAGGGCTCAGATTCTGGGCTTCAGGAGAGCTCCGAAGCCAGCTCCGCAATTCTCACGCTGGATATGACATGACGTAGGGGGCTAGAGTATGTACAGGGGATCACAAAACCAGACGAAGGCCCGGTTAAGTAAACGCCAACTCCGAAATTAAAAACTTCGACACACGTGATGGGAAAGGCAACTGTCGGAATTTCGTAGCGGAGTTGGCCGAATATATTTGTCTATTTGTCTATTTCGTTTTTATGAGTCAAAAACTATTAAAGCACCCTTCAGAGCTGGAATGACTGGTAAATGCGATGAAGAGCGCTATTGAGGGTCGCGCAACGGGTGGCCACGCTTGGCGGTATTCTTACTACTAACGACGTGGTGGCCGTGCCGCGAAGAGGCTAGTAGCTGGGCAGTCTACAGTATAGAGCTCGAGGTCGGCTTGTATGTCTTACCTTAGCTGCAAGTGAAGCGAATTTATTCGTCTATTCGTCCTAGTAGCCTTTGTTGGAGAATATCCGTCATCCGACTGTTAATAACATGATTATTGACAGAGATGGACATTGTAATTATTCTAATATCTTTGGGGGTTCAAACCCTCGTTCTCTCTGTTATACGGTGTAGTCGCTGCTGGCGTATTCGCGTACAAAGAGAGCTTTTTTTTTTCACTCCCACTCCCTCAAATCTCTTGTTCGAGAGAATTCCCTTTATCGTTTTGAGAATCATTCTAAATGTATTTATTGGTGAAGTTTAACGCGCCATAGTCCTTGTACATTTTAAAAGCCTGCCTAGCCTCGGCGTCACGCCATTGTGCATGAATGGGTGCACTTGTTCGAGTCTGGGTCTATCTCTCGGCTTTGCTCGTAATCAGGTTTGAGGTCCCCCTTAAGTTTCCATGCGTTTAGAACGACAGGGTAAGCAACTTAGGTGAGATGCACGCATTGCCTGGTCCACCATCTTGCGACGTGTCGCAAGTGCAATTGCGTCAGTCTTTCCTTGCTATATGGTTCATGGCGGGGCCCGACTTGGTCAAACAGCCTGTGCCTGAATTGTTCTCTGTGGAATATTACTTATGTAATCCGCTTTGGAAATAACCCAGAATAGTCTTCCTGTCACCAAATTAGGAAAGCGTCGGGTCGGGTGACCTTGAATTGAAAACGGGTTTGTTATATTGTTCATTTTGCACCCGAAAACTGGACGGACACCGTCAACAGCCTCCATCCTGTCCAGACACACCTAGGCATCGAGGAGATGTCCCTACTGGAGAACCCTCAAACCCCTACAAAAAAAGGCCGCAAGCGACGCACGGTTGAGGAAGAGGACGGGGAATATGCCGATTCCGATGAAGAAGTTGTTGTTACCCCTAGGACTCCATCTCCCAGAAAGCGCAGGAAGGCTCAGCCCACCGATACTTCTCCGAGCAGCCCTCGTAAGAAACTTGCCAAAGGTGAAGTGGCGTGGTGCGATATCCCTGAATGGCACCACGATCGTTCTCCTTTTCTCAGCCTACCTGTCGAAATACTCGATAAAGTGAGATATCCTCCTTCAACCCAGGCTTCAATAGTACTAGTCGGAGCCCCATCTCTTTCTATACAGATTACGAGTAGGGAAAATGGCCTCGAGGTGCGCAAATCCAGAGATCTGTGGTGTGAGTTTCGGAACTGACCTGGCCCTTCTCACAGATCACGGACTATCTCGCGCTGTCCGGAGTAAATAGGCAAATACGAAGTCTCTTCACCCCGGAAGTTTGGAAAGTAAGGCGCTTGTTGGATTCCACCTATGCTATTGCTTACGTCATCGCACCGTCAGAAACTGTATGGACGAAGGTTGGATTTGGATATTAATGAGGACGTTCCCCACTTGTGGAGTGCAGGCTGGCTTGCCAGCAGGCGGATCCGAAGGCCAATGGGGTTCTTCAACAGCAGTTGTCATCATAAAGACCTGGTATGCCATGGCACACCATGAACAATGCTAAAGCTTACGCTAAGATTCCAGCTATCGAATCAGCTTCAGCTGGTTGAGTGGGAAGATGGAGAAAAGCATCATTTGATCAAGCACACCCCATATACAATCGTCATGGTGAGCTTCCAGTGCTAGTGTTATTCCTCGGGGGGTGATCAGGTTATACGTTCCCCTCACGGCGATCCCATAGTCGGCGGCTCTAAGAAAGTACAAGGTACGTTCCTTTTCATGCATGGTATGCGTTTGTAGGTGAATTCATTCATCTCATAGATTAGCAATAAGCTCGTTCCTGCATTGGTGGGTGGTATTTCCGTATCTAACTATTCTCTGCTGATGAATATCTTCTTCAGAAAGCGCTTCACCACAAGCGATCTTATAACTGGAACGATCCCATCGGGTGCGTCGAGACTCCGAGCTCCATTGCCGTTTCCTCTCACAAAGCCAATCATTACTTCAGGAACAACAAGGACTGCTACGTCTTCCTTGAGCCTACTGTGCGGAGGTTTGCCTTCATGGCCCATGGCGGCGTTTGGGAACATGAGCAACATGTCAAGAAACTCAATGAAAGGGCTATTGCGAGGATTGAAAATTCCGTACGTCTTCGCTTATCTTCGGAACATAGGAGAGCCTCACCCACACGAGGAATTAGATGAACAAAAACCAGGATCCACCCGAGGATGCTGAGGCTTGACGAGAAATTGCGTATCGCATGTCGCACTGTTTCCATTAGCAAACTTTCTTGGTCCCCGTGTATCTTGTTTCTTGCTTATATCTTGTGTCTACAATCAGTTTCACCACATCTGTATCCCATCTGTACGTTTAGTTCCTTTCTTGTGGAAAACTCGGCGTGAATATGTTTTGGGCAGAGTTCGAGCTCAAGAAATAACATTTGCATTATGTACATATACCATACGTTCCCTTTGGCGGCACCGGCGTGTAATTATGCAGATCCTATGCAATCCATACCAGAATTTCTCACTTCGAGTTTGAGTGCAAAAGAAATCTTGCTAACTATGCTTTGCCTTGCATGCCAAGGTTGATCCGGAGTTTTGGCTGGCGGCCGAATAAAGGCATAGAGTTGAGGGAGGTTTTGGTGACACGATGGATATTGGATCGCAGGAACAAACAAAACTTGGGAGGAGGGGCGTGAAAGGGGGACAGGGCAGTCAATAGTGTAGCGAAAACCCAGGCCGAAGCAAACGTAACATGCATCCAACCACCGGTAGACCAACATCCGCGATTAAAGGCAGAAGCCATCAAACATGGGCGATTATCAAAGCGAGTGCACTGCAATCAAATATTGAGATTAGAAAGTGATTGAACAAAACCGTGACTGCAATACGCCAACGCCAATGGAAGTGCGTACCCAAAGGGAGGGCAGCACAGATGTTAGGACGGTAATGTGGTGTACAGGCCTCGCCAGGGTAACACGACGCTGCGGAACCAACTCAGTGAGTCAGGTCACAGAAAAAATTCTACAAATGCAATGCAACCAGCGATAGGAGGAGCGGTTATTGCCAATGTAACATTTAGAAATGAGGTTTCTTTTTTTGGTGGAGCCCCAGTAGCTTTCGCGATACATGGTCAGTGCCAGTCCGCCACCTGGCCCCGGCTATGGGGGGTCCGGTATACCCACGGGCCACGGCCAGTTGTCCGGCAGTTTCCCTTCTTCGTGGAGGTTCCACCGCTTTCGGCTACGATTTGTCAGGGCGATATCCTGTTGGAGTTTGTTGTTGAGGCCGGCGACAGGAGGTTTTGGGCGAGGTTGGGTGAGGGTTCTGAGTTCGCAGCGGATAACTTCTGATATACAATGAAGAAGCCAGGATCAAACATGAACGATTATTTATATGTTAGATTAATAGCTCGAGCGGGGGTCGCATGCACAACGCATATACTCCTGCCTTGAACCACGCGACGCAGCTCTCATGGAAAACGTTCCCCAAGACATATGGGAAACTCTAAAGCATCGTTGCGTCGATATTGGCCACTCAGATGAAGCCGCCGAAGATCTTGTCTGGCGTGACATTCCAGTTTGGACGCACAGCCGCTCCCCTTTCATGGAGTTACCTGTCGAGATTCTCGACAAGGCAAGCAGAGTTTCCTTTGATCTTTTGGCAAGGCTTAACGATGGTTCTACTTTCTTGCCAGATAACTGACCCCGGTAATGGTCTTTCGGTTTGTATATTCGAGGTGGGGATTCGAATTTTGGTAATGATGGAATCATAACCTAGCTTTCGGACTATCTCGCAATATCGGGGGTATGTCGGGAGATTAGGGGCCTGTTCACAGCGGATGTTTGGGAAGTAAGCATTATTCGTTTTCACGGTGGATGCGGCTTATTTTGCGATGTTAGAAATTACACCGCCTATATATGGGAGTGCGCATGCCAACACTCCTGATCTTCGAGAATCACTTAAATCATATAAGACGGACAAACATCACTTTTTTAAACACCATCTGGAGTTCTGGCTGGCTTGCAATTCGCAATGGTGAGATCCCAACTTTCAATTGTGGTGATACATCGTACAAGTCCGAGGTAAGGAAGGAAAGGTTGAGCTCTGAGGCGGGGCCCTAAAGTATTCCAGGTGCTTCGCATGCTCGATTTCTGGGGCCCAACTTGTCAACAAATTGATTTGGTAAGCCAGACTAGCCTTCATTTGCAGCAATAACACTTATCTCGATCCCCATCACAGTTGAGTGCGGTGGATCGATATGGCGTAGGTAGTATCTGCAGTCTTCAACACAATGTCTTATTGTTATCAATAGCTGACTCCACTCGAGGGAAAAATCCTGGTAAATATACAGTTCTATCCATTCTCCCGACTGTTGAACTGATATGGGGTGAATATAGTTGTGTGATCCTCGTAAACGTCTGATCCATGACTCTGCAGGAGACTGGGATGGTTGGGCCATACGTCTCCCCCCTAACTACACGCTCCCAGAGGCAAAAGTCCGCCGACTGGCCTATATGGCTCATGGAGGACCACGCGGACATGCGGAACACATGAGGAAAATCTATCAGCACCGGCGCTACAGTACCAGAAATCTATAGATCACGCAGATGGGTTCGATTCCGATTCCTGGGAAGAATATGAATGCTAACCATGATATGGAAGTTAATTCGCCTGTATTCCAACAGAGGTTGCCATTCTCAGTACCCCAAGCCACTCCAACCCCCTGTAATACACGTCCTTCCCTTATGTATCATTTCGAGGCTCGCCATTAATATGTCGTATGAGCCAGCTGTCATTGTCAGTTGGATGACGAACTCGGAATACAATAAGGTACCCTTAGCGCGCTACCAGTCGATGTCTTCCACTACTGTGACCTATATACTTATCCCAACTGTGCATCTCACACCTCTAGGCAGGGACCCCTTTCTTGTGCAATACTTTTTTCTTAGATCTCCCTCCATTCGGAGCTGTGTTGGATGCGAAAGAACAGGCATTTTCTGGGGATTTGGCTGGCAGCGAAGAAGCGCCTGTGTTTCAGGAATGAATTGTTTCCGAGTTGGTAAATTATTATAAATCAGGCCGCCGAGGCAACCCCTTTGTTCAGATCGAGCCCCTGCCACAAGCGCATGCGAGCAAAGACGCAGCTACTATGGAAAGCTCTCCTCGGGATACCACAAAGAAGCTTAAGGTTCGAAAGCGTCGTGACATCATAGATAAACCCACAAATGGCATCGACGCCCAAAGCCGCCTAGATGAAGCCGCCGAGGAACGTGCCCTTAAGAAGTGCAAAACATCAGTCGGCTCCACAAATATCAAGGATGTTCCCAACAAGAGGTCAACGAGACGGGAGATTGCCTGGCGCGACATCCCAGTTTGGAAGCATGACCGCTCCCCTTTCATGGAATTACCTCTCGAGATTCTTGACACGGTGAGTTGCATTCTCCCGCGCCTTCCACAATTGGCGGAGCTAGCAATGGATAACATGTTTTCTAGATAACTGACCCCCAAAATGGGCTTATAGTTCGTATAAATTTAGAGCAAAGATGCGGAATTCGATGATGATGGGGTTACAATCTAGCTTTCAGACTATCTTGCATTATCAGGAGTAAATCGGGGGATTAGGCGCCTATTCACAGCGGTTGTTTGGGAGGTGGGCATTGGTCACTGTGATAATTATTGCTTTGTTTCTGACTCGCTAAACGCTAGAGACTATACTTGTATATGACTTCGCTCAAGCAAACACTGATAGGTTGCGGGCCAAATTTCGAGGAGCGCTTTAAACTGGCAGGCTGTACTGTTAGGACCATCTGGAGTACTGGCTGGTTGGCGATTCGCAGTGGCGAAATCATCACGTTCAATTGTGGTGATAGCCTTTGCAAGACCATGGTGAGGAAATAAAAATTGAACTCTGGACGGGCTAATAAAATGTCCCCAAGGTGCTTGATACTTTTGATCTGGAGAATCCAACTTGTCACAGCATCCGCCTGGTAAGATAGCGCAAACCACTTTCCCAGTGTGCTCGTCTCAATACATACTGCGGTTGCCCAGCCTGATGCAGTGAATAAATATGGGGTATGTGTTCTGCTGATCAATCGTCCAGTGTTCGATATACTCAAAGCAGTGCCTACTATTGTCCATAGCTGACTCCACGCGAGAGGGATATGTTGGTAAAGATACAGTTCCATACGTTCCCATCCCACCGTTGGTCTGATATGAGATGAGACAGAAGTCTAGTCCTCATAAGCAGACCAAAAATCTTAGGTCTTTTTGGGGGCAAGTAAAACCTCTTAAGATTTAGCTTCGGCACTGATTTTCGTAGCCCTCCTGTTTACATATTTTTGGAGATGAGAGTCCGTCGCCTAGCCTACATGGCCCACGGGGGTCCATGGGGTCATGAAGATCGAATGAAGAAACTTCGTCGGCGTCGCCTCTACGTATGCCAGAAAACCTGTTATCGTCGTTGCCTAGCTTGACCCCTGACTCTGCGGAGAAGGGTGCTTTGTAGCGAGGCTCTGGCGTGGCCCAAAATCATGTCATTTCCCGGGGGCGGGGAGACGATGGCCCATTTGTAGATATATCACTATACATTTTCGCTGTCAGTGGAAAATAGGACTCGCTGACGCAGCAAATACCTACCATCCTCGTACTTTTGATTTGATTGAAAAATGGCTGATGCGATATTTCAGATTCGCAAAGGCACATTAATGCGCAGAACTGAGTCGAGCCAGTCAAAAGTGCATCCGAATAGTCCTTCGGGGAGCGTTCATCAATAATAAGTGCTTCTTCCTGTGACGAGGGCGAGCGGACAGCTGGCTGTAAGAAAGCTAAGCCGTTGTATGGCCAACGACATGGCATCACAGGAGAACGAGTTTATCATAAAATGCGCAGTAGCTTTATCCACATTCGGTCCAGATCCGGAGGAGGTCAGTTGCCAGTGTCCCAATACTTATCGTACACGGTACAAAACACCAAGCCACCTATAACATGATCGAATTAATTTATGAGCCCGGGAGACTCGTCCTTCAAGATTGCATCTTGGAATTGAGAAACTAACTCGTGAGTTCCACCAACTCACAGAACAGTTCGACAGCACAGCTTATAGACTTGGACAATCAGCATACACGTGTTGGAGTTGCGTGACGTGCCTCAGCCGTAGGGCGTCCACAGAGGAGCGCAAGAATCACAGAGCATGAGGAGATGGTACGCGCGCGGAACGTATGGCAGAGCCTCTATGTTAATAGTTATAGATGCCGTACGCTATCGTCTGCCACGGAGCGCTTGGGGAACAAGGCAAAAAGCAAACACACCTCGACTGGATCAGTAGTGACGAAACCAAGATTCACCAATTGCCAACCCTCCGAAACCTAGCCCTTCGTAGTCGTATGGGTGGAGGTCGCGGGCAAAAGATTCGTGGTCAACATACATGAATAAAATACGCATTCAAAGGATAAACAGCCCTTGTCAGGGTTCAGTGCAAATGTCCTAAGTCGAGGATACCAACCCGGAAGCCATAGCACTCTTAGGCAAGAACCTAGCCTCTATGACTTTGTCGGGAAAAAAATCAGAGATTGTGTGTTTCTTCCCATCAAGAGCAGTCTTCCTCTGCTTCTCCCGGAGTTTCTGACAGGTCTCCCTCTCTTTTGCTTTATCTCGGCGTAGACTGCGCTCGGACCGAACACCATTTATGGTTGTGCCAGGGTATGCAGTGACTTTGTTGCCGGATGATACTCCATCCACATTGGGGTAGTCCGAGCCATTGGTCAAGTTGATGCAACCACCTTCCCTGGTGCCACCACGAAATGGAACGCTACATCCAAGGCATCCCATGATTTGGAATGGCATCCGGGCTCATTTCACGTGGTTCTTGCATAGGAGCATTGGTGCGAAATTTCTGAAAACAGGTGAGACAGTATTTCACCCCAAGTTCACAACTGTGTGACTTCTCTAACCTTTTTCTGGGAGTAGTGTCCAAGGTTATTCGCACGCTTGCGTTTTTTGCTGATAGGCATGATAGAGGCAGGCAGAGGCAGGCGGAGAAAGGGCAAAATAGCGTTTACTTTCCCCCTTTGAAAATTGGCAATTCCCGATTCAATTTGGTTCGAGGCTTCGTTTTCATGTCCGACGCGTACCTCTCGGCTGATTGAAATCTATTTGACGATGACTTCCATGTTCTCGCTCGCGCTTTGCTGTTTTCCTTTTTTTCCCTCGGTTCCCACATCCACGTTGAACGATCTTCTCAGCCCTCCAAGCCATATATGACCACCTGTCGTTCCTCATGCACTGGGAAAATGCACCTGTTGTTGAATGACACCTTATCTCCAGCTTCAAAGATAGAAAGTTTGTGCTTTGTGAGTGGACTGGCGATTATGTATATCGGGACCTTCGTTCCTACGTATGATCGGAAAATGGTCGGAGGGTTTTTCTAAACGAGTTATTTCCGTATGCAGGTCGCAAAGGTGCTGTTAAGCTACTCGATGGTTGTTCCAAGGCCATTGCAGGCAGCGCCGATTTCGCTGAACATGTGGTTTTTACTTTTTTGTCGCGCCTGTCGCGTAATCAGCATTTGGCCTTCACTTATTTTCTACCGCGACTCTGGTTCAGGACTTCACTCGTTTCCCCACCGCCATATGTATCGTATTCACGCCTCTGCACAAGCAACATGGGTTGAAAGGCAATACTGGGTCGATTGGGGGACCTAGCTTCATTTCCTTCCGGAGAGATAATGACCGAAAGTTGGGATCGAATTAAATAATTGTATGCAAGGAAGCCTTTTTACTCACCCTCACCTGATATTTGGGATCCGTTCATAAGGACCAGACTTCGATACCATATCAGTCCAGCAACGGGGTCAAAGTGGAGAACTTTATCATTGCCGAGGTATCTCTCTCACGCGGGGTCATCTATAGATCAGAAAACAGTATCGTTCGTCTGTGAGCACGCTGAGTGCTAGATGATCGACACAATCGCATCATCAGAACTGCGGGGTCATGGATGCTGCTTGAAGAAAACTCATCAGCATCGAGCTAATATGTGGCCCGGGGCTCGTATCTTGCACCACCTTTCTGTGAACGGGCACTGAGTACGTATGCAATTCACGCGTGGTTTCCACGGGAATCTCATCCTGATGTGAGACCAGCCGACGCACAGTTGGATTTTGCGTCGGATCGATCCAGCTGCATCCGTCCTTTTCCTTGGTATCCTAGTATCTCATGGTGTCCTGAATATACCCATTCGTCCCTCATGTATCGCTATAAGCCTCGAATGCACCGTATGAGCCGCTGCTGCCGCGGCTAGATGACAGAAGTGGGCCGAAGCGTTCCCTTATTTGGAAAATATGTGAATTGTTTGCTTCCGTTGTCGGGCTGTGGCATCGCCCATCACTGACTGTCATCCGAGTCATATTAACGGGCGCTTCCCTGCTCTAAAGGAGTCTAAACTTTCCAATCCGTACTCCTCAATAACACGCGCACCTCCCGATTTTCACCGCTTACAAAAAAAGACTCTTTGAAATCCATTGACGACTTTCACGTTCTGGCCTCGCTCTTTGCTGTTTTGTTGTCTTTATTTTCTCCTGACGTCCAGATTCACGAACGATCTTCTCTGCTCTGTAAACGAACATGGCCGCACGTGTCATTCCTCTCACTTGCTCTGGGCACACTAGACCTGTGGTTCATCTCAGCTTCTCCCCTATGCTGGAAGATGAAGGCCAATACCTCCTCATCTCTAGCTGTAAAGATGGAAACCCTATGCTCCGTAACTGGCTTGGCGATTGGGTCGGCACTTTCATTGGTAATATCTCTTGTGTATGATCCGAAAACAGTCGGAGTGTGTCCCTGAACCGAGTTATTCCGCATTACAGGTCACAAGGGGGCTGTCTGGAGCTCTAAGCTCTGCACTGACGGTTCCAAGGCTGCTACAGGAAGTGCCGATTTCACTGCGTACGTATTTTTTGTTCGTGCTGCCTTGTCACGCAATCAACATTTGACCCTTCCTTCTCGGGGGCGTTTTTGATGATGATGATGCTGCTGCTGCTTAACTGCTGCAAAAATTTTTTAGTAAAGTGTGGGATACCTATACTGGTTCCCAACTTCACTCGTTTCCTCACAATCACATCGTCCGAACTGTCTGCCTCTCTCCTTCTGCTTCGCATCTTCTCACTGCTGGACACGAGAAGAAAGTGAGATTGTTCGACCTCACACGTCCAGATTCAGAACCCTCCTTTTTGAGACGTCCGAACAGCGTTGATGCACATGATGCCGTGATCAAGAGCGTGATTTGGGATGCCGATCGAGCTGTCGGCGTCAGTGCAGGAGACGACAAGATCATCAGGTATGAACAGCTACGATTCTTAACTTTTTTTCAAATCATATATATTCGAGGAAAATCTGATGGCATCAAAAATTAATCCATTTCCATCAATGACGAAAGATGGTGGGACTTGCGAGCGCTACAAGAAATTCATTCTGTTACGTTAGATGATCCTGTGTCATCTATGGAACTCTCGGCGCCAAACAACACGCTTGTCGTCACCTCGGGCAAGAACGTGTCATTCATGCCTCTTGTCCCAGGCTTGTTTCCTACGCATAAACTTACCTTACCTCATGCCCCATCATCTGCCAGCCTGCATCCAAAGTCAAAGGATCGATTCGTTGCAGGTAGTACCTCCGATCCGTGGGTGAGGGTATACGGGTATCAGGAAGGAGAAGAGAGAGAAGTGTACAAGAGCCACCATGGGCCGATACACTGTGTCGAGTATAGCCCTGATGGTGAAATATACGCCTCAGGGAGCGGTGAGTCATGTTCAGTGGAGGTGTGATCCAAGCCCTGATTTCTTTGGACGATTTTTACAGAGGATGGCACGATTCGTCTCTGGCAGACGATTCCTGGAAAAACGTACGGTCTTTGGCAGGGGCAGGATTAGGTACTTGAGGCATTTGATTGTATCCACTGCACTGTTCAGGTTGCTGTCAGGAGCAATGATGATGATGATTTCGAAATCGCGATACCGAACACATTCTGCACTACTATCCGAGAGACAACTACAAGATGTAGAAAGCTAGCTATTGTTGACATAAGTAAATAAGGATAACCCACTGGAGTATGATGGGACGACGGGAAAAGAACATAGCAAGACAGAAAGCAAGGATGCAAATGCAGAGATACAGTGAATAGCATGAAAAATTCTTGACCAAAACTATCAAATCGAAACAGACAAAGGAGTGGTATAATTGGTTAACGTGTTTGTACCGCAAAAAGGGGATCGTAAGAGGTCAAGGAGCGTGAAAGCCAATACGGGGTTGTTATGCAATTCGCCACAGTCGTAATATGAATTGTAGAAGAATACAAGGGGCGAGCAACTCGCTTCCACCGATCAATGGCCTAGAATTGGCGCCATGAGATCAAAAAGGGATATCCAGCAAGCCCTTCTTGAGAGGTGACTCAGCTGCGGAGCGATCATTCATCTCCGAATAGCAGAAACATAACGCCGCTAAAAGAGATACCATGTGACAAGCTTCTCAGAAAAACTATCATTAGCCATTCAATGCAAGGATAGCACCCATTTCCTTCTCGTCCGCAGCATCCAGTCTACGGCTACGGGCTTTGAGTCGCACTGTTGATGGTAACACACACGATAGTTCTTTAATTCCCATGATATGATCGCGTAGGAACGAGGACTCACAATTACGGTCAAAGCTTAGAAGCACAACCTTTGCAGTCCGGGAGGTGGGCGTCATAATGCTACCTTGGAGCCCGGGAAGGAATAACTGGCGGTCGACGAAATGCTCGGCTTGCCATGACGCGGAACGCAGAATCAAGTCGTCCATGGTCTTGTCCGTGTTGGAGTCGTCGTGGAAATCGATATTCTCAGCACGGACGGAGAGGGTTCGGAGATAGTTGCCCTTGGATGTCTGGACCTTGAGAGAGGACGAGTTGGCAGGGACAGCACTGGTGAGATAAGCCAGAGCGTCATTAGCAGCATTGCCAAGAGGGGAGTTATTCTTGGAAAGACCATCGAGCTCGGTGACGGCTATAAAACGCCGAATGAGGAATGCAATGATGTACCAATTGAAGGAGTGACACTTACCAGCCAGAGGAATAACAACGGTCCAACGGTTCGACTGAACGAGGCTAGCAACAACGGAGAGAGAAGAAAGGAGGATGTTGGTGTCAATGACGAGTACAGTATACCCGGGAATGGCCTCGAGCGCAGGCCTGCTAGCTGGCGGCTTGCTCTGGCGCTTTTGGGGGGCCGGTCGAGCTGGCCTTTCTGACGACCGTAGCAATAACCTACGGAGATAGCGACGTCGGGCCTAAATAATGAATTAGATTTGCTGTTGATTGTGAACAACACCAACGGAAATACCTTGAGGTCTTTGACCTGTTCAGAATCCTCTGGATCCTCGTCGTTCTCATCTTCCACATCCTCACTATCGAGCTCCTCTTCAACTTCCATATCACCTGGAGAAGACGTCGCGTTCCGGTATCCCCTCGAGCGCGCGAGCGCCTCCCTCTCTTCCTCTCTCCTCTCCTCTTCCCATTTCGAGATCTTAACCTCAAGCTCACCAAGTACAACAACGCTCTTGGCTTGATCGTCCCATTGCAACCCAGGGATGAATTTGAGTAGGACTTCAGCGGTCGTCCGCACCCGCTTCCACCGCGCAGCCGACAATGCCTGAGGTGGAGCAGGAGACGCCTCCCAATCCATTTCGTCCTCCCTTTCATCCTCCACAATCCCATCCTGACTCTCGGCAGTCGTAGGCTCGTCTGAAGACGCCTCGCCAGGGCGTATGACGTCCATCTCGCCATGAATGCTTGGAATAGGACACCTACTCTTCCAGAAACCTCGCTCATAAACTCTTCGACCAGCCCATTCCATACCACGAAGACACCAGTCTTCAGGTACCAGATGACCAGCCGACAACTTGCCGGCGTCACGGGAGGACGAGGGCGTGGGACGGGAGATTTGTTGGAATGATGCGGTGAAGAGGGCGGACAGAGTTTGCCATGGGACGTAACGCTCCATAAGCTGTGTTACGGAAGGGGATTTGAGGAGAGTGGAGAGGAAAGTAAGGATGACGGTGATGTAAGGGTTGAGAATTGGAGATTGCTGGAAGGAAGGGTTGATAGGCATGTACGGGTTTTTAGAAAGAATATAATTAAGAATCGTGAAAGTAACCTCGAATGCAAGAGATAGGATGAATTGGGCTTGCTTCTCTGCAGGATCTTCCTCCGCTGGGTCCGTGGAGAGGGCTTGCATGGGTGCAGAGAGATGTGAAGGGTCCTGATCCGCATCAATAGCAGACGACGTCGCATCGGCCACCTTGTCCTCCTCTACCTGCTCCGCCCATGAAGAGACAGTAACGGATATGGGATCATTCGCATTAGCACCAGGTGAAGGGTCGGTGTTCCCCACACCCTGGGAGGATGGCTGACTTGCATTGCTGGCAACCTGGCCATTTTGGGGATGGGACTTCTCTCCACCGGCTAAACCACCCGCTTTGCGTACTTTGGCGTCTGGTCTCCCGAACTCAAATATACTCCCAACACCCAGAATAGCCATCGTGATCCATTCGTGCTCCGCCACAGCGAACTCATCGAGTTCCAGACGCTCGATGAACCGGCCGAGGTTGGGACGAACTTGGTCCAGATCAATTCGCGTGAAGAGCAAGCCGATGATGTGGAGGAAGAGTGCTGTAGCGGGTGAAGTAGGAGACGATAAGTTTTGTTGCATCGAAGGCGAGAAGAACTCAAGCATGGCGTCGCGGCCCGTATCGAACGGATGGTTAGCAATCAAGCTGAAACCCCGTTTTGTCAGTCCTCGTATCCTTGAACAAGATAACGAAACCCACCTTTTTACGAAGTGGTACACTGTCCTAAGCTCATCGCCCTTCACGTTCTGACCGAGCATCCCGATGTGATGGTGCAATCTACCCGCACCGGGCGTATCCTTCAGGCCCATCGCGTACCACTCTCTGGCGGTACGCCTCCATGTATCACACTCGTCCTCGTCACCCCATTCGGCGGCAGCGCGGACACCCACGGAAGGAATCGGCGAGTCATCAATCTTTGGGACTGGGGGGTCAATCGGTAACACGACCATGCTCTCGTCTCTTTCTGATGAGGCAGCCGCAACAGCAGGCTGAAGAGGTGGAATGTTCGCCGCATGGACAGCCACTAAGAGCCGATAATTTGCAAGATCACCCAGAGCTTCAAGCCATTTCCCTCTGTAGGCCTCCAAATTGCGCTCTTCGAGAAGAGAGGTGTAAAGGTGGTAGGCGTAATAGATGAAAGATGTAAGGTGCTCGAGGGCGCGCGGGGAGGTGAGAGATGCTCGGCGGAGAGCGACAATGAGGCGGTGGAAACTGATAGACCACAGCCGAGTGGGAATGTTGTACTTGTCAGGGATGGATTGCATCGAAGCGGGGACGTTAGCATTAGTAGTGAGCAGCAATAAATTATGGTGCGCCTCAGCGAGTCTATCCGAGGTAAAGACAACAGGTCATCACTGAGGGTGAAGAGTCTAATTTCAAGTTACTCACACTTTATGACTCGCGATTAGCCTAACCCAAGTTTCGTCTGCGGTCTCGGTGGCAATGCTGTGCCCCTGGACTCTCGACATGTCATATTCTTCCTCGACAGACCTGACAGGTGGATCCTCGCTCAACAATTTCTTCTCTAGTGCGGAAATCTCCCTATACACTCGCTTCAGCTCAACAACGAAAGGATTCACGCTGCCGGGCTCATCCTTCTTGGGAGTCCCACTCAAACCTGAATCTACGCTGCTGGCACTGGTGACGGATGATAAGGTAAACGCTGAAGACGGGAATGACCGAGTGTCTGAGGTCGACGAGACAGAGGCATAGTCTGCTGGCGTCATACCAAGGTTCGGGGGAACGGAAGAAAGCGACGCTTGCTGTCGCGACAACACGGAGAAGCGCATAGGATCATCTCGAGAGGGATCAAACAGCTGTTTCGCACCAGGCGGCGGAGCACCTCTTTGCAGTAGCGATGGTCCCTGCTGTTGTGTGTGTTGCGGCTGCGCATGACGCAACTGCGGCGAACGACTATTCGGCTTCGTGGGAGCAAGGCCATTGATGCCCGGGACAGCGTTACCGTGCGAAGGCTGGGATACACCAACTCCAGGAAGCATTCCGTTGCGCAGCCGAGATGGACCCGCGGACGAAGTCTCAGACATGATTTCAGGTTCGCGATGTCGCTGCGGAACTGCTAACGAGGGCGGTAGGTGTGGTTGCGCTAGTCGGGTAGGCACGGGATCTGTGTCTGGGTCGAAGAGTTTGCCTGCTACTGGGGCAGCTTTTGTCTTGCCTAAAGTACGATCAAAATCTGCATCTACGCTGGTAGGCACATTGCGTGCGGGACGGGAGGATTGTTGGGTTTTGCGCCTCGGAGAATATGTATTTCCTAAAGGGGATGATGAGGGTGGGGGTGCTGGGGAAATGGTCGAAGGACCAGCGACAAGGATCGGAGTTGTGTTGCCGGTGGCCGCCACAGCAGGAGAAGGTGCAGGTCTCTCTGCCCGCCTAGTCGCTCTATGATTGACATGTGTACAAGTTAGTAGATACTTGGATGAGATCGAATGCATACGCACGACGCATTCTTCCTCTGTAATGCGATCAGTCTGTCAGCAATGTCAAGGACAGGTGCATCTTTTCCGGAAGCCCCAGTGGTCGCACGAGGATGATTGAGAACATTTGAAGACACTCGCTCCTTATTCGCCGAGGCTAGCTGAGCATCTCGCATGATGTCCAAGAGAGTACACCAACAGGACTGCTAGCGCGGCGTCTAGGATTTAAGAAGGCAAGCCAGTAAGTAAGGATGAACCGAGTGCGAAGGGTAGTTAAGAAACAGGTAAAAAGGACGGGCACGGCACTCAGGCATTCCGCAGCACTTTGCTTCCGGCCTGCGGGGTTGCCCAAGTTGCATTTAATTTGAATTTCATTCATCGCAGTGACGACTCACGATAACGTGATCATTAACTAAATAGAAACACCGAACACGGGGCCATCCGGAGTCAGGAACGGCAATATGCCGCAATTGGAAAATCAATGAGGCGACTGCGCATTTCGCCTGCGTGTCGGTTCACTCAATATTATACTCTCTGTTTCTCCAGCGTTCGATGAAAGGTCATTGCCTACGATGCCATGTGACATGTTATCAAGCAGTGTTCGTCAGCGTTGATCTTGCTTGTCATTCGAGTGCACCTTACGAAAACGCGCTTATGTGGGCTCGAATTACTGCGTATTTTCGCAGCCATCATCTGCGACCCCTTGCCACGAGTATTGTGACTCGGGACTCACTTATTGAACCTGCTGGAACAAACGCCTCGTAAGCTCGGAGTCAACTACCACGTTTGGTTCGCATGCACATCCCTATATAGAAGCATAAATCGGATGTGAAATGGATGTAGAACAGCAAGCCTAGCTCTGAGCGACCCGTAGCATAGGATTATGACGAAGCTAAGCTCAAGGCGCGACTGAAATGGTCCCAAGAGTGGCATTACATACAGGTCCATCCCATGCCGGTTGTGAAAATGCAGCTAAACAATGATCGCGCTAGAATTCCAACTTTCATAATCAGTAAATTACAGTGCAATCCCCCGCGATTATACTATTGACCCGCAGATTAACGGGTTTTAGAGCTAACAAAGTTCCGCCAAATGATTTTTCTCAGATGCGGATACCCCAAGTCGGTAGATTGAGCATTTGAATTTGCGTTAGATTCCAGTCTTACCCGATTCGCCCGGACTACCGAAAAGCACCCTATCCTATGCACGGTAAAAACTATGTTTTCAGGCCCAGCAGCCGACTGGTGTGCAAAATTGCTGGCAAAGGTGGGTTTCGGTATCGGACCTGGGCAAATGTGTAATGCAAATTGATCCCCATGGAGTTACAAGTCGTCCTGGTCTGATTCGGCTTGCATGAATGACCTGACATGCTTGTGAAAACCGCTTCCAGGTGACAATCAATGTCTCCAAAATGGAAATGAAAAGATCAAGCTAGTAGAGGGGTTCGATGCAGTCGAAGATTGCTTGCTCATACGGCCTGCTTCCGTTGATCGATTGAGTTCTAACAGGGGAAATTCTTGCAAACGTCGAGCCCCTAACCGGGGACGATAAGCATGTAATCTAGCTCATGCGGAGAATCGGAATGAGATAACTGGATACCTGGTAGGACGCCCCTCATTGCCGTAAGTGCCCGCTACTCTCACGCTTCGTAACCGTCGGGGATGCAATTGCGGCTACCAAGTGTGCCCGATCTACCCGACGTTCTTCCTCGGTGAACGATAAAAAGAAAGATGGATCTTCACGCCAAAGCTACTGGGAGTGTCTGTAGCGATATGAGCAAATATAGCCGATTGCCATTGCCTGCGATTTAACGATTCGTTGTTAGGAGCAGGAGAACGAACAGAATTTGTCTGATCTGACTGAATTGATTAGTTTCAGGAATGCTGAGTGTGTTGAGCAGAAGTGTTGGACCGTCGAGTTCGCTGTTGCAGATAACACTTGCAATCTGCATGGCAGTTTTTGGGGCCCCGTGATGGCATTATTCAGACAGAAGACTTCAGTACACAGGGGGGACAGGACGTGTAAGTGGTGCATGGCTCTTGAGCGGTGATGTGATCCGAAGCCGCTTGGCAATGGTTGACGTCGAACGCCGGCGTGGCAGTGCTGGGGATCCTCTCAGCGAGCATGCGCTCTAAATTCCTACCTTTTACCAGGCAGTTAGACGAAGTGGAAGATCGTGCGTCCCATGCGCTAGGTCCGGCCAGGGAGGAGGGACTCACCCTATCCAACTTTGTTGCGCCTAGTTGGAACAGATTTTTTCCTAATCCAGGGCTATAGGGTGCGCTGTGCGCGGAACCCGGAAGCTATCCATCACTACGGGGATGATCCTTATTGCAAGCCAATTGCTATGGAGTCCAGGATGCAACCAGCGGAGGACGTAAAGAGCATAGCCCTCGGTACTTCCTTAAGCGCATACTAAACAAGCTCGTTCCCCTCAGGATAAAGCGTCATAAGCTCACCGTTCAGAGTTTGGAAGAGAGAAAGTAGGAATGACAATCTACACTTCCCCTCTCCCGCGTTTGACCGTTCCCAAACGGTCTGTCTTCACACACCTCTTCGGCCGGGAGGACCCTTTTGATCCTTCTTCCACTGCGCTCATCGATGGTCTCACATCTGAAGTCATCACGCGTGGTCAACTCAGGGCGCAGATTCTTACCTTCACTTGGGGCATTCGTCACGAACTCGTCAATCTGGGTGGAAGGAACTTGAGAAGAGGAGAAACGGCACTAGTCTTCAGCCCTAACTTTTTGCTTTTCCCCGTTATCTCGCTTGGATTGGTGAGTGGATTGGATTTCAGTCGCAAAGGACGTCCACTCAAACCCTGGACTCTGTGTAAATCCCCATTTTCAATGTCCGCATTTGCTGAACTGCTTCCTTCCTGGTGTACAATTACAATATAGAATGCCGCTGGAGTCATAGGTGCCTTCGCCAACACAGCGTACACACCACCAGAACTCGCACATCAACTTGTCAACTCGTGTGCTTCACACGTATTTGTGCATCCTTCTCTCCTTCCCGTTGTTGTTGCTACCTACGATCTGTTGAAAGTCCCTCTGGATGAAGCAAGAAAGCGAACAATTGTGATGAGTTGGAAGAACGAGGATGTGTTCAAGGGGTGGACAAGTTTTGGGGATATTATGACGCTCGCTAAGGGAAAACAATCGGCGCCAGAAGACTTCAACGGAGAGAGGGCGAATGAGGTAAGCCGTTATTTCTGACAACTATCCGCTTGCATTTGTTTGGTATGAAATATTCCTATAATAAACAGACTGCATTCCTGTTTTACTCGTCCGGAACCACGGGCCTCTCAAAAGGCGTGGAGTGTACGCATAATGGTGTGAACACCGTGTTGGAGATGTGCCGAGCCGGATTTCGACACTTCTTTCCTGAGCGTGACGTGCTCCTCGCTGTCCTACCCTTTTTCCACGTGTAAGTTTGCCCTTTTGACTTTCTCTTTCCGTTCTAGCTTATTCATTATGATCGACTCAGGTTCGGTGGTGTAGTCATCTCCTTTGCCCCTCTGTCCATTGGCGTCCCGCTTGTCATTCTACCTCGTTTTCAACCGCAAACTTTCCTTTCCACAATTCAGACATTCCGTATCACAGGGATGTATCTTGCGCCCCCCGTCTTATTGTTCATGAATAAGCACCCAATGGTCTCGAAGTACGATCTCTCAAGCTTAAGGAACATTCTTCTGGGAGCAGCACCTGTCAGTACGGAGCTCATCCTCCAGACAAGAGAGAAGTTGAGAGCGATGGGAGCCAAGCACTTGGAAATAACTCAGGCGTTCGGGCTGACAGAAACAACGTGAGTGATGTCGTGATGTATTCGTTCAATTCCATTGAATCGATGATTTCCTATAGTGCCACAACGCACATCCTCCCTCCCGAGCGTTCAGTTGAGAAAGTGGGCTCCATTGGCATTTTACTTCCCAATCAGGAGGCTCGACTCGTGGGCGAAGATGGAACTGATGCCGCAGAGGGCGAGCGCGGTGAACTTTGGATTCGAGGTGATAATATTATGAAGTAAGCTTCTGTCTCCTTGCCTGCTGCGGCTCCACCGGACCCGCAAGCACCCTCATGAATGTGGATTGACTACTTACGCCGACCCCTACCGTGTCTGTGATTGCAGAGGTTATCTGTACAATCCGGAGGCAACAGCAAACTCGATAACACCTGATGGTTGGTTCAAGACGGGTGATATTGCCACACGCGACAACGAAGGGTTTTACAAAATCGTTGACCGGAAGAAGGAACTTATCAAATACAAAGGATGGCAAGGTGAGCAATATCATCAACGCAAACCGAAACAGTTTCAGGCTAAATTCGCCTTCGACTGGCATTATCCATCCTATCCGTATATCTAGTGCCACCAGCTGAACTCGAAGCGCTTCTCGTCTCTCATCCCGAAATCGCTGACTCCGGCGTGATCGGCGTACATTCGGAAGTGGAGGCCACCGAAGTCCCCCGTGCTTACGTTGTACCTCGCGATACATCTCTGCTCGGGTCATTCAACTCCGCCAAGGCGAAGGCCTGGGCATCCTCCATTGATAAATGGGTTCAGACAAAAGTCGCACAGCATAAATTCCTTAGGGGTGGTGTAATCGTGAGGGATAGCATACCGAGAAGCCAAGCCGGTAAGATTCTGAGGAAGGAGTTGAGGAGTATTGCCAATGCGGAGGATGCGAAGAGGAAGAGGAAGCCGGTGAATAGGACTGACGCTGCAAGGTTATGAGCGTGGAGTGGACATGCGAGTGGACCATGGGCGAGGGGCAGTGATTGAGTTTGATGTCACTAGTTGTTGAGTAATTTCACCGGCAAATTCGAGATTTGGTTACATAACAAAGGAGGCATACCATTGGCATTAGTCGAGCTGAATTTTTTGCCCGACATGTCTAAGATAGCACTAAGCTGCAACATGTGAACAGTGTCGGAATAAACGTCAACGACCCGCGAACTGAACGGGGCACCCAGTTGAGAGACTCTGATATGGAGATCCGTCCAAATGACACAGCCTTGTGATTCCGCCCTGAATGGCGTATAAGGAACGTGTGGTGCCCCGACCAACACATATCCAGTGCCGCCAAGAACCGCCCGGTGATTGATATATCATGGATTTGTGGATCTGTGGGGTAAGTATGTCGTTGGGGAAAAGATCATAATTCCGAACTAGTCGGTCATGTAACTCAAACTACCGCTCGGCCAACGGGCTCGGTGGCACTTTTAGGCTGCCCGTTAACTAGGCCGAGCCCGTAGTTACCAGTTGCTACTTTTTGAGGCTGTTGGAAATCGCCTCGGCCTACAAGGGGCGTCTGGTGTAATGATAACATACTACGTACCTTGGACCAATGCAGTGTTCCGAAGTCCCGGTGCGAAACCGACAGGAAAGGATCGGCCATCGTCCGGCGCCTGCCGTTTGTAGCAGGAGACTAGACTTGAACGTCGAAATGATGGTACTCAACAAGGTCGAAGCGGTTTCCTCAGGTGCCATCTTTCAATCTTGTCCTTTCGTAAATGCGGGGCATATTTGCATGTATCCCGGATACCAGTTTTGTCAGGCGCAAAATGGTCAGAAAGTTGAACATGTCCAAACGGAAGTAAGAGGACGTCACGACTTGAGTAAGGACGGAAACCGAGCCGTTGCTCTCGATATCGAGGAGTTCTTGTCCTTCATTTCTTGATTTTGGATTTTTCTGGCTTATCAATGTTTACCGTCCTAACAATTGGGCCTGTGCATAACGTCCTTACAAAAAGCTGACCTGATCTGGTAGGATTGTATACACGTGTGTGCTTTTGCCCTGCAGTTTTTGCTTTTATCTAACGTACAGCAGGCTGGATACAAAGATTCGAGCATGAGATACCACGCGAATTGAGTACGTTCTCATGACCAAGTGCCCAGCACACCCAATACCAATTGTTCACCTCTTCAGTCGTACCATAAGCCTCTTCAAATTTTCTTCATCGTGCGATTTTTCCATGATCTGTAGCCTCCTCACACCGAGTGACGTGTCCTCGTTGAGACAGGCAGAGTACCTGTCCTCTCCGTGCTTGCCAACGCCGTCAAAATCGACCAGCAATACCTGATTCTTCGAAGGCAAGTATAACACATTTTGTTCGCGAAGGTCGCCGAAAACGAGATCTAGTCCGTGAAGTAGTTCAAGAGCCTTGGAAATATTCTGGTGGATTACTTGAAGGGCAGACTCTTGTAGACGATTGTTGTGGAGGGATGCACCTTCAGGCTCGGGAATGTATTCCATGATGACCATAAGCATGCCTCCCACAACGGGTGTGCATGAGTACAGTTTAGGGGCAAGGGGGGGTTTGTGGTCGGCAAGCAGACGATGAGCGTTTTCATGGTACCTTGTAGCAAACTTGACTAAAACTTGCATGTCCGAGCCCTTGCTGTTGTTCGGTTTAATCGTCGCAAGATATATCGCATGTCGCTTGTCTTCTTCATTCATAGTGGGTTCATTGATCGGTGTACCCTGAGAGCGATGCACTTTAGAAATGAATTCGAGTTTTGGAATCTCTTCGGCAGGGTCAGAGGAGACAACAGTAGGTTCTGGCCACAGAACTTTAGCTGATAGGACTGGGCCATTGCTATTGATGAGTCTTCTGTACAGATCACGAAGCTCCCTTGCACAATCATCTATCGCCATAAAAATGCGCGCAACACGAAGGACGTTGTCTGATGCGTGGGGCCCAAAATCTAGTTTGATCGAGAGAAGTTCGTCGGCATAGATAGAGTCGGTAAAGATTGCTGTAGATACGGTGAGGCGGTTGCCCGCTATTGCAAGCAGGACAATTGGTAGGTTTGATCGGCCAATGAAGACACTGTACTATTTGAGGCACATTAGCTAAGGTGTGAGATGCAGACGCAGGAGGTAGTACCTTTTCTTGGGCGAGTATTTTACTGTAGGTGATCAAACCCTGGAGGAATGGATCTCCCCCTAGTCCCGGCTCATTCTTTATTTCCACGATCAGATAGGCAAGCCCTTCAAGCAGCCATACTCCGTCTGGCTTGGCTGATCCATCTTCGGTTTCTGTTTGCCACTTGCTGGTGCCGGAGATAAGACTCTTCAAGGGTATCCGTAAATCTGCCCCTCGTTGGATTTCATCCTCATAGAAGCCTGCGGAAAGCTCGATGAGGTCAGAAGTAGCGAGTGCGACAGCGCGATCCGGAATCGCATCCAAATGCTCGATTCTGTACCTCAAACGGGCAAGTGGTGGGCTGAAAAGGGCCGTAGGAGGTCCGAATCGGTCGGAGGGTCTGCCGTACCGTGGTCCGCTAGGGCCCTCTACTGCACATTTTATTGCACCGGGGCTCTTGACACTTTCGAGTGGCGAACTGGCCGTTTTCATTGCCCCCGATAACTTGCCCCGTTCTGCAAAGGATGGGCAAATACGGGAAAGCGAAATGGAGAGATCGCTCACCTTTCATACGCTTCAAGTGACCTAGGTACGCTAGCTCATCAGCATCTTCGATGACTGGACAGCAATTCTTTAGCTAAATCGCTTGGGTGTGCAGACCGGTACACACTTTCTGGGGTCAAAACCACGATATAAACCAATTCCCCTTTTTCTGGACCACTGGGAAAATGGTCACTCAGAAACTCATAGCCTCGGATCAGGGTGCCCTCTCTTTCTCTTTCACGGATCCACTTGCGTACAAACTCTCTAGACTCATTATCAACATTCTTTATTGGGAGTTCTGAGGCCTGGGATGCTGTTCAGAGCAGGAATTTTGCTATTGGTAAACGACTTGCCTTCCAGAGGGTGGTGTTCAGTTCCTTCAAATCGCTAGAGTGTTGTGGGTAGACATCGACAAGTTTCTCAAAGAGTATATCTGTTACAAAAATGGGGCCGGAAGCGCCCATTTTCGTCCGTTCTGGCGCAGGAATAGGGAAGGGGGTTGGACATAATGGTTTACAGGTGGTTTCACAGATGGTTTGACATGTGGTGTAACAGATGTTAGCACAGCGGGTTTTTGGCCAATTATTGATTGGTTAAACTTAATTACTATACAAATCATGTGACACGGAACCCATAAGAGTCTAAAATGGGAAATTCCCATTTCCATAACAATATCCCCAACAGCATCCGAATTTAGCTGAAATCTTTTAATGGAGTTAAACGGGGGGATTTTAGGATGAGGATAAGCGACGAGGTAGGAGTGACTCGTGGTTGTGGACCATGACATCGCGAGGGCGCTCTGCTCGGAGGGGGAAACCTCAACCCATTGATTTGGGAGCACGAAATAGATGATGGGATGAGTCGAAACCAAGCACCTAACTTGTGTTTTCAATATGCAAGACAATCGAGCTTCGTTCAGTTACCTGTGGTCGTTTCCTTAAGTCTGTTTGACCAGGCGATAATAACATCAAACAACTAAGCCTCTAAATTAAACTGCTCTCAATCATCTCAGTTGGCATGGGGTTCTTGATGACAACAGGCTGTTTTTGTTAAGTTAACCATTTTCACCAATATTGACAAAGACGGTCGCCAAGAACCAGAAAAGTGATGCGGGCGCGATCTGAAAATCTCACGGTCCCCTGTGCGTTCCAGATCCTAACCGATGGCATTTGAGAGTGCTAGGCCAAGCAGATTTAATGATATCAGCCTTGTTCGAGATGTGACAGAGATGCGCAGGGAAGTCTCAACAACGTTAACGAACGCAGATGTATGCAGTCATCAAAATGACGAAATGGGAAAATTTGGATGGTGGTTGGGTGATCGAAGCTGCACTCAGAATATGCCCATTTAGATTTAGCGCCTGCGCTCCTTTGACGAGCCACTTGTAAGGGACAGTGAGCCGATCTCCGGGTGCCTCATTTGATTTCGGGCGAATGGGTGTAAGATTGATTGAAAGGTGGTTCTGTTACGGATACCGTGAGCGCTGGGTCCGCTCGTTCACTTATGTAATACTGTCTGAAACGTGCTCACCCTGACTAACACAAGCAACGCCGAAAGTACGTCAGATCCTGGAAGACCCAAAGGCTGGAGAAGTAGATCTCTACCTTGAGCTCCCAGAATCCATAAACCTTGCAGTATGAAATCGAGTTATCACTAGTGTGCCACGAGTGCTGGCCCACCTAGACCAAACAAAGAAATTAGTAACGAGTCAATCAAACAATAGGGCATACAGATAGTCCATTTCCTTCAAACGGACCTATGGTTCTCCCGGAGTTAGTGACAGACATGACCAAAAGTCTCATTTGTGATGAATATCGAATATGATCTTGAGGGCTTCGCCAATGGAACTTATTGATATGCCAGAACACTCAGACGATTCGATCGACGAGCGGACGATGCTAGATGGAGTGCGGTATAGTCAGAGTAAGGACATAACGATGCAGAACAATGCAACAAGGCAGGAGGAAGTGGTGGCAGGTCGAGCATGAAAGGATAGGTGTGCATTGGCTCAGGAATAAAACGTGTTGCATCGAACTGACACAGCATCCCGAGAGGGTGGGGCAGGCAGACGGGGGCAGGGGCGTTGGGCTGTACAAGTCGCCCTCTCACTCATGGCATGGTGTTGTGATTGCACGAGATATCGCACTGCCAATGTGCGATCCCACAATCAAGAAGTGCCCACAATCGCCTTAAACGCTTCGTAGGACTTCGGGATCTCCTTCCTGTCATCCAGAGGCTTCATCCCTTTACTTGGACAAGGAACAGGCAGATAACAATAGCTCACGCGGGTTTCTTCTGGAGGATAGGTCCCATGGCGAATGTGGATGGCCAGAGCCTAGGTAATGGAGTGATAGGGATTCAAAGAACGTCGGCGACGTGCCGATCATGGTGGTGCTGGGAATGACCTGAGAGAACGAGCTTAGAAACTCACGAAATGACTCACTCATCTTAGGGAGGGAGTCCAATCGCTTCCCTGTTCATGTTATTGCCGCAACTGCAACTGCTACAAGCTGAGCTTGTGCATTATCGGGCTCCACTAGCTCCAACTTGTTGTCCTTTTGGACAACAAGAATATTGTTCTAAGAGCAATCGACAATACTAACATCGGCCCGTGCATGTCTCATCTTGCCGCGAATAAAAGGCGAGAGTTCGTCCGTGTCACTCGATCTCGACGAACATAACCTAGAACCTTGAAAAGCGCGACGGTAGAATGGGACCGATCATGGCGAGATCAAGCAGCTCTATATGGTGATCTTGTTGCATAGAATTAGCGTCAGAAATGCTTAGCAGCCCTTGGCCAACAACCGAGGGCTGTGGCAAATTTGGTGACGCAAAAGTTTTCCCAACGGCCACAGCGAATGCATCCTCGCCTTAGAGCCTAGGGCCTCCTGCTAAGACTGGAACCCCTGAATCTTGGGAGGCACCTCTCCGATTGGAGTTCTTGGAGTCAGAACAGAAAACGTGTCTTGAAATGACTTATCTGCTGACTTAACGCTAGCTTCTAACACATGTCTAGCCTCATTCAAGTCTGGCGGCGACTGGACCCTCAACGACCTGGAAGCCCTTCGTTCCTTGACTTACAGGTTGCATTCCTTGTGTGCCCGTATCGTAGTTGAGGTGCGTGATTCGGACTAGATCAGAGCTCCAAGGTGTCTCTGCCAGCCTTACCCATTCCACGCATAACAATAATGCATGGGTAGTAGAGTATCTAGCTCCTATCTGTGTTTTTCCCGTGTTTTACGCTGGCTCCGCAGATGTCATTTCCATAATCAACCCGACGATGGAACTTGCTTGGGACTGAGACCGCCTGCAGTGTTGGCTGGCTTTTGCGGACGCAAGGGCTGTAGCAGCCTCCTGGAACACTAAAGTTTCAAGCACATTTTTTCATGGCAGCACTGTCCTTCGCAAAGAGATGTACCGTTACTATTTCCTATTCATTACCTCTCCAAGAATGGAGTCACATTCCTCCGCAAATGATTAGAGCTTGTGCGTCTCCCATCACCGTAGCACGCTCGGCGGAGCTAAGGACTCTCATTCTGACCATATTGAGGCATAGTCGATACCAGGAGGTAGATTCAGGACTATAATTCCAATAAACATCTATCTTGAGATGTGCTATTGGGCAGTCGTGCGAAGCTGTTGTTGATGCAGAGGACGAAACGATGAAGTATACGAAGTCCATCAACCAATTGCGGGACCCTTCTTGCTCCTGGGTTATACGTTTATTGAGTTGTCTCAACCGCGAAGTAGCAATCTTCCAGGGTTCCAACTTCGAGGTGTTGGCGGCTCCGGAGGCACCCAGACAGCGAGCCCGGGCCCATAGTACCCTCATGTGGTTCCCCAAGGCGGCCTTGCGCTGTTCCATCCCTCCTGCATTATCGAGGCAGAACACCGGCTGAGGAACCACCACGAATTCACAAGCAGACTTCACAAGGAAGATGAAATGGTAGGCGTGCCTGTCATTGTCTGTACATTCCAAGGCTTTATTGACTCTGATTGACTGTAGATCATCCTCTACTTCTATGTCCTTCGCACCTGAAGGGCACGCATCATGCCTGGTCTGCGGATCTCTGATGAGCCATTTTTTGCCTGGCCTGTCTAAGATAGCGCCAAGCTGCAATATATCAACAGTGATGAAATGAACACCAATGACACGTAAACCAAACACAGCGCCTGAAAGGGCACACAACTGAGAGGCTCTGATATGAGAACCTGTTCGAACGGCACAGCCTCGTCAATCTACATCGAGCAATGTGTTGTAAATGTGTGATTGCCCGAGACATGCTGAGTTCAGTGCTGCCAAGAACCGCCCGGTGAGAGATAGGTGACTTCAACGCGAACTGGCGGCAGGATCGAGGGAAACCTGCAGTCTCCAGTATAACCTTCAGTCGGTATGATCATGACAAAATGACGGGGCAAGAGTGGTGCTGATAAGCCTCGATTGTTCAGGGAAGCTTCGCACGAGCAGAGGAGATATGGCCATTTAGGAGTAATAGGTGGATCCCTTAGATGTTCAGTCTCTAATCTAAGGGAGGGGGAGGGCGGGAAAGACACCGATGACACCTGGTGATTGCCGCAGGTGTAACGGTTCTAATCGCGTGGTGAATTATAGGAAACATAAAAGAGTCGCTGAATCCTCGATGAGCTTCCAATAGCATTGAGGAGTCTAAAGCAAGCTGGGAGAAATGGCGGGATCCGAGGACGTCAAAGCGATGGGATGGTATCCCGAGACCCTTCAGCACAGGCGGCGGTGGCAAAGTAACCTGCCCACTCGTTATTTCCATCTTCCAACGCAAACCAAGGCGAGAAGCCATGACGCCGCCCGGGCGACTGAGCGACACCGAAGTATAGTCATACAGCCTACAACAATGGAATTGTGCCGCAAACAAAGGCAAGGAGGTTCCGCGGGGAGACGCGAGGAATCCCGAACCCGGAAAAGGGCTACGCAGCAACCAGAGGTGAAGATCATCAATAAGATCAGCGGGAGCCAAACAGGTGGACTACAATGTATGGGCAAGCCACAAACCTAAGGCAACCTAGATAATGCCTACTGGGATATGTGGCCAAATCTGTCCTGGGATGATCCACGCTGCACTTTTGTTGCGGGCGCCTTAGGACAAACAAAAGAAGATGTATCTGTCGGAAAAACAGGGATTGAATTGCGACGAACCGGGATAGGAAATGGCCCCGGAAGCAAAGGCCAATTGAATTAAGGGCGATTAAGCTGCTCTTTTGTCCACAAGTGGCAACCATTCAATTGTTCACCAAGACCATTGTCCTACCATCGGCCACTGCGACCATGAACAAAACCATTGATAACTTGGTCCCCTTCCATTACTTTCTCTCTCCTCTTTCTCTTTCTTTTTCTCCATCTTTTTCGATTTCGACGTCGCTGGTCGGCTCTATCTATAACGTCCAATGACCACACGTTTCCCTTCTCCTCCTCCAAACTATAACCACAGCAATGCAAGCCATGCGAACCTGTCTTCATTTGAACCGCACGCAAATTCAAACACAAGTGCTAGCACTATCCATCTTCACGATCCCAACTCCCAACCTAATCCACGAGCTCTCACACCTTACCTTACTCTGCCTCATCTCCTCTCATTGACATGGCTGGCGTCACCTGTCATATCGCTTCTTTTCGTCGCTTTCCGCTTAGTTAACACGACAGAATCTGCTCAAGACGCCGTGAAAGATGCAAAGTCCTCCCTCATGGCAAGTTGTCTCGCTGCACAAGAAGCTGCCAGTGCTGCCGCCAGTATACCGAGGTATATGGCTATTGCTACTAATGAAGGCATTGTAAATGTCGTGAATGCAAGTATCGACGCGTCAAGGGAAACGATGATACTCTGGTGAGTGATTATTCTAATCCCATCCTCGGAAAACGCTAAAGGCCGCTTAGCCTAACGATCGTGGAGGCTATTATCGAGTTCATTATTGATATGTACCGGAGCACGTTCCTCTGTTTCCTCGAACTTGTTATTCGTGGTGGTCTCGCTATCCTCATCGGAGCTGTGCAGCAAGTATGCTCAAACTTCACTTTCAAATATGTTCAGGTTCTCAACGAGAATTCCCGATATAGATATCCGACTTTGTGACAAACTCTCTTAGTACCATCCGAACGTCTATCCAAAATGATGTTGCGACCGCCAACAATGTCATTGCTGCCGCTGTGGCTGCCATCAACAAGGTGGCCAATTTGGTCAACGTTAATCTGAATGTACCCCAATTCAATATCCCAAGTCTGAATGCATTGAACAACTTCACTATCCCTACGGGCTTTGAGGATTCATTGATCAAGCTCAATAATTCATTGCCAACTTTGGACGGCTTAAGGGAAAGGCTCGATTCGATGTATGTTCCCGGTCCATATTCACCATCATCTTTCTGATAAATTGTTCGTGAATCAGCATCGAGAAGCCATTCGATATTGTCAAGGCCGATATTAATGACACCTTCGCCTCCATTCGCTTCAACGGCAGTGTCCTCACTCTTCCGCAGCAACGCGCCCTCTCGTTCTGCGGCTCAATGGACACAGGCGTTGTTGACGATCTAGGCCACGACCTTAGTCGCATAGCACGTATAGTTGCCGCCCTCCTTGTTGTGGCAGTTATCTGCGTCATCGGAGCAAATTGCTTCCTGCAGTGGTGGAGATGGAGATCGACACAGAAGCATCTTGAATACATCCGAGACGCGTGGCGTGCCGATCCGACGGCCGTACATCAGCATAATACCGTTCACAATGTTCGAGACAATAACGACGGTGTCCCTGCTTTCAACATGACGGATCATAACCTCATGATTCTCATCAATACCTCCGAACATCCTCTCATCTCAAAGCTCCTCGATCGAATGACGACCGTGTTCAGGTTAACACCCTCTCAACATATCAACCTTCGTTTTTTTGCCTCCTACGTCTTCCACCCACCGGCACTAGCATGCCTCCTGATAGGTCTCTTCGGTCTCATCGCAGTTCAGATCCAACTGGCAGCCGTCGGTCCTCTCCAGGCACACTACACATCTAGACTTAATTCCTCCATATCCGACTTCTCCACCTCAATCGCAACGCAACTCAATTCGGGGATGACCAACTCAAGTACGGAGTACGCGAACAATGTCAATAGCCAAGTTTTCGTTGTTCAGAAGACGATTAACGATAATTTGTTTGGATGGGTTAATACGACGACCGTAGCGTTGAACGATACTGTTGTTGGATTTTATCAGGAGATACAAAACGCTATTAATGCAACGTTGGGCGGGACTATTTTGGAGGGACCTGCGCAAGAATTCTTGAGATGTATGCTCGGGACGAAGATTCAGAGCATTGAGGATGCTTTGACATTTTTGCATAATAATCTGCAGGTGAGATCTGGTTTTACTTCCTCGCCCTCTGATCGTGAAACAAGAGCTAACACAGTTTCCATGTATTTGATTGCAGGTTAATATTACCCCTGTACCGACGGACGTCCTGATACTGAGCAACGGTACAATGGACGAAATGACGCGTCCTATCGCTCTCGCAGCCATAGGGGGTGGCGCTCCGGGCAACTCTACTTCCACTCCAGACAATGACGGGTCAACTCATGGTCTCGTTGGAAAAGTGATCACCCGATACATCGCCGCTCTCAAGAAGGAACGTATCATGTTCGCTGTATTCCTCCTCTTGTGGCTCCTCGTCGCCTTGATTGCTTTGTTTATTATCGCATGGCACTCGTACGGTGCTGAATGGGTCGAGGAGCGGAAGAGGGAGAAGTTCCGGAGGGAGAAGGGGAAGGAAATTACGCCTTGGTATAATCGAAATCATACTCCAGATGGCGAAAGGGGAGCAGAGGCGGGTTCACCCGAGGTGATTAGGAGTATGGCCAATGAGGCTCCTTCAGACAGAAGAACGATCGGGTTGTTCCCTTCTGATATCCCTGATTCGAACGAAAGGAGGTTTAGAGGAGATGATGAGGTTAAGACACCCATGAGCGAGGTTGATCTTAGGACGTTCACACCTCTGGCCAGTCCTAGATCGAGACGGTCCCGTCTCGTCATAGCGAATCCGACGAATAACGATTCGCTTGCTATTCCTGTCGTGAAGAAGGAAGCAGAAGGCATTTATACGAGCCAGTGGGATTGGGACGAAGACGATAGTGAGAGAAAGAGGGGACGATGGAGTATTTGGAAGACATTCGGAACTAAGCTGAGGAATGATACGAGGAGGGCGGACAGGATGATGGATCCTCTTGGTTATCGGCTTCGAGAATCTGGTAGGTCGCATTCATGTCCCCCCGATCATAGGAATCCTGATTCCCCAACTCTCATTACAGAGCTCGCAGCTCGTCCCGAACAGGATGCCTCCGGGACGAGTGGCGGTTGGCTTAGTAGACTCGCCTTTTGGCGTTCCCAACCTGTTGATGATAACGAGTCATTAACAGACAATAGTTACGAACGGCACAATGCTTTAAATGCGTCAAATTTTATTCCTACAACTCCAATCCAGGCTTCGGCCCCTGCATCAGTTCCTAATGTTGTCCGCCCATCACCTGTTCCCATCCACTCTCAGAATCCCTCCTTCACACTCGCTGCCCCTCCACCCCCACGTCGAGCTCAACAGGACGTCCCAGGATCCGTCGGTTCCACTGGAGACCTCCCGGGGGCATATGCAGTTGCAAACAACACTGAACATGAAGATCACGAACGTGAAAATCGAGTCTCTGTTAACCCTGCTGTACCGATTCACTATCATTTCGTCTCTCAGCGTCAGAACTCCGTCTCTCCTCCGCAATCTGCGGAACCCGAACTGGAACGTAAGACGTCGATCATGGACAGACCACGTCCGCCCAGGGAATCCAACCCCTTCGCCGATTCAAAACGTGGGCCTAACGCGAGGATATCATCTACGTTCCCCCCTCCGGGTTTGTTAGCTTCGAGGGAAAGAACGATACTCCCTAATAGAGGATATGTAGGTGTTGGAACTGGACCGAATAGATACGGTGGGAATGGCAACGGCAACAGCGTTAGCCCTGTTGGTGCTGGTGCTACTGGTGGGAATCCGTTTGCGACGCCGTTCGATGACCCACGTTCGCCTGCCACGCCTGCAAGTGGCCCATATCCTCGGGCGATCTAAGGTAATCTGTACCTTTTGACTTAACGCAATGATGCTTTCGTGATGCTATTGAACTTTGACGATATGATCTGTTTGGCGATGACCTCCCAGGCGATGTGCAGGATTTGCGCGTTCTTGACCAGCTTAAAGCTATTCTGTTTTTGTTCTGGTAACTCGCCTCCATGCTTGCGTCTGGACAAGCTTTCTTTTAATGACTATATCCATGGTCGCGCGCGCAACCTTTGCTATGACAAACTATCAATTTCATACGAACTTTACGAACACGCAAGTTCCTGCACAAGCCGAATATATGTACCATTTTGCCAATATAATGTATCATATCTGCATTATAGTTCACTTTCTAACAACAATGTTCTCCCCCTCAATGTGGCCTGATTGCGAAGTTCATCCTGGACCGAATCAGTCGTTGCAGCCGACGATAGCAAATTTTCCAAGTTCTATCTCTTATACTCGAGGTGATGTGCGTGTATTTCGGTAACTGGGGGATGACTAGTGTCCTTGCCAACTTGCCATCCAAGAGATGGCAATCACATCTATTCCTGGGCTTACATAGAACTTCGGTGATCGGAAAAGCTCCATCCCTGATGCCGTGCTGCAAGAGGCTGCCTTCGAAGTAGGCGGGCGAGGTGAGACTGTAGTTACACTTCAATGAGGCTGGGACCATCATCCCGGACACCCCAGGAATGGAACAAAGGTCGTCACGATGATCCAGGAACAATCGAAATGCCACTTCGCGCTGAGCACCCCGATGACCAGTATGGTCACTGGGAGACTATCAAAGTTTATTTGACCACTCCGAAGACAAATGGAATCCTGAAGCAAAGAGCGTACCACCGTCCAACACTCACGCGAGATCATCGTATCGCTTCGTCGACAGAAGTTAAAGATTCCACCTTCGAGAATTTAGCCTGGTGATGCAAACATAATCGCTGCTTCGATGCAAACTTCAAACTCGCCTTTATCAATATTCCCCGCCTGTACGCAGGGGCCTACCGATACGTCTCTCCCAAGATCAACCCTCAATTGCAGAGACCTCACGCCAGATTCTTTGAAGTCCGTGACATGAACATGCAGAATAAGTACGTGACACCGGACATCGAGTGGTGCGTGACAGCCGACCAGGACCGCGTGACATGGGTATGTCCGGGTGACGAGTTTGTGTCCCAGAGAATTTGAACAACTTATTTTTTTTTACAATCGGACAGATTTGTGGATAGCGGTGAGTTGGGACGCAGTAGACGGGCGAGAAATCTGGAGCAGATGGAGAAGGCACCGCTTTTGAAAATGCAGTAGCCAAATTAGGAAGTTTTGAATTGAAATTTGCATAGCCACTGTTATGTCTCTCGCTCTCTCAGAATGTGACACCCGGGCTTATGATAAGACCGCCACCTGCGTGAGGCGTGACAAATTTCGAAAAAAGTGCCAACTGGGACAGCGTGACGCGTGACCGGTTGTTGGTTGTGCCAGTACAGTATCCATAGAATTGCTGAAAACCCCTTCTGTGCCACCAGGGGACTGATGGCTTCCAGCGTGAATTTACTATACTCTCAGGGAGCACAGCCGAGACACACAGGACAACTGCAGAATATCGAGAGCAGATGAATCCGATTTAAATTTATGGCACGTGATGGATCGGGCAGGAAAATCGCGTGAAATATATAAGAAGCGTCGGGGTTCTCAAAGATCCCACATCGTACACCTCACCCCTGGTACGATCCCATATTCCCTCTCTTTTGCTTTTACCTCAGCCCAATATCGTAGTAAAGATCAGCATTTCGCCTCAGATAATTTCCTCAAAGGATGGTTGCATTCACGCCCGAACCTTTGGATCTTAAATCCATCGACACCATCCGAGCTTTGGCCGCGGATGTAGTTGCGAAAGCCAACAGCGGCCACCCTGGCGCCCCTATGGGCCTGGCTGCTGCTGCTCATGTCCTGTGGTCACGGTAAATTCTTATCGATCTTCCATCAATATGAGGAGATCAGAGATGAACTAAAACCGATTCGTCACTCCTATATAGATTCTTGAAAGCCAATCCCAAAGATTCAAAATGGTTTGCGAGAGACCGATTCGTTCTTTCTAATGGGTATGTTGCCTCTGCTCATCTTCCCTCTCAGTTTTGGCCCTGACTATAGTGCTATTCAGTCATGGGTACGTCTCAACTCCAGATCGGCCGAATCATCGAATCGTTATCTAAGCTCCAGGCAACCGTTTTCCTTCTTCCAAACAGTTGCGCCCTACAATACATCATTCTCCACCTTTTGGGCTACAAACTTACTTTGGACGATTTGAAGGCATTCCGTCAAGTTGATTCTAAGACACCAGGTCATCCGGAATACCATCATACCGATGGTGTTGAAGTCACTACTGGTCCTCTGGGCCAAGGGTTTTCTAACGCTGTTGGGTTCGCCATTGCTGAAGCCCATTTGGCTGCTACGTTCAACAAGGAAGGTTTCAACATCGTTGACAATTACACGTATGTTTTTTTGGGCGATGGATGTCTGATGGAAGGTGTTGCGAGTGAAGCTGCCTCTATCGCTGGTCATCAGCGATTGGGGAAATTGATTGCTGTGTGTCAGAGTCCCCTTCACATAGACGAGAAGCTGACGGGCTGAATTCTTCAGATTTACGACGATAACCGTGGGTTTCCACCTCATGTTTGCACGAGTGTGAACTCAGGAAGACATATGCTGTGTAGATATCACTATCGATGGAGATACGAACGTCGCGTTCACCGAGGACGTTCTTAAACGTTTCGAAGCGTACGGTTGGCACGTTGCCGAGGTAAAGAACGGCAACAGGTACGTTGGCCCGTTATTCAATTTGCGCGCGGCGACCTGACAGCTTCTCCCTTCTCTTAGCAACTACGAGGGGATCTACAACGCCATCATTGAAGCCCAGAAAGTTAAGGACAAGCCATCCCTGATCAAGTTAGAAACCATCATAGGGTACGGTTCCAAGCAACAGGGTACTCATGGTGTTCATGGTTCTCGTATGTGATTCGTTCCACTCCTTGACCATTTCTCACTGGGTCGACCTAGCTCTTAAGAAGGACGATATCGTCCAGTTGAAGCAAGCCATTGGTTTCCCGCCAGAAGAATCATTCTTTGTTCCCAGGGAGGTCTATGACCTTTACGGAAAGATTGCGGAGAAGGGTGCTTTTGCGCAGAGCAAATGGGAGGCCCTCTTTGTTGAATATGGGAAGAAATTCCCGAACGAATACGCCGAGCTTTCTCGTCGCATCAAGGGAGAACTCCCGCAAGGTTGGGAGCAAAAACTCCCCGTCTACAAAGTTGGAGATCCCGCCGTTGCATCCCGCAAACTTTCCGAGACTGTGCTTACGGCCATTCATGGCACTCTCCCTGAGCTTTTTGGTGGCTCGGCGGATTTGACAGGATCAAACTTGACACGTGTAAAGAACGACGTGGACTTCCAGCCTCCGAGCAGTGGTCTTGGGAATCATGCTGGGAGATATTTCCGTTATGGTGTCCGTGAGCACGGTATGGGCGCTATTTTGAACGGGCTTTCGGCCTACGGTGCCATCCTTCCTTACGGTGGGACTTTCTTTGTAAATAATTGTCGACGGAAAGGTTTCTGGAAGGCACTGAGTAGGCTTATCCTAGAATTTCGTGTCGTATGCTGCGGGAGCGGTTAGGCTTGCCGCTCTCTCGGGGCATCAGGTCATCTGGGTCGGTAAGCAAAATTTAAATGTTTGAGCGTTAATTTCCGCTAATTCGGACAACCCAGCGACCCACGACTCGATCGGTCTCGGCGAAGATGGTCCCACTCATCAACCGGTCGAGACTGCCATCCACTTCCGTGCCACCCCCAACCTTCAAGTCTGGCGCCCTGCAGACGGTAATGAGACATCAGCTGCATATCTTGTCGCCATCAATTCTCGGACTACTCCTTCCATCCTCTGTCTCTCCCGTCAGAATCTTCCTCAGCTAGAAGGTTCTACTATTGCGAAGGCCGCCAAAGGTGGTTATGTCCTGCATGAAGTTGAGGGCAAGGAAGACCTTACTATCGTATCCACCGGATCTGAGGTCTCTATTGTTGTCGAGGCAGCAGGGAAGCTGTCCAGCGATGGCCTCAAGATCCGTGTCGTGTCGCTACCAAGTTGGGAGATCTTCGACGCCCAGTCCCAAGAATATCGACTGAGCGTTCTTCGTTCTGGAGCTCCTATTTTGAGCGTCGAGGCTTACTCGGTGAGCACTTCTTCATGGTCGGCTGACTACTTCCCCACGCGAGGCTAATGAAGGTATGAACAGACGATTGGCTGGGAAAGATATAGCCACGAGCAGTTCGGTCTCAAGGGCTGGGGTTCTTCAGGTCCCTACGATAAGGTTTATGCCAAGTTTGGCCTCACCGGATCAAGTGGGTGCTCGACCCTTTTGTTTATCGGCATTCTTTCGTTAAACCCGTCCTTAGATATCGCTGAGCTTGGCAAGAAGACCATCGAGTTTTACAGGAAGAAAGGCGGCGAGGTTGTCTCGCCACTCATCAAGGCCTTCTGATAGTTTCTTCTCCTTTCGTCCTAGACTTTTTTCATTGTAACAAGAAAAACCGATGTTTGTGCGAGATGAGTGTAATTAGGAAATTGTGTGATTGCTCTTTTCCATTCGTTCGCAGAACATCATGCTGAGTAACTGGCTAGGCAATTCAAAATTATGTAATTCTATTCGGAAGTTCCCCGAATCGATTTATCTAAGGCGTTTGGTTCGCCAGACATCTCTCCCTCCAGCACATTCATAGCCTTTACCTGCATCGAACAAAAATGTCCTATGCAGGGAGTCCGAAGGGGAGTGCAAGGAACTTCAAGCCACGGAATGTCAAATGTTTTGTCAGTTCTTATGATGTGGGCTCAGCGACACCTTTTGAAGACACTCGCTTTACAGCACTTCGATCCTGTTACTGGTCAGCCGGAGGATGGCCATGACATGAATTCTGGCTCGTGTCGGTTAGTGTCAAGCTAGCTCTTCGCGGAATATGTTGAGCCCTGATAACGGAAGATAGCTTCGCCCATCCCATTGACGGGCACGCCTGGGTAACTGCAAAGACGTCGAGAGGAGGGCCAAAACGCTCTAGCTTAGAGGACACACAGGATGCGGGATGGCGGGGTCGTTCCTCAGAATCTTCAAAGAAGGGATTTTCGCCTCCTCGCCGCTCACGTTCGCCACTACCTCGTCGTTCCCGTTCGCCACCTCGTCGTCCACGGCATCATTCTCGCTCACCTCCACGCGGCCGGTCACACTCACGTTCCCGCACGCCTCCACGTTTCCCTTCATTTCACTTCCGCTCATCACCTCCAGGGAACGCCTCATGGTTACCACGTCCGAATTCACCTCCGGGCCCTCACTCCCCTGTACGCTCTGGCGGATTGCCGGACAGGGGATCTTCGCCCAAATGGTCTAACTCACCCCCTTGGCCAGGACAACGCCACCGTTCCCCCCGTCCTCCCTCACCACCCTCTAGACGTTCACCTCCGCCAAAGAATCGCGTGCCGACGGCTCCTAGGGCCTTCGATCTATCACTGGGCGATAAGCAACCCATTCCAAGGAGTTCTTCGAAACGGAAAAATTCCATAGGAGAGGAGGAAGTAAATAGGAAAACTGCTCCACCCGGCACAACCAAGTACCCCACGTCGACCCGGAAAGCTAGCTACGATAGCTCCATGGCACCACCAGAAACACCTTCCGCTGCAGCCAAGAATGGAACAAAGATCATCTCGGAGTTAAGCACAGCCCCTTCTGCCATCCCACCGAAGACTTTCCCGACTGAGCCCAACAAGGTAGCCACCAACTCGACAGCATCTCGTAGTCAGCCATCTTCCTCTTTCTCCAAATTGAATAGTTCAGAGTCTCGATCGAAATGGGAGCCTTTGGTGCCCATAGAGACATCAAAAAACAAGGAAAAGGAGAAGGGAAAGGAGCAGGGGAAAGAAAAAGAAAAGGAAAAAGATAAGGACAAGGATAAGGATACGGAAAAAGGTAAAGATAAGGACAAGGACAAGGATCAGGGCAGGCATGCAGATATTCCAATATCACGCAACAACAGTTTAACCAATCCTGCGGCTGCCGGAGCAAAGTCCGAGCCGCCACGCAAAGGTAGTTTAACGACGCCCGCGACCACTCCCGAGTCAAAAGAACGAGCCATGATGGACTTCATCAAGTCTGTATCCCGGACAGATTCTTGTTGCTGGAAACTGACATAGTGAACATATTAGACTCGTGGTTTCTCTCGATGCCCCCATTACACGCATCAAAGAGAAACAGAGCGAGCTTTCCCGGATAAATGATTGGCTGCAACGCCGGGGGCAGTCCGCGTTGGACTTATCAAAAATCCCCGAAGTTGTTGCTCTTCGCGAAAAAATTGCGGAGGATGCAATCTTCATCCAAGGTCGAGTGATGGAGGCTGCTAAGCAGAACAAGATACCGATAGGGGATGCAACAGACCCCGCTGGTGCAATGTCATCTCAAACATCAGCTGATTTGCAAACCCGTGAAGCATTACAGGATACAGTGCGAAATCTCAACGCCAAGTTTGATGAAGTCCTCCAGTTGCGTCGCATTGGGAGACATCCTCTTCAGGATCAACGAGATGCAGAGCAAAAGGCTTTCCGTGATGAAGTTGAAGGAATCCTTGCTAACGTGCGAAAGGAGCTGGATGAGCTGTATGAGAGGAGCGCCGATGCGGAGGAAATGATAACAGAGGCCACAACAGTGCTCAGTGAAGAGCTGCATGAGCGCTTCTCTCAGCGACTGGTCAAGACTCGTGAGTTTGGACAGTCCAGGGTTGCGTTAGAGAAGGATGCGCGAGAATTGTTCACTCAGGTGGAGAAGGACACCAAAGTCCAACAAGAAGAGTTTAGGGCTCTTGTTGATCGGCTCTCTATGCTTGAAAAGGAGAAGCAAGAACTTTTGAAGGAAGAACAGGAATACAAGGAGATCCTGGCTAAGGTACAGGATGAGTCTATGCTAACTCTGTTTCACCCTGTTCTGGCTGACTTCTGTTTCACAGAGCACTGAAGATCTTGGCATAATGAAGAATGGGCTGACTGCTCTTGTGCAGAATCGGGGTGCAGTTATTTCACAATCCGCTTTATCCGGTGGGGCCAAAAATAAACCTATGGAACATGCATCAACAATTGGTGCAGTGGCTGATGACATTGTTCAAAATATTGTTGAACAGCAATTGAAGCCCCTGCTTGGGAGAGCCTTGCAAACTGCTCGCGAGGAATATGATAGTCAAAGCGAGGAGACGTTGCAGAAGGTGGTTACAAGCTTGGCACCCACACGCGAGCTTCAAAAATGTTTGGAAGAATGGCATCAATCCATTACGATGCCACCACCGGCCTCAGTTCGGCCTCCCCTTGCCCGCTAGCGCTGCATGCTCCCTCAGCAACACCACCTATCGTATTTCCCTACCCTTGTATTGAGACACTTATAGGGTGTCACCCCTAACTCTCTCATTCACTGTCACTATATATTAAGTCCGATATGTATATTTGTATCAGAGTTGTTGTCATATACCATAATTACTCGTCCCATTTCCCTTCAATTCATATAGCTAATTAGATGCTCATCTGCCCAGCAGTTGTTGAGATCGAGGCTGATCGAGGTGAAGACTTTCCGGAAAATTCCCACAGCGTGATCAGGCAGCTAATGAAGATATTACTTATTTGGCAAATTCGTCGTTAGCGCACACTTAAATCAGACCTTCATTCTGTTGAAATAACCACCTCAGCCTAACGGGGCGTATGGTGTAATGGCTGTGCACACTGAGTTCGCGATCCAGAAGACTGGAGTTCGATTCCCAGTATGTCCAACTTTTAGGTTTCCCTAAAAGACCACGTGCAAATTCCAACACATTCTCATGTTGGAGGTGAAAGAGGTAGGTTGTTACGTTGGATGGGCACGAGAATTCGGGGGCAAAAACCGCCCTTCTCACTTCTCTTGCCCCTTTAGTAAAAATGTTGTGTGAACTCATTTGACGCACATGAGAAGCCGCGTGAGAAGTTGGTGTGCATTGATTGGGTGTGTAAGTTAGTGATATTACTGATCCCAATCACAACTATACAATACATCCATAGTACTCTCCCCGGCCGCCATTTTGTAGAAGCTTGGGCCATTGGACTATGAACCTAATGAGGGATCGTAGTCACATTGCGACCCATGGATAATCAGTTGTCAAATACCTGTCAACAAAGTGCCGCAGTATTTTCCCGGACAATGACAATTGGCGGACACGGGCGAAAGATTCAACATAAACAATTCTAGGTGAGGGTAAGGTAAAGAACTGAAGCAGCAGAAGTCAACGGCCGTCTTGAGTTCCAGTGGAACTGCTCCACCTACCCTGGGGATGAGGGCCACAAAGCACACTGGAACACAGGTCCCTGGCCCTGCAAGAATCAGAACATCGGCAAAGCGTGTCCGCTTTATGGTAGGAACCAAACAAATGTGAATAAATGAATGCAAAAAGGATCTGAGGAATGTTGGAGGGGTGGAAATGAACGACTGATGGACCCGTCTTGCTCTGGGGAGTGTCAAGATGCGGTACTGTGGTTCGCAGCTTCCCTGTCGCATTCTGTTACCTAACGTGACAGAAATCAACACTTTGATACATACACCGCGAGTTTCTTCCAGCTTTACAGCCTTCTTTGCGCTCAGAGAATCCCCCTCACTAATAATGTAGATGCGTGGGGTGTACCGCTGAAAGTCCAAAGAGGAAACTAGGGTGATAGCTTCGGTGGTGTGTCCACCTCGACGAGTGTCAGTGTGTTCACCACACGACGACAGGGGCGGGGTATTGGATGTGTACCTGAGCCAAGAAAGACAGCAACGCTGCGTCGACCGGACTGGGCTCTTCTACCTCTTGCTGTGATCCCAATCATTAGACGGATTCGGAGGGCGATTCCAATCAAAAGTAAAAGACATAACCAGAACATTAATGAAATCGTGTCGAACACTGCCACATTCGCGCGTTTCCGATCAAGTGATCCAAGATCTGGGCTCCTTAACTGCCATCGATCTCTCCAACATCATGTCACGACGCCTAACTTTCCCCCTGTTTTTCATAGGAAATCCACTTCTGGATATCCAAGTTACCAATGGTGAAAAGCTTTTGGAGAAGTACAACCTCAAGGAGAATGATGCTATCCTTGCCTCGCCGGAGCAGATGTCCATGTAGGCGCGCTCAAGATCTGGAAGCAGTCTGTGGCTTATGTGACATGGAAACAGATATGAGGATGTAGTGAATGATTACAAACCCGTATATCTTTCTGGAGGAGCAGCTCAGAATGCTGCAAGAGCGGCGGCAGTACGTTCGATGCTCACCACTGCTCGATAATTCATTTAACCAAACTGCCCAGTATGTGTTGCCTCCAGCCTCCGTGGCATACACCGGATGCGTTGGCGACGATGATCTTTCCGAAAAGCTTCGGAAAGCGAATAGGAAGGAGGATGTCGAAAGTGCTTACCAGGTAAAGGCGGAAGAGAAGACTGGCGCCTGTGCAGTGATTCTCACTGGCGTTCATCGGTGAGCGTGATTCAATTGTCTACTGCATTTTTTTAATGTACGTTTTCGTCAAGGTCGCTGGTGACCAGGCTTGGTGCCGCCGAGAAGTTCGACTCATCACATCTGTCGTCAGATGATATTGCGCCACTGATAGAAGCTGCGACCCATTTCTACATCGGAGGGTTCTTCCTCACCCATGGGATCGAATCTGCCCTCATCATCTGCAAGCATGCTTTAGAGGCCGAGAAGACTGTTGCGTTGAACCTTGCTGCACCATTCATTTGCCAGGTCGCCAAGGCAGAATTGGAACAAGTTTTTGAGTACGCTGACTTCATCATCGGTAATGAGTCAGAAGCTGTCGCTTGGGCAGAGGCTTCCGGACTGCCCGTAGGTCCTCGAATATCCATCAACAACAATTAAACATATCTGCAATCTGTAGAGCAAAGACCTTGGCGAAATCGCCACAGCGCTGGCAAACTTCAAAAAAATCAACGCCGAAACACCTAGAACCGTGGTTATTACCAACGGTGCTGAGCCGACGACTGCTGTCACTGCTGGATCACCAGCCAAAACATATCCTGTACAAGCTATACCCCCAGAGAAAATTGTGGATACCAATGGAGCGGGGGACGCCTTTGCCGGAGGTTTTATTGCTGCCATCCTCTTGGGTAAATCGATAGACCAGGCAGTGGAGGTCGGACACAAGTTGGGAGCCATATGTGTCACCGGGGTAACTGCGATTTCACCGGGCTAATCGGATATGGGCTAATGATTATATGCATAGGCCGGGCCCAAACTCAGGTACCCTAAAGTGAGAGTTCTGTGAAGGATCAGAAGAACAAAGTGGCATTATGTTTTCATGATGGCCCCTACCAGATGTTTTAAAGTATGAGCTCCTGCGTTAGTTGTCAATGTACTGTAAAATTTCTCAAATTCGCGCTCGAGACCCCAAAATGTGGCCAAAGTATGCAAAGGGGATGATGGATGTGATTCACTCTATTGCCAGGAAGTTCGACCCGTTCTAATAGTGTTCTTAGCGGGGGCATGTGGAAATGGGACGATTTGAGTGGTAAATATAGACGCTATTAACAAAGCATGAATGGATGGATGAATAAATCCATTTTAGAGTGCGTTTTGGTGATAATCAGCTGATGGAGTACTGTCATGAAGTGAAAAATCACTGATAGGGAAGGGAGGCATGAGAGCTGGACGAGACCCCCGTGGCCCCCGGGACTAAACTGAGCCTGCGTAAGTTGGTATAATGTAGGTATGCTGCAAGAGTCGCACAGATTTCTGCGGGGCGATATTGGGGCGCTAATCGGCGGCTCTTGGTGGCGACGTCAATACTAATGTTGGGTTGACCTGCGAGGCCTGGATGTGTCACGAAAGGGAAGTTGATAAATGAATAGGTAGCAAAGGGCTTGTTGGAGGCCTCGTACGGTGGCCTATTTTTCCATAAGACTTTTGGCACAGTCAAGGAGTTTGCGGTGAAAACTCGCAACAAAAGGCACTTTGAAGGAGTGAATTGGGTGGTATTTGCCGACAACTCGTTTCGAAGAACTCTCGGAATGGAAGCAGGCTCAACACCCATGGATGGCGTGCAAGCGAAGCCAGATATTGCTCCTCCAGTCATTTCTGCTCGTCCTAGCAATGTACCTCTCCCGGTCGAGGAGGAAATAATAATGCAAACTAGAGCGCAAAGCCCGTCTTCTGCCTTGCAGCCTGGCGTGTTGGAGTCATCACACATCTCAGACCCGAACGTGAATGTTGCTTTAGAGCGAGATCGACATGTGGCATCAGATAAAACGGACCCGAACGCTATGGAGGATGTTCAGGCAAATATTGGGGATATTGCTGCTCCCATCTCCCCAAAAGGAGCGGAAATAACCATGCAAAACGGGGGCAGGGTTCCCCGACGTCCCCATCCCCCGACGCCGTACAGACGTCACACATATCGAACCTTATTGGGAATATTCAACTCTCCGGTACAGTCGAAATTTAAGGATAGTACGGTTGAGAAGGTGATTAACACACGATGTTGAATGAAGCAGCCCGGATGCCTGCAGAGGGCGTAGAACCTGGGCCCGTTCCGCCAAATGACGCAGAAGCGGTGATGGAAGACCAAGAGAAAGGCGTCTCCTTGCCACCCGATGCGTCAGAGACATTGTATATTTCTAACCTCAATGAGAGCATTAAACTCTCCGGTATGATTCTGCTAGTCGGACTGGTTGGGCCGGACTGACATTATTGTGGAATAGTAATGAAACAAGTTCTGCATGGCCTGTTTAAGAACTACGGTGAAGTACTGGATGTAGTGTTACACAAGAATCTCCGGATGCGTGGGCAGGCATTCATATCGTTCGGAGATGTGGAAACGGCTGCTCTCGCCAGGAAGGAGGTCCAAGGCTTCCCGTTGTACCAAAAACCGATGGTAGTTCCGGACATCACCCCCGATTTGACTTACGCTCATGGCAAAATTTCCCTCCACAGCAACTGGCATTCGCGAGGACCCGATCTGATGCTGTCATCAAAAAGCTTACGCCTGATGATTTCGAGGGCCATAAAAGAACACGGTTAGAGCACAAAAGTGAGCATCGGGGTGTTGCTCTGTAGCACGCTAACACACGCATCGAGTGTAGGGAAGCAGCGTTGGAATAACCCTCATAAACGGAAAGCTCGAGCTAAGCACAACGCTGGACAGGGTATGACTACGTTGTCCCCTCCTTTACCAATTCCCACGCTCACCTCTACTTAGCTGAGGGCCTCGCCGCCCCCGCGCCGAAACGCCCTGCTGTCCAGATGCCAGACGAGTACCTTCCCCCGAACAAGATTCTATTTTTGCAGAACCTTCCGGAAACGACCACACAGAAACAGCTTGTGGAACTTTTCGCACAGTACGTGGTCATTACCTTGAAATCGGCCAACTGATAGACTTTTCATTAGATACCCCAATTTGCTCGAAGTTCGTATGGTACCAACAAAGAAGGACATTGCCTTCGTGGAATATACCGACGAAAAGAGCTCCAGCGTCGCGAAGGATGCATTGCACAATTACAGGCTCGACGAGGAACACAAAATCAAAGTAAGTAAACTGAAATGTTCGCCCCGCACGACTTTATTGATCGAAGTTATCCAGATCACCTTTGCACGCAAATGACCTTGCTTTTGGGTGTCTTTCTCAGCAACAATTTAGGCTGATTTTCCTGCTAGTATTTGTGTATGGTACAGCAAATGTAATAATTTTCTGCAATTCGATCCTTCTGGCAAATGCGCAGCCTCCGGGTATGTCCGACATTGTGTCATCACACCCACAAGTGGCACTAAGCCACCACAAAGCGCTTACTTCTGTGCAACACTCGTATTTTTTAGTCTATCCAAACACTATCTTCTCCTTAGTCAAGAACGAAGCATGCCAAGCAATCAACCAATGTGGCATTGTTATGAGGTGGGTTCCTGTACCCCTAGCGTTGAAGAGTTCTAGTTCTCTGACGCCACACTATGTGAAGTGCAACGCAGAGATGAGGCCGTTGATGGTTAGCTAGTTGCAGTGGATATTTATTGATATTCCTTTTGAACGTCCATATAGGTGCCTGATCCGCATTGCGCCAGCTGCAATGGCACTTTTGTAGAAATGGTAAGCAAAGTCGGAGGTGCTGATTTGTATCAAAAAGTCTCACTCCCTTCACCGCCCATAATCCACACTACCTACCACGCAGATCGAGAATCCGGATGATGATCCGCGTAACTTCCAGGTTGACGTCCATCACCACCATGACCATGATGGTCCGCTTGGTTTAGACCCATTGGGACAACAAGACGATGGCGCAATCGGTACAGATCAGGCACTCCGGATGTTTCAAATCATTATGGGCGGCGTCGGAGGCCCTCAACGTCGTGCATCCATCCGCATAGATCGACGAACCGGGAACGAAGCTCCGGACCCCGCCGGTGATTTCCGTTTGGGGGGTGGCCCGTCGTCTGGGATTCGCACTTCTGGATTTGTTTGGACGTCCACTGGAGGGGGGAGACGAATTGGTGATGGAGAGAGGAGCGGAATCGATTCTTTGCCACCTTTTGGATCGATATTCTACGGTGTTCCAATGTCACCAGGTATCGCCAGTCGAGAGCGTGAAGAGCTCGGCGGGCCACCTCCTTTCTTGAGGCACCTCCTCATGAACATTTTGGGACCTCCTGGAGGCAATGGCCAATTTGGAGATTATGTTCTCGACAATGAAGGTGCGCATTATCCTCAACTTTTACCTGCACCTCGCTTACGAGTGTACTTTTTTCAGCCTTGGACCAAATATTAACTCATCTTATGGAACAGTCTCAGGGTGACAAGCCAGTCCCCGCAAGTGATGAAATGATTGCTCAACTACCGCGTGGGCGCGTCACTCCTGGCAGTAAGTTTCACATTCAGAATCTCAAGAATGCTCTGTTCAGGCTCTATATCCTTTAGGTAATTTGCTCGAAAATGAGTGCGCAATATGCAAAGACTCGTTCGAAGTGCAGCAAGAGACCATTTCGCTTCCTTGCAAACACATCTTCCACGATGAATGCATCCTTCCCTGGATCAGGCAGTCCGGGACATGCCCAGTTTGTCGCTATGAGTTGGTGCCACAACCGAGGCACGGGGGGCCACACATTTCACCTAATGGAGGCGGTGGGAATGGCAGTTCGACTTCCCACAATAGCGGTGCCAGGCAGTCCGATGCGACGTCCAGCTCGCAACGATTCATCCCCGGCGGTTGGGAGGGCTTCTTTTGAGTAGTATTCTATGCGGCTACGCTTCTCCTTTCTCACACTGCCTCAGTGTCCTTGCGACCACGGACGCTCTTTCCCATCCTTAGATTGTTGACTTCCTGTCCTATTTCCATTGTGACGCGTGCATTCCTTTCTTACTATGCACCATACATGTACAATATAATGTAATGGGCTTTGTGACTTGAGCCTTCGATGCCTGACACAGAATGAAAGCATGTTTCTCAACCCCGCCACTTCAAGCTCCCCGAGCCTCGCAGCCACCCTCCTGTCCGTTTTTCCCTAGCCACGTTTACGACCCTTCCGCCGGTTATTAATCTCTTCGACAGTGGCTCCCCGTTCTCGTTCTAAGAGAGGAACGTACCGCATCTCGTCTCTGGTTTCTCCGCCACCCAAATCATAGCTGCATCCCAAATCCCCCCGCTCAAAGCCCCTGCTGAGTCCGAAAAGGAGAACTTTCGGCGACGGCGTGGGAGTTTTCCCCGTTTGTCCGTCTCATCACCATCTTGGGGCTGCCTTGAGGAGTCCGTGTATTCGGATGGATGGGGTGGTGGAGAGAGGGAACGGCGGGGACGTGGCGAGGTGCAAGATGCTTGGAGGAAGAGTGAGGCAATGGACGTTCGAATAACATTTTCTGTCCATTGCTTGTGTAAATTATGAAATAAGTCAAGGCTGTCTTTTCCGTAACGGGGAATTCCTGGAGGATTTGAATCTGACTCTGTAGGCATGGGTGGCACCGTGAAGGGAGGTGGTTGGTTGTAGGGAGGCAGGGGTGGGAGTGGATCACCGGAATCGTCTTTCCACGTAACGTCAGATGAGTCGAAAGAGCAATCCCACAGAACCAAAGGCAGGGCATCTGCGATTCTGTATACCGGTTTTGTTTCAATGATTGGGAGTCGAACGGCAGATGACGTGCTCTGATCGGCATGAGCTGAGGGACCAACGTTGAGCAGCGCATCTATGACGTCCGGGTGCTCGAGACCCGAACCGATGAGGAATAATATGGCCATCATATGTCGCACTTGATGGTATAGGAATGCAGTGCCAACCAGATTAAAGACGTACACGCCTGGTGGGGCAAGCAGTGTGTTTCCCCACTCCCTTGGGTTATCTCTATCAGAGTAATGCCGAAATTGCTCAATAGTGGAATGCAACATTGTTCTTTTGTAGTTGGTAATTTGCTTTGTGGGGTCCAGTTTGCAAAAATTCCGAAAATCATGCTCGCCGAGGAATTTCGAAGCAGCATGTTGCATAAGTGGGATGTCGTTGCATGGATTGGATCCAGCCGTGAAAATGTACTTGTAATGACGATATTTACATGAGAAACGAGCGTCAAAGTCATCGGAGACGGGAGACCATGCGAGAATACGGATAGTTGAGGGGAGAATCTGGTTGAGTTTGCGAACATAAGGGATCTCAGCTTGTAATGGTGCATGATCGTAAGGGGACCCATCCAATTCGGATCCAATGACGGGAGGATCTCGGGACCCGGCAGTTTCAACAGATGGATTACCCTGTGTTGCTTGTTCCAGAGTGTTGTTGGCTTTTCGAAAGCCAATGTTGCTTCTGACCCAAAGAGAGACAACCTGACCAGCCGCACTGACGCCACGATCAGTTCTTCCGCATCGTGACCATCCACAGCCTTCAAGTCCAGCCGCTGGATCTACCAACCGAGCCTTGGCCAATGCATTGAAAAGCACGGATTCCACGGTGGGCATTAAAGTGTTGCCCTCTTGTATAGTTAGCCCACTGTAATTCCACCCAAAATAGCAGAATCGAAGAGCTACTTTCCGCCTGGGATGCCTGGAGAAGTCGAATGGTTTCTTCCCTTCGCGAAGATGGGAGTAATCACTTGACTTTTGAGAGGGAGTTAAGGACCTCAGGCGTGCGATTAATTCTTCTCTGGACAAACTAGCATATTCCGACATTTCTATCGAGACACGGCCGAGAAGCAAAACCGATCTTCGCATTCATCCACCCGGAAGTGCTGAATTGAAAAGAAAATACGCGCTTCCGGATGCAAATACACATCGTCACCCTGCGTTGACAACAAGCGCCTCGTCAGCGCCAAACCCTCTAGTACTCTTAGTGCATGAATGACCTCTGCTATTTTCCATTTGTGAAGCGTTGTTCTCTGAGAGGTTATATTATGTATACATATTATACAGCACAAAAACTTCTCAATTGGTCGCTGCTGTGGTTCAAGTTTTTGGGCCCATACTTGGGATCGAATTTGATGAACCCGCGAATCGTGAACGACTACATACCTAATTTATTAGGTGCACATAGTTGTTCCGTTTACTTTGGCGCCAGAGACAGCGACTAGATAAGAACAAAGTGCGCTCAGGAGGTTCGTCGGTAGAGGCCACCGAGCCTAACCCTCGCAATATTAGACGTACCAGACACTGCAGCAGTGACGCGGTTCGGGTACATGCCGCTCTGGGGTGTAGCCCTGTTATACCTTCCGTATCTGATGAGGATGCCCGTAATGCGGGTGATATGATACCCTCCCGATTGGTTGAGGATGCACTCTTAAGCAAAGAGGATGGCATGCCTATTACTTTACATATTCAGAAAAGAAACTGACGCTTGAACCTCCTAACTGCGACCCAGCGACCCCCTCGTTCGTCCCTCGTCTACTCTAGGCCCGTACGCACGCTTCAACGAGAAGTCCTTTCGCTTTCAGATATACGGCTAGGTGACCTTGAAGTAGGTCTTCACACCAGCAAACCATACTACAGTTTTCCTTGCTGTTGCTGTTGTAGGGCCCAGGTCCCTTGGCCTTGACGCGCAAACTAGACTGCCTATCTTCTTTCTTCTCGAGTAAAGATATTAGAAGGCTCATTTCAGTTCCCCGACCCAGCGTGTTCAACTTCCCCTAGGACAGTCTAGGACCTACCTATGTCGGTTGGGCGCTTAGCGACTCCGGCTCCTACGTACCACTGCTATCGTCGCTCACAGACGCTAACCGCTACAACAGCCGCGCGCCTAGTGAGCTACCCGATTAACCCCCCTTCATCCGGATCTTCGTATTTCAAGTCATGTTGGATCTGGGGATGGGGTGATCTTATGGATACCGGCGACCGTAGGAAGGGATGGTCAAGGGCGAATAGATGGGATACTGGCAGATGGTGATCGGAGGACTGGCAAGGTGGGAGATTACACCGCGCGGCCCTGCTCTGATTTGCACGGTGTGATCCATTGTTTGCTCCGTCATATGGCAATAGGCACCGACACGGAATTTAAAATGATGCCATCATCATCCCCTAGCTTTACGAGGTCGGTACTGGTCTTCATCCATGAATCTGATGAACTGTCTGACAGGCCGGATGGCGTCAAATGTTTCACGAGGAAAGCTGACGGTGGTACGAACGCTGAGGCCTTAGGCACTGTCAGCGTTGTATGGTTCTGCACAGTAGGTTCGGTTTCAGATCTTACTTCTGAGACATGGTCGACTCTTGTTTCGCTGCCCTGAGCTTAACCGATCTCTCAAAAGCTAATCCATTGATGACGGCCTCAGCACCAGATCGCCCAAAATAACATCTCATCGACGTGTGCATACGGGTCTAGAGTAGATGAGGGACAAGCAAGGTGGTCGAGTGTCAGGAGGCTCGAGCGTCAGTTCCTGTTCTGAACGTGTATCATAGTCACAAGGAATAGTGTCATCCTCTTCGCTTGAGAGGGCATCCTCAATCAATCGAGAGGGAATGGCGTGAGTACGGTGTCTGATAACGTCGCAGAGGTAGCTCAGTAGTCTCAGTTGATGAAACCTGTTAAGTTCACTGCTTGTCTAATCGCTATCTGTCGCGCCAACGTGACGAAAATCCAACAGGTTCAGGGGCGAAATCCCCTGCTCTAGAACACTGGAGAGCACTTGTCGAGTTTTTCTGACGCAAAACATCAACTGAAACGGAATGACTACATCTCCCTACCAAGGGTATGTAGTTGTTCTTGCTTCAACAAATTCTACATGAATGATGAAAGGGAGCCCGATCGGAAGTCGAGGTTAGTTCAATGAAATCGATCGGGTATGTCTAGATACATAGATCACGGTGCAAGAGCAAGAAGGGATATGGGTTATGTAAGCAATCACCGCTTCTACAGCGGCCCTATTTCTCCAACATTTCCTTTGCGCGAAGAAACCTTGCAACCCACCCTGTGAATTCATTCTCAGTGATCTACTCTGTGATGAACGATTGAAGGTTGATTGGAGTCCGGTTTGGAGTCCGTTACAAGCATCCTTACGTAATCTCATCTACGTACGCCATTGCTCTGTCCTCTTGGCACTGCATCGCTTGACCCAAATTAGATTCTCAAACGCAGAGCATCCCTGTCAATAAGGAGATAATCCAAGCGGCCTCATCGCAGAAGTCAATGACCTCGACATGCAAAATGATCACAGCAAATGAGCTCAACATTCTATGAGCGCCTCAAGAATGGTTTTTTCATCCGTTTTGGCACACAAACACCAACACACCACACCACAACAATTCAATGCACCTGGGTCACCAGAGTCTGGCACCAAGACTAGGTACACAGCACGGTAAGTTTTAAATTGGTTCCCATGCCTACAGGGCCTTATGGTGCATTGTTTGTGCATCTTGGGGTGGGTCAGTGCGGTAGAACTGGTAACGGTGTAGAACGCATTAAGGACGGAACGTGCGCTGCAACCTTTACACCTCGGGCGTGGGCTTGCTTTACGATCGCTTGTGCCTCATCGTTATTGAAATTAATCAGTGGAGCAGAACCTATGAGGAGAAACTTGGGAAAAAAGCATAGTCTGAACTCGTTGCGGCGGTAGTTCAACGTAAATGTCGACCGCATGTATCTCCCAAATCTATAACCCCCTTCAGAATAACAGGTAGCAAAGGTTTTGACAAGTACTCACTTTAATCCAGTCCGCTCCCGCCGCCTGATTGGCAGTGAGTGCTTTAATACAACCATCAACTCCATCAGCCACCTCAGCGCCCGTAATACCATCAATGCCCTCAACGTCGGGACGCAAGGTCCCCTTGGGTCCTGAACCATTGAATCAGTTCAAAACCGTCACCTCAGCGCCCCATTTCTGACGACAGCATTGAACGGTCCCCCCCACAGGGAAGACTTCCGGTGGTAGAATTGGCGGAAAAGGAGGCTTATTGGTCACTCACTCTGACTATTTTCAAGACCCTTGGCGGGTCCCACTGGAGAGCAATAACGGCGTTTAAAAAGGTGCTTGAAGCCAAAGAACGTCGGGCCCCAGAGACAAAGAAATCCTAATCGAGATTAAGCGGATTTTCTCACGGAAATGACTCCCTGCAAATGGTGAGCATGACGCGGCTTGGTGCAGATCCAATGGGGTGTATACGTTCTATATCATGGGAAGGCCAGAAGGGCGATAGAAGACCAACTGAGCTGCTAGATCGTCTGACGAGGGAGGCACTGGGAGACAATGATGTTCCGTTCGGGGTCATACGTATTGCATTGGAAGGTCGACCGGGAGATTTGGGGGAGATTTGGGGAAAGATTTTGCAAGCTCTGTTGATGCGAAGAATAGGGATATATCCTTTATGATGAAGAACGGAAGCGGAAGGGTTGAATGGCAAGGAAGTTTTCCATGATTAAGGGGGTATCTTCGATGTAATTCCTTTGGCGTCTGGTGTTGTACTAATAGAACGTATGTAAAGAATAGATGCGACACACGTATCCACACTGATAGTTGCTGATAGGTTGTAGCCCCCTAGAAATACAACGTCGGTGATCTGATGTTTTGAACGTGAGAAAATCGTTACAAATACTGAACATGGTGCGAGTGTCCTATATGAACGCTATAAGGGAATACCGCAAATTTTTGTGTTGGGGATGGAAATCAACCCACGCCAAATTTGCAAAGCCAGAAGAGGCAGAGAACCTCCGATAACGCAAACGAAGCCATGTAATCACTATGATTTATATGGTCCGAGGATCATGAGATCAGCGTACGCTAGGAGTGGTAGGTGCTTCTGCGATGTTGTTGTGGGAATGGGAGCAGCTGCGAGTGATGTTGAACGTGAGGAGGAAGGTGGTGTTGGTGAGATTGGTGCGATTGTGCAGAAAATTGATGATGCTGTGCTGAAGGTGGTTGCGATTGCTGCTGTTGCTGGTCTTGGACTGCAGCTTCCAGCTTAGTAACTTCCGCGGTCAGGTCCTCCACGCACTCGTCCAACCATTTAATGTACTCAACAGCGCGGAACAGCACTCCGCTTTTCCCCTTTCCCCTCGTCCTTCCTCTCGTTCCCTTTCCCTTTCCACGCGGTGGCCGTGGGGTGCAGGTCGTGACACAGCAGAAGGATAGGGCACCAGCATATTCGTGAGGGCCGCATATCCGTCACGTATTGTATTCCTTCTTCTTTGCTCCGATAATATATGCCTTACACGTTTCTCTGGAGTGCTAAGTACTGGTTTTTGTGGTCGCCCGTTTGCTGAATGGGCAGGTGTACTATTGACACGTTCCCCTCCAGAATCCAGAGAGGGAAGCAACCCCACGCCTTGCTGACCGGCCTCTAAGCCATCATGCGCCAGATTCACACCAGATTCTTGAGTTTCCTGTTTTAGCGGTAAGGCGGCTAGTGGCGTCTGCTCATCGCGCGACCCAAGGGGATCAGAGTATGAGTTATCCGGTATCGGGGGTACATTAGAAGATGGATGGGGGTTACTGGGGGAGAAATGTACCAAAGCAGGGTTTGAATAACTTTGGCGCGACGCGTACACTGGACTAGACAATTGGGCTCGTGGGGGATGCAACGAATTCGCCGGAGAATGGGCTCGAGGGGTAGCACCAGCATGTACATTAGACAAAGCATTATCATTTTGGCTAGTTAATGGTGCAGATCGGAGGCTTTGGCTTGAATCGGCTCCTGAAAGTTGACCGGTGTTAAGCGAAGGTATGCCCGAGGGGAGCAAAGGATCAAACTGCCACTCGAATTTGTCAAGAAACCCAAATAAATTATCCTGCTCAGAAGCCGAAAATAAATCCTGGGTAGCTGAATTATGACCAGGCGGTAGAACGAGCTCTGGAAATGCAGGGGGGAATGAATACTCGAACTGCTGGTAAGGCACTGGGGGAGGTGGTGGGTTAAACGTCAGGGACGGCTGAACTGCATCAGACGAGTCCTGTGGCTGATTTTCTCCGTGTTCATGGAAGGGTGGCTTCGACTGGGATGGTTCAGCGTCGGAGGGCTGCATCGTAATTGGGGGCAAAGAGTGCGCACACGTGATCAATATCTTTCCCCATCAGGTGATCAATCAACCGCCCGCGTTTTTGGGATATCATTACTCGAACTTCAACGCGCCGATTCGTTTTCAATTAACTCAAAATGCAGAGAGGGATACCGGGGATGGTAAGTAGGGGTTTTTGGTTGCTCCTCTGGATCCTCACCGTCCATCCAATCAGCAACCCACTGTGATTCTGTTGAAAGAGGGCACAGACACATCGCAGGGAAAGGGTCAGTTGTTATCGAATATCTCTGCATGCTTGGCGATTGCAGACACGCTCGCTACAACACTTGGACCACGCGGGATGGATAAGCTCATTGTGAATGAACGCGGCGAAACTCAAATAACGAACGACGGCGCGACGATTATGAAGCTGCTGGAGATCGTGCATCCTGCGGCGAAAACTCTGGTGGATATCGCGCGCGCTCAAGATGCTGAAATTGGTGACGGGACTACAAGTGTTGTGATTCTGGCAGCGCACATGTTGAAGGAGGTGCGCGACTTCGTTGAGGAGGGCGTCAGTCCGCACCTCATCATGAAAGGTTTCCGAATAGCTGCCCAACTGGTGCGTGTATCCATTGTCAGTGTTATTGGTCATTTAAATCCAACCAGAATGGTTGACAGGCGATTGATCGGATGCGTGAAATTCAAGTCAAAGTCGACAAGTCTAACACCGAGTGCGTAGGCGTACATCATCAGTTCTAAATAGCAACTGAAGGCTACCCAGACAATTCCGCTCGCTTCTTCTGAAGTGTGCATCCACATCTATGTCTTCAAAACTGATTCATTCACAAAAACCATTCTTTTCGAACATGGTCGTTGATGCAGTGTTGAGCCTTGATCAAGATGAACTAGATGAATCGCTGATCGGTGTGAAGAAAATACCAGGGGGTGGCATGCAGGTTTGTGGTAACACTGAGCACTATGGCGTTTGTCTGAGATCCAGCTTCTAACTAGGACTCCCAATTGATCCGTGGGGTCTCATTCAAAAAAACGTTCACCTATGCAGGTGCTGAACAGCAACCAAAATCATTCAAGAAGCCCCTCATTCTGTGCCTGAATGTCGAGCTTGAGCTCAAAGCTGAAAAGGATAATGCGGAAGTACGCATCGAACAAGTTTCTGACTATCAGGCCATTGTCGACGCAGAGTGGACTATAATTTTCCGCAAGCTGGAGCTCATTCATAAAACTGGTGCTCAAATTGTCCTCTCAAAGCTTCCGATTGGCGATCTCGCCACCCAGTGGTTCGCTGATAGAGGAATTTTCTGTGCTGGCCGTGTTCCAGCGGGCGATCTCAAGCGGGTGGTGCAAGCAGTCGGAGGAAGTATTCAGAGTACATGCTCGGATATCGAGCGCAAGCACCTTGGAACATGTGGGAGGTTCGAGGAGCGACAGATTGGGAATGAAAGGTATAACAATTTCGAGGAGTGCCCGCAGGCAAAAACATGCACATTGTTGCTCCGAGGAGGCGCAGATCAATTTATTGAAGAAGTCGAGCGCAGTTTACACGACGCTATCATGGTTGTGAAAAGGGCCATTAAAAATAGTGAAATCGTCGCAGGAGGCGGTGCTGTAGAGGTAAGTTGTCATGTGAAAACTTCATATCATGCTAATGGCTCGACAGATGGATCTCTCGGCTCATATTCGGAATCATGCTCGAACTATTCCAGGAAAAATCCAGCTAATTCTGACCGCATATGCTCGTGCCCTGGAAATTATTCCTCGCCAGATATGTGACAACGCTGGTCTGGATTCCACTGACATCCTCAATCGCCTTCGCCAGCGGCATGCTATGGGAGAGACTTGGGCGGGGATAGATGTTGAAGGTGAAGGAGTGCGAGACAATCTGGCAGCATTTGTGTGGGAGCCGAGTCTGGTGAAGTCAAATGCGATAGGGAGTGCGACTGAGGCCGCATGCTTGATACTGAGCATTGACGAAACAGTCAAAAACCCACAGAGTGAAGCGGTGAGAGTCGCGAGTACTGTACAGCGGTGGGCGATGCTGATGCGACTTGACAGCAAAATCCCGGCCCGCAGGTTTCACAGCAACAGGCAGCGCGTGCTTTACGTGGACGGGGGCGAGGCATTCCCAGGCGGTGATCGATGCGAAGGTATTCGCGCTTGCATATCGCATCTGTATACCTATCTTTCAGTACAGTGTAACAGAGCGCTTCTTGAGAGCCAGACGAAGGGGTTCGCGAGCAGAATGTGTTAATTGTGTTGCTAGCCTATATTGAGTTACGACGTAAACCTCTTCCTTTCCTCCTCTTCTCCGTTTCTTTGAATTCTTCATCGCTCCATGTGGGCAAGTTGTTAGTTTCTTTCCAATCCTCTAGCATCTTCGTTGCAGCCTCATATCCACGCTTGAAGATTTCTTCGAACTTTCCGAACTGTAGCGTGGTAAACTTCAGACATACCGTGAGTCCCGGTACTACTATAAGTTGCCGATTTGCATACCTCTTGCACCGGCACGGGCATATACCAGCATCCCTTCATGACTTTGGCATCTGCAAGGGTCTTGACACTTGACACACTGAACACAAAACATACTTAGCAAGATATTAGTCTATGTTGAAGGCTCCACACGCACTAAGCGAGGCGGCTCTGAATTTCAGTGATAGGAGGGACACCAGGCGTTGAACTGAAGGGGTTTAAGCGGTTAATGAGCAACCACCACCCAGAGATGGAGTCCCCAAAGTCCCGTGGAGTTGTATCATCCACCTTTGAAGGTGGGTAAGCGGAACTAAATTAGTTCACAAGAATCCACTCACAGCGCCGACGTCGACCGCCACAACGGCAGATGCCCCCATTGAGATCATCGTTGAGACCTGTTGATGATGGGTCAGGAGAAGTTTGGTGTTCAGGCATTGAACCATACCGGTAAATTATCAACTGTAGGCGACGTCAGAAGTCAATCTTTTCGGGTGATACAGAAGCTTACTGTAGCCACCATCCACCAGAACCTTCCCGTTGTCCGATAAAGGAGGTAATAAGCCAACTAGTGTCATCGATGCACCTAGGGATACATCAAGTGGGGCCACGCCGTCTGACGACTCAGAACATACGGATATACCGCCATGCATAACCCGAAGTATGGATTTCGTGAGTCGAGGTCAGGATGTTGGTTGTGTTACAAAAGAATGGCAACCACATATCCTCAATATGGAGATCGTAAAATGACTATGTCGCTCGTGCGTCAGGATCAGAGTCAGGGCAAAGTGGAATTTCTTGCACACCTTGTAGATAGATCGGTTGAACTCATGCCCCTGGAAATTAAACATCAGGAGTCAAAATTTAATAGGGAAGATAAACACCACACGGTTGTGTAAGCCACGATAGGGTAGGTGACATCCGAGATGATACGCCATATGTTCGCCATTCGACCACTGAAATGCTTGGCGCGCCCAATGCTCGAGAACAAGTCGGCCTCATGTGCGTACAAACCACTGACAAACGCGCCGATGCTGGTGCCTCCGATCATATCCACCGGTATGCCTTGCTCCTCCAGAGCCCGTAATACACCCTGGCAGGTTAGTCAGCTCTAAACCCACTGAAAGAGTATGAGCGCAGGCTTTACAAGATGGGAGATGCCCCTGGCGCCACCACCGCCCAACACAACGCCAACAGACTTCCCTATAAGCCGACGAGCTAGTCTGGAAAAGTCGTTTGCCGAATCTGGCCGCCTGGATACCGGCCGAGGTCCACGATACTTCCCGATACTGACCTCAACTTGCTTCTTTAACTTCTTAAAGGCAGCCATTCCTGTGGGGTCCAGCGTCGTAGGAGGTTTTCGGCCCAGCATACCCTAGAAATAGCCTCTGAGTATGCCTTGCAGCAGATAGGTTGTGACACACACTGGAAGTTCAACATGGAAATGAGTGTGGATCCATGGTCGGATCTACCAAGTCACTGTGAATAACTTGATTGACAGGCACACTGTTAATATACCTTCAACCATTCACGCGTCGACCCAGGAACAACGTGTCGACCAGGATGAAGTAGAATGAGCTCCTTCCGAGCAGTCGTTTTAGTCGAGAGAAGCAAACGCTCATATTCGCCAATACTTGGGTCATTACCCATGCATACCAGCATGATCGAGTCTGCCTGTTGTCACGAACATATTTCATAAAACCCATTAAGTTGGAAACAGCTGTCACACCTGGTGGATGCACGTTTGCGTCCATTGTGCGTTGACGGGAGAATCGGCCACGTAGAGAACGATACGATATCGCTGTTCTTGGTCTGCTAACCATGCGGCAATTTTGAGCTTTCCCATTTTGGTAAAAGCATGCGCTCCGAGATGATTGGTCACAGAAGCTTGTGTGAGGTAGGATGTAGGTGCGCCAACTTCTTCCAGCGCAGTTTGCAACTTTTTAGCAAAAGCCGCAACTGGGACATTCTTGGCTGTTGGAAGGATAGCTACAGTCTTCAAATTCGGATTTTTTCCGATATCTGTCTCAGGCTTCGAGCCGGATGCCGATTCCTTGACTCGGGTGGCAATCATGCGAAGCAATCTAGAGCAGATTTATCAGCGAGGTTCAGCGCTTATAGGAATATGATTGCGGACTGGATGGTCGTTTTTGGGTGCCTGGAATCCCGAAAGTGCTGAGCTTCGAATACCATGACAACGCCTAAATTGCTTACCTCACGGATATTGCATTGAAAAGAGTCAGTGGCATTCGAACTAGTTCGGTGTCACGGATAGCATGCAGAGTAGTTGTTCGAGGGGAACTGGTAATGACATCCAACTCTCCAACAGTTTCACCTGTACATCAACGTCAGCAAGGTCAAATTTCCAATTATCAACACAGACCTTGTCCAAATTCGTTCAGCACCTTCATGTTTCCCTTCTCATCCTCACCAAGCACCCTGAGACGACCGTTGATGACAATATAAAAACTGTCGCTGGTCTCACCCGGACGCCATAGGACCTGACCAGCGCTGACTTGGACCCAATCCAGGGCAGAATCAATTTGTAAGACTGAGCGAGGAAACAACCCCTTAATTGCGTTGCACCTAGAGGAATGGAAAAACGCACCAAGGGGAGAAAGCAATGAGATGAGGCGCTTCGCCAAGGTGAGCAGAACAATGGGTCGCTTCTCTAGCAGCCGCATCAGTGCTTTGTGCGGCAGAAACCCCACATATGTGTCTGTCTTGGCTCGAATTTCCACGTATGAAGCCGTCTCAGACAAGGAAGCTAGAGGAAAAGGTAAGCCATGTGTCAGCCTCATTCTGAGAAGAAACCACCGAGGTAACCTGCGATCCCGCCGGCCTTGACATCGAATAAATGTTTCATGGGATTCGGCTTCTGAGCACTTGCATCCTGAGGTGCTTCTCTGATGCTTGAGGCAAACCAATTTTCGATTTCATTCTCCTTTTGTTTATTAGCGCTGTGTTCTTCTGCAGGGAGCGAGACATCGAGAAAGCCCTCAATGACATAGAAAATCCCTACGAAGGGTGAAAATTATACGATCGCTCCAGATACTTGTGACAACTCACCCGCATCTCTCTCGCCTGCATGTACGAGCGTATCACCTTGACGGAAAAACAATATCTCGACTTCGTTCTCAATCACATTAGGCGATTGAGCATTGACAGAACTAGCTGTAACGCTGGATGCGTCATCCGCTGCTTGTAGGAGCGAAAGAGAACTAAATGACGTGGTGAACGCAGGCCGGCCGAATTGATCCATGGGTCCAAAGGCTGGGGAGGCTTCCACCGACTCTGCGCTAACGGATGGTGGCTGCACCAAGCCGATGCATTTGACGATGCAGTCCATAACTTGTTCTCGCAGGTCGAAGTCGTCCGAGTGAAGGTGATTCTTGCGAGTTTGTTCACCTGACGCATGTCTCGTGGCCGCAGGCGTGAAGAGGACACTCTCGCTTCTAGTCAAAGGTAGATATGCTTCGCTGTTGACTATGGCGGAACTATGAAGATCCCCAGCGTTGGGGTGCATCCTTCGGTTCGACGGTCCCGAAGGAGGTGAATCCGTCACACTGCTAGGAGCAACAGTATTGGTTTGGTCGATGATATGACCATTTGCGGCGCTGCCAAAGTAATCTGAGTCACTGGATGACGTATCTGACCCCGGCTCCTTGGGGTCTGGAGCGAATCGCTGACGCAATTTTTCCATTCCTCCTCTTCGGTAAAAGTCGAGGGGTAGCGGATGACATGCAAGGTCGTTGATGGCTTTCTCCGTTCGGAGAAGTTCAGAAGTTAATCCGAGATATTTATGCGCTGCCATGAAAGTAACACGGGTGAACCGAGCCAGGATCACTGTATAGACGAGGCTAATTAGTCTATAGGATGAACCGAGCGTTGAGAATGACTTATTGGATGATATGTGCAGAACTCTTGGGGTACTTGGATGTCAGCCTACGGAAAGCCTCTGAATCCGGAGCGACCGTCACATTTAAATTTCATCCCTGGAATGAGGGGACAGGTACATACCGGCAGGTATGACAGCTAAGGTGGTGTCTACCGTCGCACGTGCCACCGATCCCCCTGCACGATCAAGACCGGATGGGAAAGTCGTCTTGCTTCTCCTAAGTGAAGGTCGCTTAGCTCTCCAAGTGCTGCGCGAATCCTCCGAGCCATCTACGCTGCCCATGCTTTGACGACCCGCACTTCGTGACGTAGAGTGAGAGCCTGATCGTGGCAACGGGACATTAGCAGCGGCATGGATTGTTGATCCAGATGAAGAAGATGCTGGGGTTCTTCCGGATGTGCGACCTGGACGCGAGTCATGATTATTCAGCTGGAGAAGAGACACGTCGGAATTCGCCCGCGATCGCGACAAGAAATCGGGAATTTGTAGTTGGTCGACAAAGTCTTCAGCAACATCATGGTCATACGTCTCCTCTGGCCATGTGAGCTGCACGTTCTCAGTGAACAAGCTCAGGATTGTGAATAAACTTGACAGCGTGCCTCCACTCCCAACTTCATTAAGGAGCTGATACCCGTTGAGATCCTCACCTTCCCATGTGCTAACGGCGTCATCTTCTCTACCGTCTGTTTTGGCGAAGACTTGAACGAGGCCATCAATAACACAATAAAAATTCTTGTCCTGATGGAGCGATAAAGTGTCTCCAGCTATGAGGCGGCGCGTTTGCAAATATCGCGCAAGTTCGTGGAACACCTGGAGACAGCAAAGGTGTGGATTTCATGTTGTGAACGAGGTAGTGTCGACGGATGTGGAGACACGTACTGGCTTTTCCAAGAATCCAAACACCCTGATAGCCAGCAAGAATTCATCTAAATAATTATGGAACGGCTCGCGCGCCTCGTTGCCTTGCACATCGGGGTGCAACGGCTCTATCGCAGGGCGCGACAGGGGACCTCTCTCAGAGTGGCTAAGATGCACACTATTCAGGAGAAATACACGCACACGCCCATAAGACTCACAGTGCGTACTGAGATACCGATAACGGATGAAATGCGATACCAGAATACCGGAGAGGACAAACAGGAGTACTAAAGATCTGAAGTCGAGCTTCACAAGCGCGTGACGTCAGATTCTGTTGGTAACATCACAAAGGATTTGGCATTACCCGCAAGGTAAGGGAGTATGACAAGATGGAATATACGAATCTAGGAACAGATATGGTCGCAAATGCCACGAGGGTTCGCGCCCAAGCCAGTATCCACACTGGGCAGATAGTCATCAAACCAAATGCAGGACTCGAGGCCACCTGCATATTCACCTGCGACGGAAACACTGGCTCTGACCAGCGAAACTAAAGGGTGTTGAACTTGCTCTCCTGTCATCGTGATTGAGCTGTGCGAACCACATGCAACTTCATTCCGTGCAAGCTGGCCGGTGGACAGCCACCGGCACCTGCGATTTCCCACGGGTCAAACTCCTGACGAGTTGCACTCAAATGGTACTTGAATGGCCCTCCACTACATTTTGAGGGTTTGGGTACTTCGCTGGAAGTTCTGATCCCATTTCACCCGCTTCACGACACCCGCGCTGGAAAGCTTTTCTCAACTAACGAGGAGCAGAACACGATCCCCTTGCGTGTCAGCTCAACCGCTTGAGCGACTGAGCCTCCTGGAACCAGTTATGTTCTTATCGCTCTGCGGGGTGCTGCACATGCCTTGAGCGTCCTTTAACAGTAGCTAGACAACATCACCTACTAACCCTGGTTCCTCTGGCACCATGAATTTGATGCGCTGTTTCCTATTTACCACTAGCGAGGTTCTTATGACTTCGCAAGGCTGCTGCACCAAGTAGCGGCACTGCAGCAGTGGCCCATATCTTCCTCCCGTACCCTTCCCTTCTGCCTCTTTGGCGGATCGAGCTCGAAACTGATCAATCGGTGAACTCCCCAGTAAGCAATATGAGCGCTGGTAACCATTGTGCGCACGTCTTCTGAATCTCATGCACCGAATTCTCATTACTTCAATCAGAATAGAAGACCTCCGTCCCCGATGAGCCCATCTCCAAGGATGTTCCAAGAGTGGCAGTCAGGTAGCGTTGTCAATGCTGGTGATGGCTAATATTTGTCTTATGCTTTCGTTTCCAGATGTTCCGCACAAATTTATAGGTTAGGCTGGCTATTGGAGGCGACCTTCAGACGGTGGTCGTGCGAGAGTGCCACTCCCTGAACTCATCGATATGCGATATGAGCACTTGCGACGATCATATCGCGATAGCATCGTATCCACCTGGGTCAACCCAACATCCTGAATCACCGCCTCATGTACTTCTTACTCAGGGTTTTCGTGCTTGCATCCTGCAGGCCTTCGAAAACAGACCAATCCACATGCTCATCACCACGATCAAAGCAAGATTTCAAATCATCATGGTGTAACGTTCATCTCGCAGGTCTTACATGCTGCAGCGATTGGCAAGACTGAAATGGAGCACGCGTTTTTGGCTACTGGCTATCGAGGGATACCTAGTATTGGTGTTGTATGCCATGAACAGTGCTGGAATCTGGACAAGTCAATTTCCAAATCGCATCTTCGTTCCATTAAGACCCTGCGATCTACATGTAATCCCTGTTATCTGCTAGGGGGCCCAACGGAATAGGGGGAACTCGTTTTATGCCGGAGTCCGCGGCTTGTGGTTAGATAACCGAGCCTGAGTTTGTGTGGGAGCGCGCGGCGCCAATACGAGCACGTGCTGATTTGCCCTTAGAATTGTGGTCTTGAACCGGTGAAACACACTCATCCTTCAGGTGACCAGCCTCTTATCATCCTTCCTCGATAGTACATATATTGACTTCGTAACGAAAGTCATCTCGACTTTCTCTGGACCTGAGATATACTAGGCCAATTCATTCTTGGTTTGTTCCTTACGCCCACTGCCACAGGAACAGGCCAAGAACATTCATAACAATATGTATTCCCAATCTCCGCACAGAAGGCTCCGGGGTTTGCTATCTGCTTCTAGCATCTGCAGAGGAAGGCTTCTTGCCGTACTGGCTTGAGTAACCATCTCGCCACATCGATATGAGCCTTGGGATCGGCTCTGTTTTCTGCTCGCAATGTTAAAAAAAAACGGTCGGGGTTTCTGCCAGCGATCCTTCTGAAGGAACTCATTAGAAACGCATACATCATCTCAACGGAACTCGAGCCTTTGAAAATCTCCGCGGATGTTCATATCGTAATCTGCACTGCTCTCCATGTATGGCGCCGGGACCAAATCATATCGCAATCATTAGTTGATACGCTACGGCTAAGACCAGAGTTCAGTGAACTTGTTCTACTTTTGGTGGTTCGCCTTCGAAACCAAACCCTAGCTTTGGACGCACTGCCGTGGAATAATTCCTCACCACTTTGACGCGTGTCAATTTTCCCTTGTGATTCACTTATATCCACCGCGCGCACGCCTCTCCCAAAATGGGACAGTCATAACACTTAATGCAAGCCAAACTTTGCCAACGGACTTCGCCGAATAGATCCCGTTGCTATGCATACACGGGCGACTGCGATCTGCACTTGCATGCTTCAACGTGTATGCCCTCACTCCAATTGAATCCATGTCGAGTCGGGAAGTCGGCTAGAAAGAGGCAACAATCGATGCGTCATATCATCGGCATCCACCGTACAGCCATCTCCCCTTTCCCCCAACTCGTCAGAACACGCCTTGCCCTCGCGGTTTCTTGCTGTCGTCCTTAGTGACTCCCATCCTTCATCCTCCATCACCCTCCTTGGAGACAAGAGACCATCATTCTCTGTCCATATCTTTCGTTTCAATTCACTGTGTCGCGCGCCTCAGCCTCCTAACGCCTAGATTCTTCTGCCCTAACCTCACGAAGCGTTGCCCATCATTATCCTCGTGTGTCTAACCAAATCAGTGTTGGTTTTACAGTTGGTCCATTCACTCTCACTTCCGACGACTCAATCGAGTATCCCCCCACCACAGCTCTGTTTCATCGTCACATTTTGATTTAGCCACTCTTTGCTACTTTTCTCTCTCTTTGGCTGAGTTTCAGCCACCATGTGGTGAGTAACGGATAGGCACCTAGTCCGTTTGATTAAAATCATCCGCCCAAGATGTAACAAATTGCTTGCTGCGCTTCCCGCTTGTGAGCAGCCCCTTAACGTCACATATGGGGCGTCATCGATTCACCCTTCGAACACGTGTGGCGGGGCCATGATCTGGGGCACCACCATCTCCGTGGGCGGACGTTCTTCAACTCCAACAACCGACACACCCTGGATTAGCCATTGAATCCGTTGCAATTTAGGACTCCCACCAAGGAGCTGAGGAAAATTTCATCCGCTAGATCTACAGTCTGTTGGGGCCAATATTTCTTTTCAAGTATGGTCAATTCGTCCACTTCTCTTTCAAGTACGAGTAGTACGTCGTGTCCCCTTCCTGCATCTCTTCCCCGCAGTAGTTTCAGCTGCATTGTGGTCATGATGATCCTGGAATTCCGTTCTAACTTCACAATCTGTTTATATTCTCAGTTACTTGTGCAGTAAAATCGCAACAACAGCCGCTACTCTTGCACTCACTAAGGTGATAGCCTGGGGAATTGTCATTCTCATTAGGCAGGCGGTCTCGGAGCTAATGAAACAGCTTTTGCGGGTCTTGTCCAGCACTAATATGTCGGAACCCAAATTTGCAAAGCGTTATGGCCGATTGTCTCTATTTATTTTATATCAAAGCCACTTTGATGATTGCTAATCCAAGAAAGCGTACGTACGGGCTGCTCCTCGCATCGGCCCCGCAGTTTCACCTGTTACCCCGTTTCTCATTTGCCGCGCGCACCTGCCTCCTTTTTCACTCGGCGTCTCTTCATCTCGCCCGCTGAGTTATGTAATGCTCCAAACTCTTCATGCACCGCCGCCATTTTTTCATTTTGAAAGGATCTGTGATTGGGTTGGGTTTCTTACTAACGGTTTGGCTATCATCTCTTCAACCTTTAACCAGGCGAGGCAAAGCTCAGTGAGAATGAGATCACGGCGGCCACCTCTGGGTGCAACACCTGATCAATATGCTGGTGGCGTCATACCTCCCTTCCCCTCCCATGCTTGCGGTTACGGCACCCACCATTATACAAAGCCGTAGTCGACTAGACCTTAGCGGACATTGGTTTCGAGGGTACGTTTTTTCTGTATCACACGAATTAATTTCTTTCCACTCGGTTGTGAATGCCGATTCACTTGTTATCACCTGTTCGACTATTCGTTTGAGAAATGTGACCTGCTGACCGATAGACTGACACCTGCCTTGTCGTGTTTATTTGGGATAGATTTACATTATATTCTGGAACTGGCGTTCTTGGGAAAAATGCCGGTCCGTTATGCGAGAGTAACTAGCTCACTCAACGTACCTGGTTATTCCTTCTCGTTGTTTGACACAAACATTTCCCCTTGTTCCTGCTCTTCACTATCACATCGCAAAAATCCGTTGCTTTCCAACTTGACTTCTTCATTTTCAAATGAATCTGTTCTTTCTTGCTCTAAGTCACTCCTGTCGTTCTCTCCCATTCCATGTCTTTCTTCCTAATGTCTCGGCTCCTCTTCTGCTGTGGCATCGATCATTCCACTCATCCGCTTCCGGATTGTTGGTTTCCGACTGACGAAGCGAATTGGGCTGTTTTTCTCTCCAAGTTACTATGTCGCTTGAGAAGAACGACCCTGTTACGCGAAGACTGGTACGGAGGACGTCGGGCGGAGCAAAGGAAGGAGATTACCCATCTGCCATCGATTCCAGTTGCTGTAAGTGGAACCCGACCGTATGAAGGGCCGATCAGGATCAAACCTTCCGATCATCGGATACGGGATTTTTGCGATGTCCTTTACGACTTTGCTGGTATCGGAACAGCAATCGTTCCATCTCATATTCTCTCCATTTGCCTGCACTTTCCTCGTTTACCGTGGTCTCTTTCTTCCAATTCCCCCCTGTCCCTTTGTAAACTCCACACAACAACCCCTTGGAGCCGAGGATGGGGACCCCTTTCCGCTTTCTCACATTTTACCTCATGCACTTATCCGCATTCATTTGGGTGGTTTTGGCGCATCTATCAGTGCTTTCCCCCTTTCGACCTGTTTATTGTCCCATTCCCCAGTATGGTAATAGTAAGTTTTTTCGCCATTTTGCCATTTCTCGTTGAATTCGCGTTCTTCAGGACTGCGGGGTTTTCTCGTTACCTCACTTCTTACGACCACGATCGCCATGCATGTATGGCCACCTCCTTGCTTTTGATTCCCTTTATTTGGCTTCTTATCTATTTGCCTATCTCTTGTATTCTGTTTTGCCTACGACTGCCCTTGTGACAACGATCACGATGACTAACGATGTCACTTCACATACTATGTACACGGCGTGCACTCGTCCGCCCCAAGAACATATTTGCGTGTGGACAATATCCTGAAGTATGGGAAGGTAATAACCGATGATCTGGCATCAGATATGGATATTGGTTATAAATGGATATCATGGCAGCCAAGGCTGTGTGCTTTACGATATGGGTGCAGGGTCAGACAGCGGGCAAGCCCCAGGAAGGAGAAGCAGCGAAGCTGTGTTCCCCGGACCGAGCAGATTGGTTTGATTTTTGAGAGAAGCCGTGCACGAGGCATGGCTGGACGAAACAAGTTGCCCATTTTGGCCGGTTCGGGCCTCTTGCCATCGGGCGCTGCTTCCAGCACGTATCAGCGCTCATCGTTCTTCTTCCCAACCCAACGGGAGCGGTGTATTATTGCTGTCCGAAAAATTAGGTAATGATGCAGAGAGACCAGGAGCAGGCTGCTGCTGGGTGTAGCCAAGTTGGCCGCTGATACTCTGAGGTTCGGTAGTAGTTTGTTTGAGATCTGGACCAATCAGAGTCCGTGGCAGAATGCTGGAGAAGTCTTGCCCTCTTGGGGATGTCCTGAGCAAAACCGGACTTGTTCCCCTAATGGGGTGGGAGGTTTAGTCAGCGGTGTTGTTAACCGTTGGGCAGCGTTCACTGTCCTGTCAGCTTGTTTGTCCGTTCTGTCAAACAACGTGTGACAACCTTTGACGCAGTCACAACACGTGTGACAGAGCGGCGTCTAATTTTTGAGGTTGTCGCCATCTTGGATGTAAATCGAGTTGCCGCCAAAGTTTTGATAAAAATTTTCCCTTTGGGGGTTTCCCGGCCGATGAAATTTTATTTTTTTTTGATGAGAGAAAAAAAATAATTGAACTGCATAGTTCATAATTTCCGGTAGGAGTTTGCTTAAGTAGATAAAAAGGACCGGTGCCGCCTTTTTCTCTCTTCATCCTCGCAACCATCCCCCTCATCTTTGTTTCGCCAGCGATATCCCGCGATCGGCTTGTCCGACTCGGTGTTTGTTTTTTTTTTGTCTTTCGGTTTCTGTTTACGCGTCTGTGCTTCGTTGACAACGCTTAGGCCCGCACGAGTTTCATCGTCGACCCAGCTCTTATATCACGTCGACATCTCCACACACGTTTCGCAACTGACTTACGTCTCTATCTCCCTCATCGCCCATTTGTGATTTTGTGCTTGCACTGTCGCCTGCGGCCTCCCTCGTCGATTTTTTAGATCAAGACCATCGCCACTCTCCAAACTTCAACGCCTCCTTTTTTGTCGCTACCTGATTCAATGGAACCCGCCAGCCCTTCTTCCTACTCTCACGAATACTTCATCGGCCAGCCCGACTTCGCCAACTACGAGTCCCCTGTTCCATACGACGCCGTCCCTGCTGTAGAAGGTAAGCACTCTGCTCCTTTTTCGCTCTGCATTCAATCTTCACGTTATCACTCACTTCATTCTTCCCCAGCCGAGCTTCCACGCTTTGGTCTCGGTTCCCTCAACTCGCTCCAGCTCACTGGATCGGGTATGCCCTCATACTACCCACCCTCATACGTTCAGTCCATTCGGTCACCTCGCCCCGTCTCCCCAATGCAATCCATCTCGCCACCACTCACTTCCATGTCTGCTTCCGACCTCTCCGAAACTCAAGGTCTTGCCTATGGTGCTCGCAGCACGGGGACTAGCTCCCCTGCCTCTTCGAGCCATGGCCGTAGTGAGCGTCGACCCGTCCGCAACAGCGCTGTGGTCGCTGCTGCCGGAGGTGGCCGTCGCACCACTAGGAGAAAGTCGACGAACGACGATGAGTTTGCGAGTGATGAAGACGATGCTCCGATGCCCGTTGAAGTCTCCAACCGGAGTGCTGTCAGCAAGCGTCGTGAGGAAGTTCGTCGTCAGCGCATTGAATCCGAACAGAGACGGAGGGATGAGCTCAGGGATGGGTACCGCAGACTTAAGGACGTGCTACCGGTCTCGAATCAGAAGTCGAGCAAAGTTAGCCTGTTGGATAGAGGTGGGTTTCGGCGTTGTGTCTCTGTGTGTGCGTGCGCGCGGCATGCTGATAAGATCCACTACCTTTTTCAGCGACAACCCACATTCGGACATTGGAGATGGCCCACTCACACATGATCATGAAAATTAACGAGCTCGAAACGGAGATTGCTCGTTTGCGAAAGTGAGTTGACCTTCCTAAGAAACAGTGTTGTTTTCAGTATGTCTGATGAATTCATACAGCGTTAATGAAACTCTCATGCTAAGCGCCGCGGAACGCCGTTCTTCTGGTGCTGTCTTCTGAAGAACCTTTTATGCTGCGTTTCCTCGGTTATGCGTTTTTAACATATTCTTCTTCCTGCTTATCACAAAACGGATGCGTACCACGCAGATTACCTTGGGCATTATATGACAGACACCCTTACATTTTTATCTCTATATTCTACACGTCGCATCACCGTTTACTACATCATACTCACCGTTCACTCATATCGTCCCCTTCACGCAACCCCACATCTATCATACCCCTCACACTCACTTAACTCTGGATCTGGGTTTTCTGGTTAAACCCATCTACACGGCCACGCCCCCACCACGGCGCACGTCTCACGCCGCGCGTTCGAGTTGATGATATATTTACGTGCTTATTTACGACATCAGTGATGACGAACACTCTACTTCGTGATAGAGTCACGAGTCCCCCCCTCTTCCTCTCTCCCCTCTCTGCCCATCTATGGATGGATGACATTGTTGACTGCATCGCTGCGATCGCCCTGGATGTTGGTTTGCTACTCCGTGGATCATCGGTACGTCCGTCGACGAGTCCTGCGCTTTGCCTTGGTGTTTGGGTACGACGTATGGCGTTGAGTGGTGTTGGCTAGTCCATGCACATTCCGCCTCGTCCCCCCTCTCTCCTGCCCACTGCCCTCGGCGCGTGCGCTCGATGGAGCATAGGTAACGGCATGCGCACTTTAGACGACTCTCATCGTGGTTCTTGCTTGTGAGCTACCTTCGTCTATATCGCTTGAGACGATCTCGGCCAGGATATTGTGCACGACTATGTGTTCAGTTGTCGGGGAGAATGCTGATGAGTGACGGCCCCAACCGCGTGCGGTTTTTCATGTCGTCCTCGTGCTAGCGCACTTCCGTCCAGCTTATCCTGCTTTCCTCCCTTCCTTCGTCTCGTGGTTTGGTGCTTGATTGTATGTGCGAGATAGAACTATGTGCATATTTGATGACGTTATGCGCGTTTTTCTTCAGCAATCGACCTCGTTGTCTACATACTAATTGCGAATCGTCGGTCCTCAACATTCCCTTGATCGATACGATGCGGTTTTCATCATCTTCCGATTTAGTGTTTGGTTTTTTTTTCTCGACCCCCCGATCTTCTCATCACTCGACCGGCCACTCCGCACCAGCAACATCTCTTGGACGCTGATTCACACCTTTAGGTTGTTTGATTTCCCCTCCCCTTCACCTTCCGCTCACCACATCTCATTACACTTCCCACTGGTTCATTCACACGCTTGTTCCTTGTACCTTGGGCTCGGGATAAACGTGTAGACGAGTTGGTGGGCGATCGGCTGACCCTTCACATTTGTTGTATATAGTAGCGGTGCTGTATCTTTTCTGTTCTTCCTACTTTCTAAGAATCGAGCGGTGGGCGCTGTCATATGAGAATTTTACCGAGCGTGGGTGACTTGTAACCGCTGAGACGAGGCTTGAGGTTTGACCACCATAGTCCATGCAGCTTTGTGTGTGGATAGAAGCTTGAATCAGGCTCAAATATATCGTTCAGAAGTCTATTTTCACTTCCGCCTCAGCTCTGCGACCAGTAGACCCGAGTGTGCGGTGAGGTGCCAATGACGGTTGGCTTGTGTTGTCGCGTTCAAGTATGCGCATCGGGACAAAATCAACAGTTGGGGCAATTTTTGTGAAATGATGCGCACGTATCCCTCTGACCATACGTGACTTCGCAAGCAGCTACTTCCAAGAGTCTGCGGTGGCCCCACTGAACCGTCGACTGGAAAGTGACACGTGATCAACTTGAACGATCCGCTTCGACGTGTATCCTCGCGTCGCAGTCCTCTGGTATTTCGTCTTCTTCTCGTCCCTCCCCTTTTCTCCCATTCTTAATTCTTCACATTACAAACGATGAGCCTCGCGAAGAAGGATGAGGAGACAGGGCTTGGGTCTTACTATAACAACAAAACAACGATCATACAGGAAGCACGAGTGTTCAATGAATCTCCTATCAGTCCACGGAAATGCCGAGCGCTGCTGACGCGGATCGTTTATTTGCTTTATTTGGGCGAGACGTTTAGCTCTCAGGAGGCTACGACACTTTTCTTCGGGACGACAAAGTTGTTTCAGAATAAGGATGTACGTTTGGATGGGGTGGCGCGTGCTCTCGTTTGGGGATAGTTGGGATCTGATGAGGCTGCCTTTGTCTTATTTAGAGTGCCCTGAGACAAGCGGTGTATCTGGCAATAAAGGAGCTGGCACTTTCTGCTGACGATGTGATCATGGTGACGAGCAGCATTATGAAGGATATGCAACCTAACTTAGAGGTCATTTATCGTCCCAATGCCATCCGTGCACTATGTCGGATAATAGACGTGCGTGAATCCACTTTCTCTCCCGTTGACGTTAGAGAAATTACTGCGGTTATTATGAATTTTTAGGGCTCAATGGCTCAAGGGATCGAACGCTTTTATAAGACCGCTATTGTGGATCGTAATCCTTCCATATCCTCCGCTGCACTCGTTTCTTCCTACCATCTTTTTCCATCATCAAGAGAAGTTATCAAACGCTGGGTGAACGAAGCACAAGATGCTGTCAATGCAAAATCAACAACATCTTTCTTTGGGACCAGTGCAGCTGGGGGATATCTTAACTTCTCAACGGGTTCGCAGTCCTCGTCGCCCGGCGGGTACCAGGCTGTACCATCCACGAGCTATATTACCCAGTACCATGCCCTTGGTTTGTTGTACCTGATGAGACAGCAGGATCGGATGGCGGTGATAAAAATGATACAACAGCTTGGAGGAGGGAAGTCTGGCGCTGGGACGACGTTGAAGAATCCGATGGCATTGTGTATGCTGATTCGATACGCCGCGAAGGTTTTGGATGAGGACCCCAAGTGAGTGCGATGGGGTGTTGAATAAGCGGAATTGATAAATCCTGTCTCTGTTTAGTGTTCAGAGGCAGATGCTTGAACTCTTGGAAGGATGGCTGCGTCATAAGAGCGATATGGTTAACTATGAAGCTGCTCGGGCTATCTGTGAGATTCGTAACGTCTCGTCTGCTCAGCTCGTCAGACCTATTGCGGGTAAGCTTTACTTGATATATTTTCCGGCCTTTGACACTGACATCTTCGCCTCTGCTGTGAAGTCTTGCAACTTTTCTTGTCGTCTGCCAAGCCTACGCTCAAGTTTGCGGCCATTCGGACATTGAGTACGCTTGCACTTACACACCCTGGGCCAGTCTCTACTTGTAATGTAGACATAGAGAATCTCATCGCGGATTCCAACCGTAGCATCGCTACATATGCTATCACTACACTCCTTAAGGTGTGTCGCTCATGTAATCAGCTCCTTGAATGAGTTTCAACTAATACCGTTTCGCAGACTGGTAATGAAGCTTCCGTCGATCGCTTAATGAAACAAATCTCTGGCTTCATGAACGAAATTAGTGATGAATTCAAAGTCATTGTTGTGGATGCTATTCGCTCCCTGTGCCTCAAATTCCCAGGAAAACAAGCAACTATGCTCAACTTCTTGGCCGGTGTCCTACGTGATGAGGGGGGATATGACTTCAAACGGGCGGTCGTGGAAGCGATCTTCGACATGATCAAATTCATCGAGGATTCCAAGGAGGCTGCCCTCGCTCATTTGTGCGAATTCATCGAGGACTGCGAGTTCACGAAGCTCTCGGTTAGAATCTTGTACCTATTGGGTATTGAAGGACCTAAGTCTCCGAAGCCCGCGAGGTATATCCGGTACATCTATAACCGGGTTATACTCGAGAATGCGCTGGTTAGGGCTGCAGCGGTTTCGAGCTTGGCGAAGTTCGGGGTAAATGTGGTGGATCAGGCTGTTAAGAAGAGTATTCGAGTCCTGCTAACTCGGTAGGTGGCACTTTACTTTTTGTCACTTGATGAGGTGTGCTTACGATGAAGCCAGCTGTCTCGATGATGTGGATGATGAGGTTCGCGATAGAGCAGCAATGTACTTGAAGGTGATGAACCAGCCTCCATTAGCCGAAACATATGTTAAGGATGGTATGTCTTTTGACAAGGGCAGAAAGCTACTGCGTTGCTTAATAACTTGAACAGAATCTGTTTTCTCTCTCGCTGCCTTGGAGTCGAAACTTGCTGCCTACATTCTGGACGCGAACGCTAGTGACGTCCCTTTTGACACCTCCTCGATACCCAAAGTCAGCAAGGAGCAAGCCAGACAAGAGAGCGCCCGTATGTGCTTTGTACACCCTTCCGTCGGCCTTCCGCACTCTAATGTCGCCTGGTAACATACTCTAGGTCCCAGTGCTCTTGAAACGGCACATACTATACCTGCTCCAAAAGCTCCTACTTCCACCGCTCCCGCTCCATCTATCGCAGAGGCCAAATCGGCATACGCGAAACAGCTTGCTGCCGTGCCAGAGTTTGAGTCGTACGGTTCTGTGATCAACAGCAGCTGGAAGCCCACCCAACTTACGGAGAGCGAGACAGAATACACTGTGTCGTGCGTCAAACATGTATATAAAGAACACATTGTTTTCCAGGTAAGTGCAGCCCCAGCTTTGTGGGCCGTAATTCCGGAATGCCGTCACTTAAATTACACAACCTAGTTCAATGTATCCAATACTCTCCCTGATACCATTCTCGAGAACGTGTCCGTTCTCATGCAGGCTACTTCGGAAGCAGGTCTCACGGAAGATTTCATTATCCCTGCCCCTCAAATTACTTCCGCCAACTCACCTCAAGTCGTGTATGTCTCCTTCACGCGCGAAAACCCCGCTGAATATGTTTTGGGCTCGTTCCTCTCTACGCTCAAATTCATCAGCAAGGAGGTTGACCCTTCAAGTGGCGAACCGGAGGAAGAAGGGTATGAAGACGAGTACCAGGTCGAGGAGGTGGAAATCGGGGCTGGGTCCGAGTACATTGTTCCTACCTATGCTTCATTTGAGTCCGAATGGGCCAGGATGGCTAATGGGCCGAGCGTGGTTGAGACATTTTCGCTGTCTGCTATGGATAGTATTAAGGGTGAGTGCCTAGATCCACGCCCTGCTCCGGTCCCTAAATTACCGTGTTATCGTTCTAGCGGCGTGCGACTCTATCATTGAGATCCTGAACATGGAGCCCCTTGGAGGTAGTGAGCATCCAACATCCCAGTCGGTACATTCGCTTATGCTTGCCGGTATCATTACCGGCGGAGGTGGCAAGGCCATCGTTCGCGCCAGGATGACCTACATTTCCGACACAGGCGTCACCCTCGAGTTAGGGGTGCGAGCAGAGAAGGAAGCGGCTTGTAACCTAGTGATTGCAGCCATTGGGGGCTAATCGCTGTGTGGTGTGATGCCGTGTTTGTCGTTCCTCAAAGATTTCCTGGCATGATTGCATCACATGTAATCTAAAATTCCCTACTCTATCCCTCCGGTTTCATAGTTTATGCCATGCTTCGTAGTACTTACAGTATACCTCTTGAAGCTCTTCTAAACAGGTTTGTCTCATTCCGAGCGTTAGTTCACGCGAGCTTGTCGGGTGTGACCGTAATATTGATTGAGATCGGAGCTGGGGGTCATCTCCCCCAAGTTCCGCTGAGGATACCATATTCACGGAGTCATCAAACGTATCAGGTTGCTGTGCTACTGCTGAGTGAGCCTTTATAGCTGCGCTCTGGCTTATTGGGGTTGGCCGCCAGCGGCAACTCTCTTTGTACCCATACTCGGCTGAGGTTCGTTAGCCTAGACGCTGACCTCAGCTGAGCACTATGCCTGGCACTTCTGGCGTCATACCAGTGCCGCGCAACATCCAAGTCGATACAAGGGGCGCAGTAATACTACAAGAAGAATCGCCTGAGGTGCGTTACCTCATTCCGTCAGATGACGACGTGGGGGAACTTAATTCATGCGTCTCGTTTGTTTGATTGGTATCATGCAACGGGACTATAGACGAGAGATAGTAGAGGAATATACCTCCCCAATCATGTGGAACCAGTGTCACACATCGCAGTTGACGTGAGTAAAGCATCGCTGGGGTAATCGTACGAGTGGACTGATGCATCAAATAACCTCCTCCAACGGCTCGTCACGCCCTCCATGAACATCAATGCGCTTGCTGCTGTGCGGTTAATTATCTTAGATTGGTGGCTCGTTGGCCAAAATCATTTATTTCACTCGTTCCCCTGTTCCGCCTCAATCCTCAACTGAAGATTCCCTCGACTCAGAAAGCATAATATCAAGCGACTCCATCCCATCCACGCCTCCTGATGTCGAAGACCCTTCCACGTCTCTATCAATCCCTGCCAGGCGTCCAAAGCTTACAGGTGCACTGACACCTTTGGTCCTCGAAGGTCCTCGTATGACCACCATTTCTCAACGATTTGTCGGCTGTGGCGGCGAGAACAAAGGGGGTGCCATTGAAAGCGCCAAGTTACGAGGCGCTCTCCTCCGGCGGCAAACGCTTCAGAATGTGCCGGGTGGTTCACTCAACTTTGAACGATTCGAAACAGACAACATTCATGAATGCGTCGAGTTCATTCAACAGCTCATTTCCCGCTCGGCGGATGTAAACCGCGTCTCGATCGAGGAGATGCGGAAGAGTGTGAAGATCATGGCTACGGGCGGAGGCGCCCATCGGTTCTACGACTTATTCAGCACGGAGTTGGGCGTGGATGTTCAGAGGGAGGACGAGATGGAGTGTTTGATCACAGGCTTGGTTTTCATCACGTCAATACCAAATGAGGCGTATTTCTTCTCGGACGAACTGATTGCGGAGGTGTCGAAGAGTAATGGGACCCATCACGATTTGCATGAGCTGCAAAGACCCTCCCCGGACCCACCTCGGTACGGTGTGACGTACGTCAAGGAGCCGAATGCCCAGCTTCCCTGTCTATTAGTGAACATTGGATCTGGTGTGTCGATCATCAAAGTCGACGAGGATGGAAAATTTGAGCGTGTGAGCGGAACAAGTTTAGGTGGTGGGACATTGTGGGGGCTGCTAAGTTTGTTAACGCCCGCAACGTCTTTTGATGGTCAGCCATTCCATTCCAACGTTGCAAGCAAGACTAATTTTAGGCGTTCTTTTATAATCAGAGATGCTTACCCTTTCTGAAACGGGTTCGAACGAGAGTATAGACATGCTCGTTGCAGATATCTACGGACAAGATTATGGCCGACTTGGTCTCAAGTCCAGTGTCATTGCATCCTCGTTTGGCAAGGTCTTCAAGAAAGGGAAAGAGAAAAAGCAATTTCGTCCAGAGGATATTGCCAAGTCACTGCTGTATGCCATATCGAATAATATCGGACAGATTGCGTGAGTGGACATGCTGCTTGATTTCCATGTGGTGAAACCCACCCCAGCCTATTCCATTACGATCTATGATCATCCGTTCGATCGCATTTCATGTTCATGATTTTCGTATCTTCTTACTATCCTCTTACAGCTACATGAACGCGGAAAAGTATGGCCTCGAGAGAATCTACTTTGGAGGATGCTTCATCCGAGGTCAGTAATCATATTCCCTGAGATCTTAATTAAGCTCACAGCAAACCCACTACCACATGTGATAATGATAGGGCATGCCGCCACGGTCGCTACTCTCTCGTATGCCATACGGTTCTGGAGCAAGGGGACAAAGAAGGCTATGTTCTTGAGACACGAAGGGTTCTTGTGCGTATATTTCTGCGTCTCTCGTTTTTCAAGGTGTCTAAATTAACTTGGAATGACATTACAGAGGGGCGATCGGAGCTTGGCTCAGGAACATAGACGAGGAATCTGGCTCACGACCCGAAGACAACTTCACAACAAGCTCTGACCGAACTATTTAATTTTTATATGTAGTTAGAGAATATACCTGGACATATTTACTCTTGTGCATTGTTCTTGTTGATAGCGCCATTCTATAACTTTTGCCGTAATTCTTGATAATTATCGAATGAACGTGTCGGATCTGCAAGGCAGAATATAATATGCTGTTTCTTGATTAGATTCTGACGCTCGGTCCTGTTTGCGGTTCTCTGTGGTGTCAAGGCTGCACTCGTACAGCCACTTGCATTCCGTTCTAGAGATAGCTAGGGCCGGCCAATAATATGAGAAAAGTGTATGTACCCGTATGTGCGCTTTTCCACTCAGTTCGGACGCGCCATCTTTTCGCATGGCGGCTCGTTACTTGTTGAGCAGCGAACCGCGCGTGTGTCCATAACCAATGTGCTGCTCACCTTGCGCGCCTAAAATTCTAGTCACATTTGACCCCCCCTTCACTTCATCTGTGAGACACCTACACTCATCACCCCTCACCTCCGGGGCGTATAATGTCTCAATCAGCTAGGCAAGAGCATCGTCACTTGTTGGCTAGGCTTTCTCGGATCGATGCCCGTGACTTGGTGGGTCAGGTAGACGTGAATTATGGGCGCTATCCAGCTTCTGGGAGTTTTGCACGCGCTTTTGCTGGAGTCTGGCAATCAGTCTGTAAAGCCGCCATTGAGTTATTGACGATTGGGCTAATATTGTCGTTGACTTGTGCTCAATTTTTCCTCAGAAACATGTCTGTGTCAAGGTCCTTCATAGCGTGGACGTGATGGATAATTCCAAGTTTTACGATTTTTCCCGGGTGAGTCTCCACCGCATGTCCAAGCGCCTGCTCCGGCTTACCGACACCGCATGAAGAGGCTTGTGCGCGAATTGATGATTTGGCGTACCCTCCATCATCCAAATGTGGTAGAACTACACGGTTGGATTCTCGAGTTAGATGAAGCAGACAAGCTAACCGCCAGTTTCATTTCCACTTGGTGTGAGGGAGGTGACGTCAAGCGGTATCTTCAAAGAAACCCGGATGCTGACCGCTGTCGAATCGTGAGTAGTTCTTGGACGTACTTCGACATAGGAGAGGCAGTCTCATAGAGTCAGATTTGCTCGGCCGCAGAAGGCGTCGCCTATCTTCACCTGAGAGGAATTGTCCATGGAGACATCACCCCGGTACGTGGGTCCAATATCTGGTGCTTGTGGCTACCCTTCTCATTGTGCCTGCGTTCCCCTCGCAGAGAAATGTGGTGATTGACCGTGATGGATTAGCGAAGTTATGTGATTTTGGGGTCTCATCTATTCTTAACGACGAGTCGACATATGCCGAAGGGTCGAGTGTGGTTCGCAGCCTGCGTTTCATAGCTCCTGAGCTCTTGAATGTCGATGACCCAGTGGTCCATCGAGATGAGAGGAGCGATGTGTGGGCATTCGGATGTACATCCGCTGAGGTGAAGATTCTTGTTTCAGATGATCCTGGAACTTCTGATTCCGACCTACCATTAAGATTCTTAGTGACCGGCCTCCCTATCACGGGATACATGAGTTTCATGTTCCGTCTGAAATAGCGGGTGGGACACCCCCGTATATTTGGGATCGACCAGATGAGGTTGGGGAAGTCATTGTACGATGTATGACGTTTCAGCGAGATTCGCGGCCGGGCATGCTGGATGTAACTAGATCTTTCAGGTGAGGGAAACGGGTTCGTCGATACTCGGCGCTTTGTCATTGGCTCACTCTATTCTGTCCAGACGCCTCGGCCTAGTGACCGGAGGTTCCACACTCGCTCGGTCAACTTGTGCACGTAGAGATCATTTCTATATCTAGGCAGCCAGTGCTAACTTTTTTCCAGGGTATGCTGCCATCTGGCGGAGCACGCAATGCTTTACCGCCGAGAATATCCTCAACAAGGATAGGCACAGACAACATGCAACGCAACCGTGAGCCCGACATCCTCGGTCACATCCCACACGATGCATACACAATCTACACGCTCGAAAAGTTCTGCATGGGCCTCCAACGCAGTTCACTGGCGCGAGGTGCACATATTATATCACTCAAACGACATGGGGGGAAGATTGGCGTCCCCCATCGGTTTTTGATCCTTCGTGTCCAGCAAATTCATGGTCACAGCGGCGACGAATTCTATATCCGTCTTGACCGGCGCCATGACAAAAAGATCCCGCTCTGGAAGTTTATGTTTAACGGCGGGGTTTCTGATGCTATGGATTCTGTGAGCTTTGTCGTTGCATCGTCTCCATATCACTCAGTTCGATAATCCAGGCCAGCTTCTCTCGCAATGTAGAATATCTTTGTGATTGTGCTCCAGAGGAAGAAGCTCTGATGACTTTTCCAGCTCCTGTGCCATTGATTATGTTCACCAAGCTCCTTGAGGTCATTGTCAGGGAACTAAAGACGTATAGCTTCAGTAAGGTTCGTCGGTAGTACCTGATTGGCGCCCATAAACTGATGGTATAATATGCCGCAGGAAAACTGTTGGTTCTTCACTTCGATAATCCAAGAGTGCTTCATCATCCTATTTGATGGCCGGTTCGAGCATGGGGAACTCAACAACCCAGGCCTAGGAATGTCTCGGCGAGCACAAGTTAGGGACAAGCTTTACCTCCAGTTTCCAGAACGGGCCCCCCGATACCAGGGATCCTGGTGAATATCCGTATTATTGGAACTCACGACCATCTCTAGCACTTGGACCATGAGTCAGACGTTCTCGACGTGTAGTAGTTTGGTCGGCTGCAGACGTTGGCCAAGAGAGGTGAGAGCTCAAAGAAACAAGTCGCCCTGCCGACGATTGCGATGCGAGCGATGCATTCTTTAATTGTTTGTAATAGGCTAGGTTCGCGGGCTGATCATGTACTACAAGCTCTATGTCGGTAACGCTATCAATTCGGTTTGCTCCTTTGCATGCGATTGGACAGAGCCAGCATTCAGGGATCAGGTGAAGACCAGGAGTTGCCACCAATCAAACCGGCCGTTAACAACTTTGTGAGCGTGCTTAGAGCATGGGAATTCTAGTCTGAAATGCCGGACCGTGAAACCAGGGAGCAAAGTTTCTGGACAGAGATTGATCGTAATGTGATAGCCTGGGATTGAAAGGCGTTGGCAGCCGACCGCGCGCGGGAGCCCGACCCCACAGCGATTCTCCAAGACAAACCATTTTTCGGGCACGAGACAGCAACACATCCCTCGGAAGGACGAACCACACTTGATGTTGGCGTTCCTTCCGAGGGAATTCTGTTGTTATGATTTTCCCCTTACAATGGCAGTGAGGAGGCGATGGTGTTCGGTTACGTGTGATGCCGTCCATGGCAAGCATACGAGCCGTCCACCACTTGTCTGTCAACAGGTGTTGCGTCCTGGCTTAGGTGTTCGTTGTGCACACATATGCTGTACTCTTTCACTCATGTTGCCCATTGCCTAATAATTTTCTCTTCGAGTATCGAATTGGCGCCCAAGTCCAGAATTGTGTAGCGTGTGAACGAACTCATTCCGAGCTTCTGTTACGCTGCGCGCGCGCGCGCTAAGTTTGGTCTGTACGGCTTGGTGCATTCTCCGTTTTAATCCTCCCTTTGTTTGTGAGCAGTCCTAACCGCACTATCTCTTTACTTCCAGCGTGTACGATGTCCCAAAAAGCGAAGCAGAAGTTCCATTGCCTGTTGGATAGTCTCATTGCGATCGACAATCGTAACCTTGATGGTCTGGTGGAGGTGAATTATGAGGCCCGTCAAGCTTCTGGGGGTTTTGCGTGCACCTTCATTGGAGTCTATAAACAAGTCTGTCGGACGTCCTTTGGCCATTGATGTCTGGGCTAATCTTGTCGCTGGTGGTGCGTCAAGTCTCAGCAATATGTCTGTGTCAAAGTCCTTCATCAGGTGGACGTGATGGATGATGTCAAATTTCGCATCTTTTCTCGTGTGAGCGGACATTGCTGACTGTCTTCAGCTCATGCCGACAGACGCCACATGTAGAGACTAGAAACCGAGTTGAAAATTTGGCAGGATCTACGTCATCCGAACATCGTAGACCTTCACGGTTGGACTATCGGGTTAGGTATGGCGGATAGGCTAACTGCCAGCTTCATTTCCACCTGGTGCGAGGGGGTGACGTGAAGAAGTATCTTCGTAATCACCCACTTGCTGATCGCGGCCGGATTGTAAGTAGTGCTCATATGTGCCTCAGTGTTTAAGAGGTTCATCCGAACTCAGATTTGCTCGGTTGCGGAAGGTATTGCCTATCTCCACTTAAGAGGGATTGTTCATGGAGATATCACTCCGGTACACACGTCCGGTTTCCGCTGCTCGCGGTCATTTATCTCATTACACTCGAATCCATTCTTCAGCGAAATGTGGTGATTGACCACGAGGGATCAGCGAAGCTATGCGATTTTGGGGTTTCATCTATCCTTGGCGATAGGTCCACGTATGCCGAAGGGTCGAGTGCGATTCGTAGCCCGCGTTTTATGGCTCCCGAGCTCTTCAACGCCGATGACAACGAGGTTCACCGAGATGAAAGGAGCGATGTGTGGGCATTCGGATGCACATCTGCTGAGGTGAACTCGCTCTTAGACATAGTTTTAGACTGTTGATTTCAGCCTATCGTCAAGATTCTTAGCAATCAGCCCCCCTATCACGAGTTACGTGATGTTCATGTCATGTTTGCAATAGTGAGAAAGACACCTCCGTATACCTGGGATCCACCAGATGAGGTTGGGAGAGTTATTGCACAATGTATGGAGTTCCAGCCAAATTTGCGACCGGGCATGCTGGAAGTAACTACGTCTTTCAGGTAAGGGGAACGCGTTCGTTCATGTTCGGTGCTTTCTCGTTGGTTCACTCTATCCCGTCCAGACACCTCGGCCTAGTGATCGGAGATTCTACACTTGCCCAACCAACTCGTGCACGTAGCCGTCATCCTTATATTCGAACAGTCGGCGTTAACTTCTTTTCAGGAAGTCGCGTCACCACCTGGCGGATCATACAGTGCTTTGCCGCCGGAGACGTCGTCAACAAAGGCAGATGCCCGCGACACGCGTCACTCCAACTATGAGCCTGACATCCTCGGTCACATCCCACACGATGCATACACAATCTGCACTCTCGAAAAGTTTTGCATGGACCTCCAGCGTAGTTCACTGGCACGAAAGGCACAGATTGTGTCGCTCAAACGATATGGCAAGATAAGTGGCGTCCCTCATCGGTTTTTGATCCTTGACGTCGAGCAACTTCATGGTCACGGTGGCGAGTTTTACATCCGTCTTGACCGGCGCCATGACAAGAGGATCCCATTCTGGAAGTTTGTATTAAAGGGCGGGGTTTCCGACGCTAAGGATTTTGTAAGCTTTGTCGTTGCATAGCCTCCATATTGCTCAGTTTCAGCAATTCAGGCGAGCTTCTCACGTAATGCAGAATGTCTTTCGTGACTATGCTCCAGAAGCAGAAGCAATCATGACTTTTCCAGCTTCTGTGCCACTGGTTATGTTCACCCGGCTGCTCGAGGTTGTTGTCGGGAATTAAGGACGTACAGTCTCAGCAAGGTCTGTTGGTAGAAATCAATGAGTGCCCATGAATTGATGAGATTCTGTCTCACAGCAAAACTGCTGGTTTTTCACCTCAATAATCCAAGAGTGCTTCATCATCCTGTTTGATGGTCAATTCGAGGATGATGGCAAACTCACAATCCGAATCTAGGGATGGCCCGGCGAAGAGAGTTTAAGCACCAGCTTCGCCTTCATCTCCCGGAACTATCGCACAAAGTCCACTAATGCGAAGGATCCTGGCGAACTCCCATGCGAACCCACAACCAGCTTTGCATGATTTAGGCAGTATTCCCAACGCTAGTAGCCCAGGTCGGCTATGAACCTTGGCCAAGACTAAAAAGATGAGGGAGTGACCCTGCGCAGCGTACATGGTGCGAGCTTAATAGAGCCACGCGCCCATTCACATGGATGAATGTATGAAGAGCACCACACTCGCGCATCGACGTAATCCAAGCGTTCCAATTTATCTCGGTAACACGACCCGTTCCCGTACGCGATAAGCACGGAGTCGGAACAAACTTAAGTCAGCGGGCCAGCATTCCCCGGAAATTAGGTGAAGATCAGAGAATCATTGGTTGCAGATCAAAATGACCAGTGCAACTTCGTCGCTGTAAGCTGGTATCAAGTTGGGATGAACTCAGCTGTCACATCAGGTTACCGAGATGCTCAAGTAAGCAAGCTTTCTGACAACTGTGATCGTCCAGGTGGAACTGTGATTACACAACGATGATGACAAGATTCCACCGGATCACATGCGGCCGGCAGCTGACCGTGGAAATTCCAGGGGGGGGTTCCGTGCAAACCATCAACACTCAGCTTCTTAATGATGGACACTCAACATGATTCAACAACTGCCACAGCGGGACATCAACAGCAAGACTGCCCTCTATTGACCATATAAGCTCTCCGATACTAGCGATCGTGAAACCAAGAGCCTCTCAATCCATTTGAACTGTCGGACATTCCCTCACGGCGCAATCGATGCCTCTTCCACATCCTGTATCTCGGTGCCACTCCGCGGCAGCTCGTGCCGCGCAAGGGACCCAGCGTCATCATCACAGATTGTCCTTAGATGGACATACTTCGTCTCATCCACCTATCACCTCTCGCCGATTGTCACAAAGGAGTCCTCACCGCGAAGGCTCTTTTCGCCGTGCCTCCATATCACCCGCGGAGCGTGACACGTTTAATCTTGTACGGGGGGGAAGCCTTAATTGGGTGATTTTTCTCTCGTGTTACCTCCAGTCCGGGAGTCCGCCGACTTCCCCTCCGTTGTCCGGCCTCACTTCATGTTCCCCGATGCCTACCAAGAGTCTTCTGAACAGTGTTGCTGGTGCTGCACATTATTCTGGAATGGCGACTGTAAGTTGTGGTGCCGATAGCCATGAGTCCTTTTGAGGTGCTTTACATCTTCTAATACCGGGTACTTAGGAGGAAGGTATACACGAGCAGTTCGAGCCCACGTTCGCAGATGGGGAGGACCGAACAGAACTTGGCCCCGTCCGACAGGCAATACTTGATTCTGTCCTAGCTCTCTACTCCGGAAATCCATCCATCGAAATATTTTCGACATATTGGAGGAAGGTTTGCACGCCAATGCTGTCTTACTTGTTCGTCTGGCTTAACGCCACTGTCTCCTATTTTAGGACGCGGTGTTTGAGGTGTGTCGAATGGACGGCATCGGCCGCGGTTAGCGTTCTGGTCAAGGAACCGGCTGACGTTTTCCGTGCCATTTGCATTTAGGATCCTCTGACTTTGTGTCATGGGTATCGGGAATATGCTGCTCAAGTAAGCCACTTTGTCGCGAGGATTCTTGTATTGAAAACTCACTAGTGGATTTGTGCCTGGACAGTTTTATGGTCTGGTGAGTGCATTATTTCAGCACTCCAGCGTTTGGGGTGATGCCTTGGAGAGTCACGATGAAAGGTCATGCTCATAGCTGTCCCGCGTCTAGGCGAAGTTTGTATCCAAGACTGTAACTGTCTCGCATCGCGTGTTGGCTTCGACCACCTCGCCAAGTCGAATAGTGTACAGTCAAGTCCAGGAATACACCTTCAAATTCATGAAGCAGAAAAAAGTTCGTCGACTCGACAGCATCAGGGGAGAGGCACTGATGATACTAGCAGACAATTCATTCGATGGTGGTTATACATCTTGATCGCGAAGAGAAAATCATCAAACTTGAAGACAAATGGAAAGGCATCGACCAGCCTCATAAATATGGTGCTCTCGTACGCCTCCTTGCCCCATCTAACTTTCTACTGGTCTCATACACTTTCCAATCCTGCCAGTTCTTCCGAAGGCTTAACGCAAAGACTCTTCCTTTCCTCATTAAGTATCCTAAGCAAATTGCTTCGAGCCAGTCTGTATCCATACTTGGTTCGCCTCACACAACTTCTTCGTATCCGCCACCACCACATGATACCAAACCGGCACCGTTACCGAGTCCACCTACTCAACACCATAGGTTATCCCCAGTGCTTGGCTCAGATTCCGGCTCAACTCCTGAGATCAACTCCTCGGGTACGAGTCGAATAGGCTCTTCTGCTCCAGGTGCTTAAATATCCTTGGTCTCGCCTTTGTTGCCAGTGTTGCCAGACAGGACACTGATCTTTCGTTGGCCCTGTTCCTTCCCGTTCCCTCGCTTTCTTGGAATCGCCCGCATTCAGTATTGCACAACTACGACATACACACGCAATCCTCCCCGATCCAACCTTCTTGTAATGGCCTCTCGCGCGCAGTTTACGACGTTGTGACGTGTATCTTTGCTTCCGTGGTGTTTGTAGTATCCTCATTGTATTTGACTTTGTTATTTCGCATTGTTGTCTAGGTCTCTTGTTACA